TCCGCCTACGACGACGCCTGCCATAGAACTCCGCGCAACCCTCGCCGTCATTCAGCAGCCCGACCCTCCGGGGCCCGCCCCAAAGCCCCGCCGACCCGGCCGCCTCCCAACAATACGCCTCCAACGTCGGCCGCCACGGCTACGAGACCTTCGTCACCTCGCTCAAATCCCACATCGTCAAGGGCGACATCATCCAGGCCGTCCCCTCCCAGCGCTTCTCGCGCGGCACCGCCCTGCACCCCTTCAACATCTACCGCACCCTGCGCACCCTCAACCCCTCCCCCTACCTCTTCTTCCTCAGCTGCACCGACTTCCACATCGTCGGCGCCTCGCCCGAATGCCTCGTCAAAACGGACGGCTACGCGCCCCTACCCATCGACACCCGCTTCGCCTACTCGGCGGCCGAGCAATCCCGCTCGCGCCCGCGCATCGTCAACCACGCCATCGCCGGCACCATCCGCCGCGGCCTGAACCCAGCCGAGGACGACGAGCTGGCCGCCGAGCTGCAGGCGAGCACCAAGGACCGCGCCGAGCACGTGATGCTGGTCGACCTGGCGCGCAACGACGTCAACCGCGTCTGCCACCCCTCCACCGTCAAGGTCGACCGCCTCATGCGCATCGACCGCTTCAGCCACGTCCAGCACCTGACCAGCGAGGTCTCCGGCCTCCTCCGCCCGGAGTGCACCCGCTGGGACGCCATGCGCAGCATCTTCCCCGCCGGCACCGTCTCGGGCGCCCCCAAGATCAAGGCCATGGAGCTGATCTACGACCTGGAGGGCGAGAAGCGCGGCATCTACGCCGGTGCGGCGGGCTGGTTTGCGTACGACGAGGTGCGCGTCGAGACGGACAAGGTCACGGGGGCGCGCGCCGTGGTTGCGTACGAGGGCCAGATGGACACGTGCATTGCCATTCGGACCATGCTGGTCAAGGCGGGCGTGGCGTATCTGCAGGCGGGCGGCGGCATTGTGTTTGATAGCGAGAAGACGGAGGAGTGGATGGAGACGATGAATAAGCTGGCGGCGAACTTGCGCTGTATCGAGTTGGCGGAGCAGTATTATGGTGCTGGGGGTGGCCCGGCCGCGAAGTCGGTGCAGGAGATTATTGAGGAGGAGAGGCGGAAGGGCGACGAGGCGTATAAGCTGCAGGCGGGGGCGTGAGGGGTGATGGGGGTGGTATGTGAGGAGGGATGGATGGATAGTGGAGGTCGTGTTTAGCAGTTTGAGAATCGAGTTTTGCTCTTTTTTGCATAGGTGCCGGAGATGCTTGACCGTGACTTTATCAAGCTCGGTTGACTCGTCCCCCCTGCCTATGTTAGGTTTGTCTGGTGCCACGAAGCCGGGATGTGCCAAGATAAGCCATCGACATAGATCCACATGTGACACGAGCGATAGCTCTTCCACCTCAATTGGAAGTGGGAGGGAGCTCGTTTTTTGGGGGACGACACAATTACAGATAGCCTCCCCTGAACCTGGACAAATCGCTGACTCTCGCCTAGAGTAGGTACTGTAACAAGCTGTGCCCGAGGTGGGCCTCGGTAACCCTCGGCCAGCTCACGTACAAGCACGGCCCACCGAACCCCTGGATGAAGCTATTCCCAGTTGCCCCACAGCACACCGAACATTCTAATTAGCAATGCGCTCGGGCCACCGCACTCGCGATCATAAAGCAGCCCCACGAGCTGCCAGACTCTCTCATCTTTCCTTTTCTTCTTCAAGCTTAGTGTACTCGTAGAGTCGTCACCAGATAGTTGCAATATACTCCTGGGACCGTTACAGGTACTATTCTCGCAGTCAAGGGACACTGCTCGCTCTTGAAGTTTATTATCCACGGCTAAGCCCACCGCAAGGTAGGGCAGAAACAGTTGGCCGGAGCGTGTGGTCAGTAACATGTTGAACCCGGAGATTAAGCCATGAATGGGCTACATCAACCTGGGGGCCACGACTGAAACAAGCACGGAAATCTATAATGCGCATCAAGGATAACCTCTTCTGCGGTGAAGGATGATTTGACTCAATGTTCCGCTGAACGCTCTATCCAATCCAGTTATGCATTGTTTATGGTCCTGGTTCTACCCATGCCGCGCCTTTAAAGATATCATCCAACGAAGACCACGAGAAAAATCCAGAAGACAACGGCTAGCCGGTAAGAGCCTAATGCTTTCCCACCACACAGCCTAACCAGGCTTCCCGTGACTCCGCAAGCGGCAACACTAAGAAAACCCATATCCAGTTCATCATTTGCTACCCGACCCTCGGGCCCCCTGTTCTTTCTCAGCCCCGGTCTTGAAACGACCGATACGCCCCCGACAGGAGGGACACGGTCCCGACAGGATAGGCACACTCGACCGCAGACAAGGCCGACTCTTTGCCAGGACATTGGTCTTCTGTTCAAAGGCATAGGCCAGACCGATCAGCTTCTCCTCGCTGAATCTCCTCCCCACGAAGCTCAACGAGAAACTAATAGCGAGTAGTCAGTTCAAGAATTCCTCGGGAGCGGAAGTGGGCCGGCATGTTCTCACGGTGAGTTGGGCCCTTTGCCTATCATTTGGCTTGCGCGGTCCTTGGGCACCATGCGGCTGCTGCGCAATGCCCTGGTCGTGAGCGGGCGGAAGCCGAGCGGAACGGCGATGACGGGGTTTTGTCCCAGGTCGGAGGGGATGTCGGCCATGGTCGGCACAACGAGGGCGTCGCAGTTCGCCGTGTTCAGCATCTTTGCGATGGCGCTTCCCTGCTCCAGCATGCGGTGCACTTCGGCTTGGAATTCCGGGGAGGAACTGTTGTGCGGCTCGTCTCGCGCTGCGACGAAGCCTTCCAGGCCGTAGTCCATCGCGTTTTCCGCCGGCGTCACCGCCGTGAAGTTGACCAAGTCGGCCATGGTGTATATGCCGTGCGGATTTGTGGCGAGAGTACGGAGGTATGATTCCAGTCCTGGGCCTGATCAGATTGCGGTAAGAGAAGTTGAGGTTGGGTTTGCGGACTCACCTTCTCTCAGCATTACATTATCGGGCATTTTCGCTCTCTTGGAGACACCGTAGTTCCAGCCCACGAGGTCGTAGTCCCGAATAATTTCGGCGCCTGCTGACTCCATGACTTGAAGAGCGGCATCTATTGCCTTCATGATATCTTCATCATGGTATCGTTCCATTACAGACGGGGAGACCTACGGCGTCAGAAACAAACGCTTGCTTACTCACGATTCGGCGTGAGACTCACTGCAATCCGCGCCCCTCGAAGGGAATCGGGTTTACAAGCGGCGACGTAGTCGGGGACCGTCTCGAATGGGATAGGGATGGTTGCGGGGTCATAGAAGCACCGGCCTAATCATCAACGGTTAACGGCAGTACTTGCGGAACTTGATGTCGGCACTCACCGGCGATGGCCGACAAAATTATAGCTGCGTCTTTCACAGTCCTGGTGATGGGACCCACGGTATCCTTGAAGGACGAGACCGGCACAATGCCAGTGCGAGGAACCAGACCGACAGTGGGTTTGAGGCCGACTACGCCACTGGTTTGGGCGGGATAGGTGATGTCTCCCCATGTCTTCCGAGAAGGTTAATCCCGAGCATCGCCACGTTGGCTCGTGGAAGGTTTGCGTTGTCGTTACTCACCTCAACCCCAACGGCCGCCGCAGCAAAGCCGATAGACATAGCGACGGCACACCCCGAGGAAGAGCCCTGTGGGTCTTGACTGCCAAAGAAAGCACCGTAACATTGACCATAGAAGGGCGACCATCCATGGGGGGTGTAACCCGACCTCGAATTGCTCCATTCTGTTATGCTTGTCTTCCCTAGGATAACAGCGCCGGCGTTGCGGAGCCGCGTAACTACAGTCGATTCCAGAGACGGGCGCGCGCCGGATAAAGCAAAGGACCCGGCTGGTGACGGAAGATTCAGGGCATGGTCAACATTCGTCCCGTGGGGTATCGGGAGGGCCTACCTGTTGTTTGCATTCTATCCAGGGTACACATCGTCTCTTTGATGAGAATCGGGACACCATGAAGCGGACTAGAACGTGAAAACAGAGAATGTGAGTCGCGACCTGCCTTTTGTTGTCAAGACATGCAGGCAACGAACCCTCGTATATGGCCAGATGCCCGCTCCTTGTCGAGAACAATGGCGTCTTGGAGCGCGTCCGGGTTGGTTTGAGCAACAGGTCTGACAAAGCTATTCAGTTCGTTGATGCGGTAGGCGTATTTCTAGATACACCGGAATTAAATGGGATATTCCCAGTTGCGCGTGACCACAGTCAGGGAGGAGTGGGAGGGCGAAAAAGGGGTGGGGGGCATGGTCACCCTTGTCAGTTGCTCGCTCGAAATATCACCCCTTTGGAGAGTAGCGATGATTTCTGCGAGGGTTGGAGTGTAGAATTCGTCCACGGCCAGTGTTTTGATTTTTGCCATGGTGAAAGTACTCCCAAAGTTGGAGTTGCTGTCGCCCTGATGTGTCGTGTTTTTGCCTAGGCGGGCGAGGAAAGTCTGTGAGGCCGTAACCACGCGCCAAATCTTTGTTCCACGGTCGGCGTTTTTGCGTCACCGCTACAAGCTAGATACTAATTTGGAAATAATTACAGAGACAAGTTTGGTTGATTCGTAACCTGTTGGGCAGTGCCAAAAAATACCGTAGGTAGGTAGTCAATGACGTTGGGGTAAAGGGAACAGCTGGGGGTCAAGTTGGGTAATTAAAACGTGGGAGCTGTCAAATTCCCGAATTTTTACTCCTCGTTGATCTCCAGAGAAACACAGTTTGTTTTCGCCGGCCGGGGGAAGGTGTGTGACAGACCAACGTTGCCAAACGGGGTAAGACCCTTCTGCCTCCGGTTGACCACGGGTCCATGTTCCTTCTATTCGTCCCAACCCTGCAACTGCCAATTGTTACTCGTTGCCAAGGTCTCTTTGCGGGCGCTACAGCGGTCAACTCGGCGGGTTTTGAGGGTTCCAAGACTTTTGTGGTTAAGACTTGAGATGTTTGCGCCTATAACTATACCTATGTAGGTACAGGTAAAGTTCTTCGCCACAATGCTACCGCCGTCAGTGACATCAAACGTTCCAAGAGCCGGCCCTCTTCCCCCGCCAAAGCTCGTGCTCTGCTCCATTTTTGCCGGGCGGGAGAAATGGCCGGGGGCTGCGAAAAAGCCAGCTGAGAGTGATTGCTCCATCGTGAGACGTACGAATCTTGTGAGCGCCGTACTCATGATTTGTCTCCACAACAAACCCCAGAGTATTGCACTTGTTGCTATAGCATCAAGTATGACCGGTTGTGAACCCCCATCAAGCATATATTTAAGGCCCTTTGGGTCTGGGGTTAAGGAGAAGGCCACCTAGGTAAGTTTACGACGGTGCTGCGAGTGTTTGCGGCCTAGCTTCGTTTCGAGATGGAAAAGCTGAGGAGGCAGTTTGGAAACGAGTTCTGGGATGTTTTCATTACAAGACATACGTCGGATGAGTGAACAAGGCGTTTTTGTTTCTGCGGCGTCGAACGCAAGTTGGGGGTAACAAGCACGGAACACCACGTTGATCCGTATGCCTCTCTGACACCACCAACACGTCGATGATGTTCGTGTCAGAAAAATGAATCTTCATTGGATCCTAGAAATAACAGGTACTTTCCCTAGGTTCCCCCGATCAACTTCATCTAACCATGCATGGCCCGATAACTCTCGGACCGGGTGGTTGATCTGGTCCCAGCGCCTTGGGTCCGTGTCTCATGGGAGCTTGTTCAACTGACCTTGGAACTGAATTGTTCCATGCTTGAACGGAGGGCCATCCGGAATATTGTCGGTGAGGTGGTCAGACTTCGGACAAGCCCTTGGCGTTGAGTCTCGACCTCGGTACTTCTTGTGGTGCAGTGCTAGGGATGTTTGCGAAAGTCGGAGATCGTCTTCTTGGATCGGTCGATCATATCTATTTTGTACATCGTCACATCGGTAACGGTATTCCATGTACCGGGCTAGAGTGATGAGGCGAGGGTGTCAACTGTCGCAACTTCCTGGTTGACTACCTTACGAATACGGCGCCATTCCATTATGGTTGCGAAACCGAGGTATTAAGAGCAACCGAACTACCCGAGCGGTTTCAAACGCCCCGGGATCGGCATGGGAACCACTGAATCAAAAATCGTCCGAAACCTCGTTATTGAGGCTAGAACTAAATAAAACGCCTTGCGACAGGACGGGGAGAGTCCATGCTGCTCGCCCCAGAGCTCCAGGCCCAGGACAAGGCCGCCGCTTTCATGGCATGGCGTTTGGTCCGGTGAGTTAGAACCGTGCCTCGTCCAACCCGAGAACCCGCAGCCCAAGTGAAGGCAAGCTTTAAGGATGTGGGATTTTAACTGCGCTCTGGGCCTCTGGGCCTCTGGGCTCCCCGCTCCCCACGCCGCCATGTTACTCCGTACTCTAAGCGTCTTGGACGAGTGGCCGTGCATGATCGGAGCCCTCGATGGTGCCGCTGCGCGTCCATAACGCAAGGTACTCCGTCGCCCCGGACTGCGGATGTTCCCGTTTCTTGGCCCATCCCGAGATGAGTGAGACAAACATCCACGAGCAGACGAGTCAGACCTCATGATCGCCAAGCTCACCGGCTCGGCTACGTTACCAGAAACGGTTGGGGGTCTCGGCCTTTCAGGGGTTAAGGGGTTATATCCGCCGAGCAACATTCCCGATTGGATGGTTCAGCCGCCATCACGAGGATCCATGTCGTGTCCCCAATCTCGATTTGGAAAAGGGTTAGAGAACCGTGCCCATTGGTTGAGGCGGTGGATCAAAGTCAAACCAGAAGAGACAACTCAAATCTCGTCCACTCTGCTGACCACAAAAAACAAGACCCCACGAAACTCAGACGGCGATGCGACCGCTCTCTCGACTCATTCATGGAGTGGTCGAAACGGGGCACGCAACTTTTCGCGGGCACCGTGTTGATGGCCGCCCTGTCCACAATTGCCGTCGCGCTCCGCTTCTTCTCCCGAGGTCGCATTTTACGCGTCCTGGGACCAACAGACTGGTTCTTGGCCCTGACCCTGGTGGGTACTCCGGCGTTCCCGCGCCGCCCGGTATCCGTACCCGTCTTGATGAGGACCATGGCTCACACCTCTCGCTCGGCCACACAGTTCTTCTGCATCGGCAACACGGCTAGTGTTGGGGTCCGTATGTTATGTCTCTGGCTGCATCTGAACCGCCCCCCGCTGACGAATGCCGCCCTTTCTTCTTCAGATGTCGCATACGGACTGGGCTGGCCCCAATCTACCCTTCCCGTCGAGCAGCTGCGCAAAAGCTTAAGAGTCCGTCATGCCCCCGTTATGCCACGGCAGCCAGCCGGCGCACGTTGAGCTAAACAGCCATATCGGCATACCAGGTTCAGTATGTTGCAATCCTCATCAACAACCTCTCCCTCGTCTTGACCAAGGTATCTGTCTGCCTACTCTTCCTCGATGTTTTTCTCGTCACTTCGGTCAGAAAAGCCACCTACGTCGTTCTAGTCGCGGTAATTCTCCACGGCACATATGTTACCCTGACGAACATCTTCTTTTGCACGCCGATTCACAACTATTGGGACAAGCCTTTCAACAACAACTGCATCGACATCCGTGTCAAATTCAACGTAGACAATGGGCTCAACATCCTCATTAACTTTGTCACGCTGTGCCTCCCGGTACCCGCAATATGGCCCATGACGCTGCCGTGGAGGCAGAAACTGTGGCTCTTGGTTCTGTTTATCTTGGGCTTTGGGTAAGTACGCCACCTTGACTTGCCTCGCATTGAACCCAGCACCTCGGGAGGTACCTAGTTGGCGGGACTGGAACTGGAACGTCTAACGACCGTGCAGGGTTTGTGCTGTGTCGGTGCTCCGTGTCATCTTCATCAGGCATGATATTATCGGAAATCACGACTTGACAACTGCAGCTATCCGTATTGTCTTCTGGTCCATCATGGAAATCAACCTTCCCATCATCATTTCCTGCATCCCTACCCTCCGGCCGCTGGCGACGAAGATCTACCCGGGCTTGGTCATGACTCCCATTGCGACCGATTCGAGCGGGCACCCTCCCACCATATCTTCGGCCCCTATCCGGCTTCGGAGCGTTCAAGACAACGTCGGACATATGCCCGTCTGAATATCTCGGCTCTCCCTCGACGGAAGGATGTCTTCGTCCCAGCCAGATATCCACCGCGTGGGTTGAAACATTATTCATTGCCGTTTCTAGGCTACGGAGCGCGAAAGGCGGCCAGCTATGCCCATCAGAGATACCTCCTCGAGAACTCGACGAGCGCCATGATCGCCATGGCTTGCCCATACGGCATACTTGTCACGGGAATATCCTTGTAGTGCTGCAGATCCCTCCCCATGGCCGTCCCAAACGACGTATTCAACAACTCCCCATCCTCGCTGATATTCGCCAACACCCCCTTAACCGCCCGAATCGCCATCTCGTCAAACTCCCCCCCAAGATCCCGCTTCCTCTGCCCCTTGAGCACGCCAAACGCAAACCCCGCCGTGGCGCTCGCCTCGGGGTACGAGCCCTCCGCCTCAGACACGTCCAACAACGTCCGCCACAACCCCGTCGCCGCCTCCTGCAGCGGCCCCAGCGCCTGGCACTGCGCCAACAACGTATCCCTCAGGACAGCCTCAAACGCCTGATCCCTCACCCCGCCCTCCCGCAACAGCTCCAAAAACTCCGGCACCGCAATCGTCAACCAACTATTCCCCCGCGCCCACCTCGCCTCCGCAAAATGATGCCCCCCCGGCCCCTCCTCCGCAAACTCCCACCCATGAAAAAACAACCCCGTCTTCGCATCAAACAAATACTGCACATGCAGCAAAAACTGCCGCTTCGCCTCGTCCACATAATGCGGCCGCCCCAGCACCAACCCAATCTTCGCCAGCGGCAGCACCGTCATCATCAACGTATCGTCCCACAACTGGCCCCTATTCTCCTCCAGATACGTAATATGCTGCATGCCCCCGTGGCGGGTGCGCGGCAGATCGTGGTACGCCCACTCGGCCCAGGCGTCGAGCCAGGGCAGGTAGGCCGGGTTGCGGGTGCGCTCGTAGACGCAGGCGAGGGTGAGGAAGGCGGCCATGGTGTTGATGTTCTTGGTGGTGCCGCCCGCGGCGAAGCGCGCGGCGAACCAGTCCTCGATGATGGCCAGGTGGGCGGGCGAGTTGGTCATGGTGTAGTACTGCCAGATGCCGTAGAGGCCGATGCCGTGCGTCCATTCCCAGTCTTGCCAGCCTTTGGTGTCGATTATGCGGCCGTCGGGGAGGGTGAGAAGAAATTCGCCGGTTTTGTCGCGGATCGAGACCATGGCGGAGATGAGGAGGTTGATTTTGGCGTGCACCTCTTGGGAGGTGATGCCCGCGTGTGTGGTGGGCATGGTGGGCGGGGTGTTGGCACCGTGGTGGTGATGGTTGGTGTATGATGTCAGGGGTTGGAATTAGGGTAGGGGTGGTCGACCTGGCTTTGATGGTGTTGTGGTACACAGTATGACCGGGTACAGAAAGTAGCAAGCTAGATTGTGCGTGGTGGCTGCTGTGATGCTCGAAGCGGGATAGCTACAGACGCTCCCTGGCCTGGATGTAACTCCTCTTTAAGAAGTCATTCCCGTTCACCGGCCGCTCCTTGGTGGAGAATCACCCCCTGCCAACCAACCACCTCCAAAAACAAGGGTGGATTTGGGGGATCTCTCTCGGGCTGAATTCAGCCGAATAGAGCAAACTGCTCTCGGTCCAGTAAAGAGCGAGTTACACAACATGAAAGGAGGGGAACATTCGCATTTCTGGTGGGTCATCTCCACACCTCCTCATACCACTGCCGCTCCGTTCACAGGGCCCGGGTTCGAGCGGAGTCGCTCCTCTTAACGGTCAAGGGATGCGGTGAGCTCGGGGTAGCTCACAAGCGAAGGTGGAAGGGGGCAACCCGAGAGCCGGGATCCCGTCTTAACTGCGCGACCTGTGGAGAAACCTGGGGATCCTTGGATCGGTTCCCCATGGGGAACCTACGGGATGTGGGCAGGCTTAAAGGGTTGCCATTTCCAGGCCGATAGAGAACCAACACTCTGAAGTTTTTGTATCCCGGTCCCCAGGTGCGGAGGGCTTATCATTCCTTCAGCCCCGCTTCATCCAGAAACCCTCGAGTCTCTTGCCACAACAACACCATGGCTTCGACAGGTCCTGGACACCGCGATGCGGTTAACCCCGCCGGCGATGGCTCGACATCAGGCGACCAGAAAACGGACCCTTACAAGGACGTCGTCGAGGCCGAGAGAGCGCAATCGCCCGAACTGCAGAAAAGCGGGCAGAACTATGGGAAGATAGACAAGGAGTTGGCCCAGTACGTCTCCGACACCCGCGTCGAGATCTCGGAAGCCGAAGACAACCGGCTCCGTCGCCTCATCGACAAACGAATCCTTGCCATCATGATCACGACCTACTTCCTTCAAGCGATCGACAAGGGGACCATGAGCTTCGCCTCTATCATGGGAATCGTCGAGGACACCAACCTGCATGACCAAGAAGTCCGTTTTCCCATCCCACCCTCCCCCCCCCCCCACCGGGGTACACCCAAAATAAACCCCAACTCCCCCTCCAGAAGCCCTGGGTCACAAACTGCATTTAAATTACCATTCTCGTGGGGGAATACTCCCAAATGAGGGAGATTTGGCGCCTGAGAATGATGAAAGTCCTCTCCTTCTCCGATATGAACTGTGAGCCAGGGCTTCCTTACACATGGCGCTGCCCCCACATCAGAGGACTCAGTTGAGCGCGCCAGCTGCTGTGGTCCTTCTAGTCCGTCTGCCAGCCGGCATTCGTCGTGCTCTCGTCGACGTGGTACAAGCGCGAGGAGCAGACCGCCCGCGTCACGTACTGGTACATGATGAACGGCGCGCAGCAGATGGTGGGCGGGCTGCTGGCGTACTGCTTCTCGCTGATCCTGCCCGGGGGCCCGTTGTTGTCGTGGCAGTGGCTGTTTTTGGCGTATGGGGTGATCTCGGTCATCTATGGCGCCTTTGTGGGCTGGTGGATGCCTGACTCGCCGATGCGGGCCAAGTGCTTTAGTGAGGAGGACAAGAAGCTCATGATTGAGCGCGTGCGGTCCAACCAGACGGGCGTGCAGAATAAGGAGTGGAAGAAGCATCAGGCTTGGGAGGGCATCAAGGACCCGCAGGCGTGGGGGTATGCGCTGATCCAGCTGTGCACGACGCTGCCGACGAGTGGGCTGGGGAGTTTCCAGGGCATTATTATCAAGAGTTTTGGGTTTACGACGCTGGAGACCCAGTTGTTGGCTATGGTCCTGGGAGCGTACATCATCATTGTGCTGCTGAGCTCGGCGTGGCTGGTCAAGAAGACGGGCCAGAACTTGTTGGTGATGCTGGCGTTTGTGGTTCCGTAAGTGCAATCTTTCCGTTGTGTGGTCTAAGGCCTGCCTCCGCTAACAGGTGTAGGTCGTTCATCGGGACCATCTGTCTCATGACGGTGCCCTTGGAAACGATGGGGCAGAAGATTGGCCTGGTGATTTGCTACTACATCACCCTTTCGTTCTGGTCCGCCCAGACGCTAGCCCTGTCCATGGTCTCGCGCAACATTGCCGGACAGACTAAGAAGAGTGTGGTTGTGGCGCTCAACTTTGTCATCTGGTCCGCCGGCAACGCCATTGGTAAGGAAGCCCTGGATAACACTTCGGATCGGCCTAGTATCTAACTTACATCATTCTAGGGCCCCAAGTGTTCCTCAAGTGGGACGAGCCCCGTTACTTCATCGCATTTGCCACGCACCTCGGCTGCTACAGCCTTCTCGTCATCGTCATCATCTTTCTTCGGTTTTACCTGGTCCACCAGAACAAGAAGCGGGATGCGTTGGCAGAGGCGACGTCAAGCGGGGAGGATAGGCTGGCGCATGCGTTCGAGGACTTGACGGACAAGGAGAACCCCAACTTCCGCTACGTGTACTAAAGTAGGAGGTTGAGTAGTGGTGCTGTTTGCAGTTGACAGTTTACATCCTTTGCTGATACTTGGCATGTTGAGATTCATTTGGGCGTGAAATAGTAACACCAATTTGAACTTGCGTTCTCGGGTGAACTCGATCAAGAATTCAAGGCGGGTTATGTTGAGCGATGGGGATGTCAGATGGGCCCGAGATTTGCAAGTAATTACGGTATGGAATGTTTCCAAAACTGATGTCGTGTTATTATTCGACCGGACAACCAAGTTGACGAGCGAGGGAAGAGAAACACAACTCGCACATGTGGGTAACGAAGTACTGGTCGTCGATGTCAGGCATTTCCAGGTCAGGACACGCACATTGTAAGCGGGGCTCTTGGTGTGAAGAGGCAGGATCAAGCATTCAAAATGGCAGAAGCGCGATGGTGCCGGGCCTGCTGCAGCATTTTCTGTTCCTTTTTCTTCTAGTTTTTTTCTTGGACCCAGCCGACCACACGTAAATAAATGCTTTGGGGCCGGACAACCTGCCATCCGGCGGGTACTTATACCGCATATGGTCGGTCTCCTCTGCGGTGTGGTGTGAGGAACGGGTTCAGTTGTTGCGGTCGTTGTGTGAAAGTGTATAGATAAAGAAGCACCTACTAAGCCTTGCAGGCGGCGTCTTGGCTGGTGTTGTTAGCTGGTTTGGGAAGCTCTAGGAGATGTAGATATGTTCGACTTCCCAGTGCCCGACAATTTGATTTTTGCTGGCGGCTGCCTCAGTGTCTGGTTGGGTTTCAGCAGGGTCCGCCCGTTGTGGCCTCGCTGTCCCTCCTTCGCTTTCTTTTTCTTGTTCCCTGTCGTGTCGTCCTTGGGGAGCGTCCGCTTTTATTTCTTCTTCGGTGCCCTGGCAGCCGGTCGTCAGTGTTCCGTTCTGTCCAGTCCCGTCCCCGTCCGTCGAAGAAGCTGACACATATTATCTGCCTATTTTTGCTAATCCAACAGCCACGAGTGGAGACATATACTTCGCAACAGGGGCTGGAATGCATGTAGTGCAGCGCTGGTCAGCCGTGTATGTGGAAGAGGCTCGCAAACCCTGTCCAAACCCCTTCGTTCCACCGGATTTGGGACTTTGTGCTCGAGCCCAAAGCCAATGGTGGAATTTTAGGAACAGCAGCGTGTGAGCAAGCGTCTGCCGAAACGGACAGTACACGCCATCTTAAGTTGGGGCCGTCACCGGGCTGGAACTCAGCACATGAGTCAAGTAATGAAATCCTTAGGAGTTTGTAACCAGCTACCTCCCTTCGAACGCGAAGAGGGCTAGCCAATGGCCTTTTACTTCTTAAACAACAGACACACATAGAACTCAACCACCTATCAACCTCGCCTTCCCCCTCCTTATCACCACCCAAACATCCTCCTCCCGCACCGCAAAAAAATGCCAAACCGAACTCACACCCCGCCCTCCATCTCTCCCCACCACCTTTTTTCCCTGCCCCTCCCCAATCCCGTCACCCGGTCCCCCAACCCCATTCAAAAACCTTCAACCCCCTTCCCTCTCCCCCCAATTAATTCCCAATTTCCAAATTCCACATTCCCAACTTCTACCCCCATACCCCCCCTCGCCCTTCTCCCCACCCATCTTCCCCTCCCCCCCATCCTCCAACAACCCACCCCCTGCCACCAGCGCCACCACACTCGCCACACTATTCGGACTCCGCGGCAACACATCCGTCTCCCTCAGAAACACCCACCCAAGCACCCACCAACACCATCGGCGATCCCCCAGCAGCACCTGCAGGATCCGTGGTCGACGTCTCATCCTGCACGACGCGGCGGCGCCCCTCGTCCGGGCGGAGAGTACGCGGTGGCGGGGTAGTGGAATTGGTCGTCTGTGGTGCTCACTGGGTGGGATTGGAGCGGGGGCGCTGGGCGCGGCAGGGTTGTGTTGGTGGTGTTGGCGGGGAGGAGGTGCCGCGCGAAGGTCTGGGCTTGTATGATGCCGTGGTGGTGGTGGATGGCGGCGAGGATATCGGGGGTGGCGGCGGGAGAGCCGAGCGAGGGGAGGGGGATGGCCCAGGGGGAGGTGGTGAGGGCGGCGAAGAAGGGGGTCAGGTAATTGGTGGCCGTGGAGAGGTCGGCAAGAGAACCGTAGTGGTTGGAGAATTTCCATGTGGAGATGGTGGAGAGGTGGGTGGTGTTGTCGAGCGGGACGGGTGGGTGGTTGAGGTCGATGGTAAGGTTGGCGCCGAGGAAGGTGGTGGCGACGGAGAGGGTTTCGATGGTTTCGTTGCAGCCGACTGCGGCGATGTGCTGGATGATGGGGTCGGCGGTGTAGTCCAGCTTGCCCCAGGTATAGAGCAGGTCGCTGCAGCCTTGGGCTTCGGAGATGTTGCCGATGGTCCTGCCGATGCCGAAGTAAGTCATGTTGGAGTACGTGGCTAGAATATTGTTGTATCCATATTGCTCGTGTTTGGGGAAGCGGTTGCACTCTTCACCCTTGATGTTGATCCCGAGAGGGTTGTGATAGTTTGAGTAGCCGATGGTGTAGTTGAGAGTGAGGTTGGTCGTGATCTTGGATGAGTCGTAGACACGGCAGGTCAACTTACTCCGCACCGCGGGCACGGCGGCTTCGATGGAAACGGTGGACCCATTGATTTTGTGATCGCCAGACAATGGGGTAGTCGGGACGAGTTGAGGAAAGGCAAGGTTTTGGTAGGTATACCTGGGAAACGAAAAGTTGCTCCCAAAGATAAGGGATGAGATCACGTTGCCGTCATCCACATCAAATGGCCCCATAGAGATGGACTGGTTAACCCGGAATGATATCGGAACTTCCGTTGGAATTGCAAGTGGTTGAAATAACGATGCCGAGAAGATGGTAAACACCGAGGCCACTAGGAATGCCGTCGTGGCTGCTAGCGCGCCGATGTTGGCGAATCTGATCTCGCGGAAGATAATCCGAGGGACTGACATGTCCATGAAGTCGAGTGTTTTGTATAACTTTGCGCTAACACTGTGCTTGAGTGCCGCGTACGGCGCGAGGGACCGGACCTGAAAGTCCATGGTGGAAAACAACATGGACAGGCCACCAAAGGCGACAGCTGGAACCGCGGTCCATGTGTAATGGATGTAGCTATTATCGGGAGCATCGCCGAGGCCCTTGTCATTGACCGATTTGCGTAACGTCAACTCCAGGGCCACGATGAGCATCGTCAGGAGCAAACACAGGGCTAAACGGGAACCAGGGTGCAGAACACCTGGGTGCGTCGTCTTGGACTTAACTTGCGGGAAGGTGAGAGATTTCCTGTCGACAGAATGTAGCTGCTCGCTCACAATTGTGAAATATGGCTGGCCCGAGGCAGGATCCATGACGACTCCCGATCTGAAGTTTGATGAGACCAAGGGACGGCCCAGTCTTTTTGCATCGGCCGCTCCTGAGAATCGCAGCAGGGCTAAGAGGTTCGGGCTGTGCTGGACTAGCGATGCCATGCCGGGCAGAGTTGTAGGCTTACAAGGCAAGATGCCCCGTTTTGGAACCAGAAAGATGGCGACGGCTATGAGCACTGCGCAAACACCCGCCAGGGCAGCCATCCAGTGGGCCGCCCAGCCTCGTACCACGAGCCTGTTCCCCCACAAGGTCGCAGAAGCCTGCGTTCGGATAGATGCTGGCTCCATCAGACTCTGCTTAGCGATGATGGCAGCAACCTGCGCATAATAGGCTGTTGCAAGTCTTTGAAAGGCGCTGGGTTCGAAGAGAGAATCGAGTGGTTGATGTGCACCCAGCTGGCTAGGCAGGGCAAAGTCCATAAACTGGTCCACGTCGATTGTAGTGTTCCCAATCCTTACGGTGCTGCCGTATGGATTCCTGGCAACAAATTTGAAGTTAGGGACGGCAGCAATGTGCGCATCAACCAGATCCCAGCCGGTGACGGAATTAAGGGTCCGGGAAGAAGCTCCTGGGACCGCCGTGACTCTCCGTGTTTGGGTTCCATTCCGGACCACGTTCACTTTTGTGATGCCGTAGGTTGGCACACAGAGCATCTGGGTCGACTGCCGCATCTCAGCGAGGTATGGATGTCTTGTCCCCGCGCCTGTGTAATCCTTCAGTGTTATGGACCTGTCGATACTGTACGTCATGTTCCCAAACAAGATAAGGATACGCCTTCCTTGATCGCCCGTTATCCCATCACAACGACTTGCTGTAAAGCGTGTGAACAGCACGTCACAGGATGCGTTGTGTTGGCCGGAGCACGGCCAAATAGGGCTTGGCCTTATCTGGAGGTGCTTCATATTGCACCCGGGGGATGCTATGGTCAGATTCATCACGGCCTCCTCATAGTAATGAGGATCTGGGGGGGCTGACCCCTTTAACGCCAGCTCCGCTGGGTGGCATTCAAGTGAGTTTCCAAACCCGTCAACGACAACGCTCGTCTCGGCAGTGTTGGGGAGATCAGTGTGGATAGACTGAAAGGCGTAGCCTGTGGACATTCCGTCCGGTAGCGTCAGGTTCCGCCTTGTAAGCCCCTGCATAACGTAATAAGCGAGCGTGCCGGCGTCCGACAAGCGTGCGGGACTATCGATAAAGCGGTCCTGAATAGTGACTGGCCATGACGGATGGTGAACAAGGGTCCAGCTGAGGGCGATGAGGCCGGTCGAGATGACAATCAACGCCTTGATGATGATGGCAACAGCGGCCGTAATCGAGACAGTAAAATCGCCATATCGGAGGGCCTTGAACACCGCGTACAGCTGGAAGTCGGAGAGATAGTCGAGTAGGAGGGTGTGCTTGGCTTGCGCAGGGCCCTTTGACAACCGAACCCATGGTGCCACCAACTTGCTTTGATATTCAGCGCGGCTCCATGCTGCCGCGATGAGAGTTAGGATGGCGGTCGGACCGTATGTCCACAGATAGCGCCGGTTGTGAGAAATGGACGCGATGCCGTTGTTCTCGTCAGACTCTTTGAGTAGCGTTTCGAGGGTGATTGTGACTAGGGCGAAAAGAACAGCACGCATGAGAGGATGCGCCGTTGTAGATAAAAGGGCCGCCACGGTAGTTCAACGTCACAAGAACCGGCGGGGTTGCGTGGGATGATTTCAAATAAGAAAGGGAGTTCGGTGACACGACACTAGGTGTCCGAAACTGAGGACTCTGAGCGTTCCCAGATCTATACCGTAGACCTGTCAAGTTTAACTGATCAGCAAAGTCAAGCTCAACAGATTGATACCCATAGCCGGGCCATTTCAAGCCGTGCAATGTCGAAGGAGGTGTTGCCGCCATGCTACCGCTCTTGCAAGCAGCCGAAATCCAACACTCGATACAAACGCCACCGCGTCGGGACGGTCCTGGTTTTGTGTCAGCCGGGGAAGAAACTTAAAAAATGCTGCCTGAAAATGATCCGCGTCGTGACCCGCACCACACACGTCGGACTTGGCTCTCAACGGCTCGGACCCCAGCACACAGAGGCGCCCTTACTTAACCCCTTGAAATCTTGGTGGATCCTGGTCCATCCAGTGAACCGTCGCGCTACCAGGATCAGGTTTAACTCAAATTCGAAATGAGAACAGGTCAATGCCACGTTGTCCGGCAAAAGACTTTGTGGGGCGATACAGTCAGCTTCGCGGCAGCACAAGAGGGAGACAGACATAACTATTAGTTAAGGACCACAGCCTGGTTAACTATTAATAGGTATCGAGGCTTTTCACCCAATGGTCTCCTCCATGCCAGCATTTCCCAAACACGAACAAGTCCACAACTTTGCCTCAGCTGAACTTCGCCTCAACACTTCCCATCGAAACACCGTCCATCTCGAGTGAGAACTTCATCAACGCGGACTCGAGAGTAATGACAAGATCGTAGTTGACATTGTAACTGCCTATGGTGAGCAAGAGGCGCCCACGTTGAGAAATGCAAAAGACAAGTAAACTCACTAAGGGTTCCCGTTCTTGTCGACTTTCCTGACGAATTCGCTGTTTGGGACGGAACGCAAGTCGGCCGTCAGCAAGCAGTTGGTGCTAATCTTGTCACCTTTGCTGAAATGCGTTGGTGCGTGTCTGTTGTGCAAGGCAGTGTCAGCAATACGGTGTGGGACAACCACAGCAGAACGTTGTATTGGGATAAGAAGAGGGACATACGAATCAGCACACTCGAAGAGCGTGTCCTTGAAGATGAGGTCGCGGGGCGAGTAGTTGTCGTCGATGGATCGGAAAAAAGGGAACTTGATCTTTTGGTCGCGGAGGATGTCATCGCCAATGTTGATGAACCATGTCATCTGCCAGTGGGTGAGTTGTTTGCAGGCTGAAAAGGAAGGGGAATGGGGGGGTGTTGTAGGTGCGTACCCTTTCAGCTCTCTTCGTTCCATCCCGGCGGATCTGGCTGGGTACATCAATGTCCACCTCGGGATCGTAAAGTTCCCAGGCCTCAACACCGTAATGATGCGTGGCTGAAGTGGCCAGAACGGTAGCCTGTCTTGGTAGCTTGCTCAGGGCCGCACCCCTAGTAATGCGTTAGGCTCAGCCATTCTCCAGTATTCCACTCCCAACCTTCAGTTTTACCTACTTGACGATAGCTGCCCACGCATCTGTCGGCTGAAGCACCTGGATGCCGGGGTGTTCTCTCTCGACACACGCCTTCAAGTATTGACTGCTGCCAAAGCCCCCAACCAAGAAGATGCCCTAATCTCTGTCAATACGACTCCTTCAAGCAAAGGGCACCCGAAAGACGCACTGTAACACCGCCCTCAGGGCGCTTGATCCTGACTGACTTCACCTGGTCGTCGATCAGGCGAAGAATGTCCGTGATGAGGGGCGCGAAAATGGCTTTGAGATCCTTGCTACTCAAATCTCAGTGACTATGATCACCCAAACATGCGTCGAGTGAACTTACCCAGTCATCCTCCAGCAATTTGCCTCGAGCCCAAGATCAGGGTCGTCATCCAAGGACGCCATGGGGAAGTTGACAAAGTACTCCTCGTTAGGGTCGCCCTTGAACGCCCTCTTTACTTCCCGGTCAAAGCTCTTCTCGGCAAGCAAAAAGCCCTTGGTTTTTCGCAGGTCGGCGAACTGGTCTTCGCCAACGAGGTTCTTGACAGCTTCGACAAAGCGCTGGTTCAGGCCGAGGGATCCGGCCATGCCACCTATCACATGGGACGGAGTTTAGTTTCTGACGCCAAAAGGGTCTCGAGGGGAGCCTTACCGGTACCGGGAACCAGTTCCTTTACTTGGAGGTTTGGGCTGAGGCCCACGACCTCGTACGAGATCAGATCGACTGTGCCGCCGCCGGCATCACAGACCACGAACGCATCTCCAACGTTAAGAGAGAAATCCAGCGAGTGCATGGTGTAGAGTGCAGCGGCTTCGGGCTCCTTTATCAGCGTTACGGGGAAGATTCCCGCAATCTTGGAGGCCTGGAGTGTGGCATTCTTGGCCGCGTCGGACCAGACAGCCGGCACGGATAGAACGAAGTGCTTCTGGCAAAGTTTGAGGTAGTCCTTGGGAACTACTTTGGCAATCTCGCTCTGGGCATGACGGTACACGGCACCGATAAAATCGGCGGCGATCTCGACTGGGGCCTTGGGCAAGTTCTTGATGGTCCGCTTGATGTTGCCAGTGGGGAGATAGAGGGGCCGCTCTTGAGACGGGTCGAGCAACAGCTTCACGCCGACGATGTTGTCTTGCATGCGGTTTACCGAAGCCCCCCAGGCGAATTCCCCTCCTTTGGCATTGCTGTAATTGATGAGCGTCGGGATCTTTGGGGCGGATTCTCCTTCGGCACCGGGCCAGTCGAGGATGGCAGCGACTTTGGTGTCTCGTTGGTTTGCAAAACAGTACGCGATCCCGGAGAACGTGGTACCGAAGTCCAGAGCGATGATGAGCTTCTCGTCTGACTCGTAGGCCGTGGGTGCGTCTGTCTTCATATTGCGGAAGGATTCACCTAACTGCGCAACAAGGTCTTCAGTCAAGGGATTCAGGGGTTGCGGAGGCATCGTGTGCGAGGTAATATTGGGACGATGGTTTCGGCTCAAGTGTCAAGATATAATAGGCAAATGATTACAGTGAAGCGCCGAGGGCTTTTGAAACTTCAGGAATGTAGAGGGTCAATACATGAGTTTTATTGAAGGTGGTGCGCGGTCCGCGTTCAGCCCGCCGCCGGCTCCTCATGGGAGAGCCTTGTCGGGATTCAGCTTTTTACGGACAAGTGCATTGTTCGAGGCCTCAGTGCATGAGAGGCAAGGATTACCGCGGCTAGATGGTATCATTGAGGAACCCAATACTCACACATCTGGGGATTGTCCAATGGGCATATAAGTCTATGCTACCCAGATTTACCAGGACTATCACCTGCACATCGCACAGATAGATAATGGGAAGGACCTCCGCGTTTCACCACTGTCGATGCCTTGAATTGGTGGCGGATTATGCACATCCACGGCGCCTATTGACCGGCAGTGAGCCTAGACGGGATAAGTCCCGACGCAGGGCCCGATAGCTGAGCCCTGTGGCTTCAAGGTTCCCAATCGTAGTGGTTTCCATTGGTGGCCCCGTGGTGTTGGGATTTGGGGCGCAGCAATATACCCTGTACTCGCTGCACTAACCCCCCTTTTAGGCGCCTAGGCACATTGATCGCCGACATGGCGTGAGGCTGAGATTAAGGCCGTCATTCATGCCAAAAAGGTGGCCAAAAGGTTGACCAAGGGCCTTTTCCACCGCCAAATCTGTTTCCAGCATTCCAGCTTTCCTGGACCTTGTCCCGCCAACCAATTCACACCCTTCATGAGCCACGACGAGTCCCGGCACCGGCACCGTGAGCGTGAGCGTGGACGCACCGGCCCCCCTGTGCCCCCGCGCTCGAGGAGTGCGAGCTATTACACATCATACGAGGTCCGTCCCCGAAGGCGTAGCACTACCATGGACTACGATGACCCCATGGTGGACATGGCGCCTCAACATGAGGTTGGCGGAGCCGATGTTAGCGGCGATGCACGGCGTCAGGAGGCCATCCTACTCGAGTTCCAAGCCAAGATGAACCAAGATATGGCCGGTATTCAAACCGGGCTCAACTGTCTGATGCAGCAAGTGGAAGCTATTCCCGCCCAAGTCGCCGCGGGAATGTCCAAACCTGGTGGCTCAGGAGAGCATGGTTGGCGTGCCTGGCTACCGGTATGATATCACCCCATCTCCTAGGCCTCGTTTCTTTGGTACTAACAGGGTGAAAATGCTCAATAGGGTTCTACTGGGTATCCGGACCAAAGGCACGAGCAACCACCTGCACCGCCACCCCACGTTAATGCCACCCGCCTCGCGGAGCTTCAAGGGGAAAACAAGGTCCTAGGCAACCGGAACAGTGGCCTCCAACGCGAGCTAGAAGCCGCCAAGCGGGAGCTAGGTATTGCGCAGAGAAAGGCCGCGAGTGTGGAGGCACAACTGCGCGAGCACCAGGAGGAAGTCAACAAGCTGCGCGGCAAAGAAGCCATGTTCCGAACCATCATCCTCGATCAGGCCGGCGTCCAGAAAATAAGCGACGATGAGATCCTTCAGGGGTTCCTCAAGTTACGCCAGGATGTCCAAAAGCTCTCTCGCAGTGCCTCTTACTTGGTCGACACCAATCCCACTATTTCAACTGCCCAAGAAGAGGCCACGCCGTCCATTTCATCGTTCTACCGGGCAGCTACCTGGGGGCAACTCGGCCTCGTAGACCGGCGGCTTCGCGTGCGTGCGAAGATATTTGATGAGTTGCACTTTCACATCCTCGGTTACAACTGCTTCGGTCTCCAAGGATTTCAGGCGGAGGTAGGGGCACTGACGGGGCCCGTCGAGCCCGGGCTACGCCGCTTCGAAACCATACTCCAGGATCGAGGTGGTAAGAACTTGTTTTCTCTAGCAATTTAGCTTTCATCCTTTAGACAAGGCAACCTGCACACCCGCACCGGGACATAACTAACGTGTCTCTATCATAGTCAGCGAAAATGTCATTACCGATTGGAGGATTGCAACCATCAACTGCGTCGAGCTGACTGGAATCGAAGAGATGACGAGCAAGTTCGCCGCGACTGACATATTTGCCATTCTCGCCCCACTCCTTTCCAAGCACGTTCGGCCGTCGGAGGAGGATGTGCTCCGCGCCACCATCTTGGACCTATGTAAGGATGCGTATAAGCTGCGGATGATGATGCGCAAGTCTAAGGATAAGTACGTGGTCGAGAAGATCCCAGCTGATGCGGGGGCCTCGCTCTCTGCTCTTGAGAGCAAGGCGGATCCGGTAGGAGTTGAGGGTGGTAAGAACAGCGAGAGGAGCGATGAAATTGCGTATACCATGTTTGGTGGTCTGGTGAAACAGCCTGAAGGAGAGGGCAAGTCTGTGAAAGTGTTGGAGAAGGCTCAGGTTGTTCTGAGGAAGAGATAACCAGAATAGGGAAGGTCTTATCCGTTGTCTTTCATATCATCTTACCTACATATTACCACCTTGTTCATGATAGTATTTATCACCAGTTCCTACTACATCTAACATAATCCCTCACGGCTTCCACCCTCCCGTCCGATCCCTAAACAACCCAGCCGGATCAAACCTCTCCGCCACATCCCTCGCCAAATCCCGACTCGCCTGCTTCAACCTCCCCCAATAATCCTGCTTATAAAACCCATAATTCATAAACACCGGCAAATACACATCCGGCAACTTCCCCTCCCCCTGCCACTGCACCACCCTCTCCCTAATCCCCCCATACGTCTGCACCATCTTCCCCTCCATCTTCGCATAATCCCCCGGGTTCAAAAACGCATAATTCAACTCTATAATCAACCGATCCGCATCCGCATCCGCATCAATCAAATCCGCACCGCGCTCCCTCGCCGCCTGGGCAATCCGCCTCGGAAACGGCTGATATGCAATCGACGCCACGATCCCCGGCACCAGCAGCACCGACTCGGCCAGCCCGCGCCAGTGCGCGTGGATCCCGTCCAGCAGCACCTCCTTGCCGTCGGCCGCCGCCGGCAGCGGCACCGTCTCGGTCCCGATCTGCACCTGGAACCCCTTCAGCACCACCCAGTTGCTGCCGGCCATCAGGCTGGCGTAGGTCTGGGTCTTGAGGGTGTTGGTCAGGGGTTTGAGGGACGTGAAGTTGGTGAAGGTGCCGGCCGGGACGGCGGATTCTGGGCCGTCGTAGAAGAGGAAGAGGATCCACGAGTCGAGCAGGTTGAGGTTGGTGCGCTCCGCCGTGACGATCACGGCCGCGCGGTCGTCGGTGTTGTATTCGGTGAAGTCGCGGACCGCTTGGAGGAGCTTGGCGTCGAGGGTGGGGGTCCGCAGGAAGACGAGGTTGCCGCCGTAGACGTCGCCTTGGGGGTGGGCTTGGAGCTTGTAGTTGGTGACGACGCCGAAGTTGTTGCCGCCGCCTTTGAGGGCCGTGAAGAGGTCCGGGTGGGAGGTGTTGGAGGCTGTGACGATGGTGCCGTTGGCGAGGACGACTTCGTACGAGATGGCTGAAGAGGCCGACCATCCGTATTGCGCGGACATGTAGGAGAGACCGCCGCCCAGGATCAGACCGCCTACGCCGGTGTTGCCGATGCGGCCGCCTACGAAGGTCCAGCCGGTGCCTTGCAGCTTCTTGGCGATCCCGTCGAGGCGGTTGCCGGGGCCGACATCGATGACGCCGGTGGTTGGGTCTAGAAGGACGTGGTCCAGGTTTTGGGTTGAGATGAGCGGGCCGCCGTCGACGCTGGCGTAGTAGTTGTTGGGGCTGTGGCCGCCTGATTTGACGGCGAACGTCTCATTGTTGGTGTTGAGAACCCGGAAGACGGCCGCGACCTCGGTGGCAGACCTGGGGAAGATGATGCATGAAGGCTTCAGTGCGGTGCAAGAGGCCGACCAGTATTCAGTTTGTTCCGCTGTATAGGCAAGTTGGAGAGGGCTGGAGACTTCGATGTCCGTGTTGGCTTCGACATCGGAGCAGGTGTCGGCATACACCGGGGACACGGCGGACAGGAGGAGGGAGAGCAGCGAAGTTGCCCGGAGGGACACCATCTTGGCTCTGGAACCAGACAATACAGGTTACGTTTGCGTATCAAAGATTATACTAATGATGCAAAGAACCATGCGAACCCAAACACTGGCAGAGATGAGACTATTTATCCTGTCCCGTAGGATTGTGATGTCGCTTTGCCGGAATCTCGCCCGTCCACCCCACACTCTGGCAGGATCGGCATGTTGACATGGTGCCAAGATGGCAATGACATGCCCAGGATGACATTTTCACAGGAGCTGAACCACGATGTAACCGATGACTGGGACCAGAACGAGGCGGGATACCACCACTGCTGCAGGCCCTGGTAGCGAGAACTCGGCACTGAGCCCCGTTGGCTGCGGGTCAGTTCGGCACCTGCAGCACAGCTTGAGAGGTCGGCTGGCCCTGCATCCTTGCGGGCAGAACCCGGTTTGACATGCAGTAGTGTGGAGTGATCAAGGAGGAGCATGCCAACTGTCACCCACTGTGGCAGTGGGATGGGAACAGCAGGGAGAAATGGCCTTGGTTGAGGACTGTGTGAAAGTGCCATGCACTAGAAAGTCGCATTGTGACCACCGTGAAGGATGTGTGACAGGCTGAATGCGGCATCCAGATCGGTAGGACGTTGCCCAAAACGGACCTGTGACGGGCCTCTGGTTCCTGGATTGGCCCTCATTACTTCGGTTTTAATAATTTGGGAGTACCTTGCCGCAGTTTCGGGGATTTTGTAACCCACCTATCAAGGAATCCCTCCAAAGTCCAAATGCTATCAAGGGCTCAAAAGATGCCTGCATTCAATCAGCCATTGGGAAACTTCAGCGGGACCCCCGGTACCGAGCCAGGTAAACGCTTCTAATTGACAACTTTACATCTTAGTACCTATCTCATAACTAGAAAGAGGTGCTAGAGGTAAAAAGTAGGCGCCGAGTTTAGGGGCCCTATCTGGTCTGGTGAGCTCATGGGTTAAATAAACCACCACACATCCAAGAGACGCGATCCGTGGCGTGGAGCTCTGTGACCTTGATAGGACGGGTAACGTGACCCCGTCGCCAAGCTACGGTGGTTGCCAACAACCACAAGTCTTCCGTAGTATAGTGGTCAGTATGTGAGCTTGTCAAGCCGACATCGCTCGAGACCCGGGTTCAATTCCCGGCGGGAGAGTCCACACATCTTTTTGGCTTTTGCCAATCCTGTTGACCGAAGTCAAGAAGATATCTGATGAACAAATGTCGCCGCTCATCATCACATCCAGTGCAAGGGAGCATTTGTAAATTTTTACTTTCGTTTATTGATAAATGGGAAGACCGCTAGAGTAAACAAACCTCGTACCTTTTATATTCTCCAGGATAAAAACCCACCCATAACAGAGAAATACGCTCAAAACGCCCATTCAAATACAGAAAAACACAAAAGGCAGGGTTTGGTCGTTTGGTCGGTCGAATCCTCAAACCTTAACGCCCCGCCCCCGCAGAAAGAATGCACAATCCCTCACCTCCCATGCCTCTTCATATGGCGCGCCACGTTATCCCCCCTCCCCATATACCCGCAGCCCGGGAACTCGCAGCCCGTCTGCTCCGACGGCACGTTGTGTTCGCGGGCGTACGCCTTGTGGTGCGTCCACACGTGGCGGTGCAGCGTGCGTGCGTCCAGGAACCCTTGCGTGCACCGCGCGGTCGTGGCGGGGGTGACGGGGCACCGGAAGCGCATGCGTTTGGTTTCGCGCCGCTTGCGTTCGTCTGGCTTGTTGGGTGGGGGGGTGGGATCGTTGGGGTTTGGGGTAGTGGTGGTGGTTGTCGTCGACGCTGCGCTGGGGCTGGCGGTTGATGAGTTGGTGTTGTTGTAGGCGCCGTTGTTGCGGGAGAATTCAGGGCATGGGAGGGCTTGGCTGAAGATGGTGGCCGGGGAAGATGGGGAGAGAGCGGATTCAGGGGTGCCGCTCGCGAGGGAAATGGGGGTGAGGGGATCTGCAGGGGCGTAGTGGTTACTCGGGAGGTATAGAGCGTCCATGTCGTAGAGGGAAGTCGCTGGGCTGGTAGACCCATGTGGTGGTGTGTGAGTAAAAGGCCCGGGCGCAAAGTCAAGGCCGGAAAATAGGTCGCCGTCTAGGGTGCTGGCAAAAAGATCCGCCGGCCCACAGCTTTCCGGCACGGCCCAGGAGGGACCCGTCGAGCCGAGGTAGAGACCAAGCTGGAACGCCATGAAAGGGTCGATATCGTGAACAAGCAGTTCCACCGGGCTTGATCCCAGGGAGTCGGTGAGGTTTGTGTTCATTGTGGGATAAGACGCAGTTTCGGGCATCAGTGGTGGTACGGCGGCCTGAGAGTTATCGGGGTTAAACGTCTGGTACATGGGACTTGGCGGCACCAGCGGAAATTGCGACATGTCGGGAGTAGTTGTTTGATGAAGCCAGGCCCACTCCCCGAGGTCCTCCTGAAACGAGGAGGGAGAGTGGGCTTGGGTGGGGGATTCGTTGGTTGACATCGTACGAATACCCAACTCACGTTGCCGTGAGTTGGACGCGCTCTCTCGAGCTATGACTTCGGTTTGGTTTGGTGTGGTGAATGTCGGAGGCTGCCTGAAGACGGCGGTTGCTGATGGGTGCGGTGATGGATCGGGGACTAGTTTAACGACGTAGTCCAGGGTCGGAACGGCTTGGCGGACTTTAGCGGCGCATGTCTCTGTATGTCTCTAGACACACGGGACTGACATGGCCTCCTGCTGGCACCAACCGAGCCCCAAGTCCGAGCACGGCAAGAGCCACGACCATTCTGCCAATCCTTCAACCAGCCTCTCCCAAAGAAATAGAATCGAAACGATGTCATCAACGGCTGCTAAACGCGTCTCCTTTTCCATCCGCTGAACAAGACCGAACTCCGTCATGGATTCGTCATTGGCTCCCTCGCGCCCAAACACAAAATCCGTACGAGCAGCGACTTGAGACTCATCGTCCAGGGTCTCGGACTTGTCCTTCAGGTTCATTCGCGGGCTCCCCCTCTTAGCAAGCGCGGGTTGTTGGGCAAGATCGATGGCAGGAGGTAGGTCTCCTGACCTCGAAGCTGGCCATATGCTGAGCGGCGGATCCATGTAGGCGACGTCCGCCAGTGGGGTTGCGTCTAGAGGCACCGGAGATGTGGTGAACGTGGTTTGAGCAGCAAGGCGCCCTCGGGTGCCACGGCCAATGCTGAACGACAGAAAATCGTGGAGGTGCGCTCGGCGGTCGAGAACCACGGGTGGTGCATCGGGGAGTTGCCAAAAAGAGGGGAATGCTGCGAGCTCTTGGGGGGTCCCACGCAGCTTGGTGTTGGCGAGCGTACCCTGTGCGCAAAGGTTGCATTCGAAATCGGCATATCGGGGGCGAAAGGGTCCCGCCGCGTAAATGGGTAAGGTTGGAGTTGCGGCCGGATTTGCGGCGCTTGAGCGGAGTGTTCATGAAGCTCGCATAAACTTCAGAAAAGGTGAACCGAGGCCACTCCATCGAAAGAAGTATATTGACTGCGCCCGGAGCGACGGTCGTAGGGTTAGCAACACGGTCATCCCCTAGCATTCCAGCTTGCACTGGCGGTGCTGACGATGGGTTTCCCGGAGAGCCCCGTGGGGGGTGTTCTCCGGAAAGAGCCACGCCATGGTGGTCGGCCTACAAAATACGTGTTAGGGCAAGGTGAGGGGGAGGTTCACGGGTTGGCTAATGGTCCTACTTGATCGAGCATAGCTCCGGAACGAAAACTGTTGCCTTCGGCATGGAGAGCCTAGGGAGACGCGAGCCGCGCCGTCACCGCGGATGCGGTTTGAATTTAAAACGGGGTTTGTGGGTCCAATGTAGGGTTTTGATTTTGTTATGTTCAGTTGTCAAGAAAAACGAGGATACGGTATTGGGAATGCGATGCGATGGTGAGGTTGAGAGGGAGCGAGGGACAGGTCAGGATGGCCGTCGAGGACAGACGGGATTTAAGGGCCTCAGGAACACAGGCATGCGGTTGCATCCAAGGACCCACCCAGACCGCAACGCTCGCCCTTCAGGCTTGTGCTGATTGGGTGAATATAGGATGTGGCTCAATCTTGGAATCCGTCCTCAATGTGGCAGTGCTGTCCTCAATCTTGGTGGTCGCATCAGGTACACTTACATTACCCGTTGGTTACGCACCTCTTTTCTAGGTGACATTTTGAATATTCCAGAGGTCTGTGGCTGCTAGTCAGTCAGTATAAATTTTTCTTTTACTTTTCAATGCATAAAGTCGTATACTGTTCAGAAACGATAGAGCTTGCTTTGCTTCAACTGACTATCCAATGTTCATGTACCTGAAATGACCTTCATGCACCCGTCATCCTTGGGGCTGAGCGCCCCACCATTTGCTGAGCCCCACAGTTGCCCCGCCCACCCCCTCGGCCTGACTAACAAACCTCCTTTCCACCTCGATTATCTGGTCGGGCCGCCATCCTTCGAGGGGAGAACTACTTTGGTAATAAATGCAGACCCCTGATCACAACTACAGTTCGCTACAAGCTCGAAAGCCTACTGTTGAGACAAGTCTTTGTTGTGCACCCTTTGGCTGCACCGAACCTAAGCACCCTTGCAAGATTACCTTCGACCGAAGCTGAACCCTAACAGGACGGGGATGTAACGAGCCACTGGCACACAAGAGAAAAGAGTTTCTCGCCTTGACCTTGAGAGTGCATCAATTGACTTGAAACGACTTCTCTTCATTTTGAGACATCCGGTGGAAGATTTTGCCTTTTCCAGATGCCTGGTGCGGCGCGTGGTGGTTCAAACGTCATCGACGTCATGACTCATGAGAGGCGATTCCGGAACTCCAGGAGGGGGACAACGCCGCCCCCAGCGAAAGAAAGTGAAGACGAGAAGGGATAGAGTCAAAGCTACAAGAAGATATGGATTGGGAAGAGGAAAGCAATATTGAGAAAATGCCGAGAAATCACAAGAATCGCACCATCCGCGTTGCAGCAGCCGACGAGGCGAGGGATGAGACCCGACAATCAGAACAAACCGTGGATCATGACTTTAACAACAAATTGAACATCATCAAAGCAGAAATTCAGACGGAATTCAACAAACTTAAGGACCACATGGCAGAGGAGATCGCCAAAATGACGGCCCAGCTGACTCAAGAGCTGGCACAGGCGCGAGAGGAGCTCACTCAAGCCCGCAGTGAGCTCGAGCACACCAAGATACAGCTACACACCATGACTAGAGCTCAAGAGACCCCATCGGGTCGACCGACGTATGCAGACATCGCCCGACGGTCCCCTCTGGTCAGCATTCCCACCCCGCCCATCTCCACCAGTCGGCCGGCGACACCAGAACCGGCGTTCTGCACGGTGGACATGTCAAGGGTTCCGGAGGATCATGCCAGTGAAGCTACACCAGTAGCGCTTCGAAAGCTCATTGAGCATGAGATGCGTGCGCCTGGCGACCAACCCAGCTGGCGCTGTGTTGCCGTCACAAGAGATAGAGGAAGCACCAACCGTCTTAGGGTCATCAGTAGGAACGAGGGGGAATTGTAGAAGATCAAAGACATCGTCGAAGCAAAGAAAACGCCGGGTGCGAGAGTCCTTCGAGATCAGGTGTACCCGATCAAAGTCGACAATGTCAACCGTACGGCTATCCTCTACCGCGAGAGCAAGGTCCTCCCTGGGACTGCGGAAGTCCTGGGCCAGGAAAACGACGTGCAGATTGCCAAGATAGCTTGGCTGAGTCGAAAGGACACTGCAAAAGCGTATGGATCCATGGTAGTGTATCTCACGAAACTCGGCGACGCCAAGAGAGCTCCTCAATGGAGGCTTCTTTTACGCCGGAGGAGAATCAGGATATACGGGGACCTTCGAACGTCGGATGCGGCCGGACCCGGTGTTACAACTACCAGCAGATCGGCCACAAAGCGTTTCAGTGCAGAAACCGTCAAGTGTGCGCCAAGTGTGGCAAGGACGGTCACCACCATCGCAGCTGCAGCGAAGTGGTTGCCAAATGCATCCTAATGCGGCGGCCCACATGAATCATTTAGCAGAAGCTGCCAGAGGCTCTACCCATCTCGTCATGAGTAGAACGCTACACCTAATCCAGCTTAATGTGAGAAAGCAAGGTGTGGTGCACGAAAGCTTGATGAATGACAAGGACATTCAGAACGCAACAGTCTTGGCCATCCAGGAGCCTCAAGCGCGCAGGATTCATGGCCGACTCTTGACAACTCCCATAGGACATCACAAGTGGATCAAGATGGTTCCCTCGACTTGGAGGGAAGGCAGATGGGCGGTTCGAAGTATGCTTTGGGTGAATAAGGACGTGGAGGCGGAACAGGTACCGATAGGGTCGCCGGACATGACAGCAGCAATCTTAAGGCTCCCCGGTCGGCAAGTCCTGGTAGTATCGGTCTACGTACCAAATCAGGACCCTCAAGCTCTACGGGAGACGTGCGACAATTTACGCAAGACAATCACGGATGCAAGACGAGACGCGGGCACGACGGTAGACGTGGTAATTGCTGGAGATTTCAACCGGCACGACCAGCTGTGGGCAGGAGACGATGTATCTTTGGAAATACAAGGAGAGGCAGATCGTATCATCGACCTGATGAACGAGTTCGCCCTTCGCAGTCTGCTCCGACGGGGCACAAAGACCTGGCATGTCGGGGATTACGACACGACCATCGACCTGGTCCTGGCGTCTGCCGAGCTGGCGGAAACAACAGTCAAGTGTGTGATCCACAGGACGGAACACGGATCAGATCACCGCGCGATTGAGACGGTCTTTGACACCTTGGTCCCAGTACCAAAAAACAAGACCGGCTTCTGCTCAAAAATGCACCTTGGAAGGAAATCAAGACCAAGATTGCGAGGGCACTAGACGCCACCCCTTCGGGAGGCACTGTACAGCAGCAGACAGACCGACTAATGTCGGCGGTCTTGGAGACGGTCCAAACCCTGACACCGAAAGCGAAACCATCGCCATACGCCAAGCGGTGGTGGACAACCGACCTTACACAACTGCGTCGCATTTACACGTACTGGAGGAATCGTGCTCGGCCCGAACGAAGAGCCGGACGACCCTTGGTGGACTTGGAGGAAATGGCGAAAGCGGCTGCGAAACAGTACCACGACGCTATCCGGCAACAGGAAAAAAAGCACTGGGACGACTTTCTTGAAGACAATAGCAATATCTGGAAGGCTGCCAAATACCTAAAGTCTAGCGACGACACGGCGTTCGGGAAGGTGCCACAGCTCGTCAGAGCAGACGGAACAACCACGGCCGACCACAGAGAACAGGAAGAAGAACTCCTGACCACCTTCTTTCCTCCCCTTCCAGAGAGGATTGAAGATGAAGGTGCTAGACCGCAGCGAGCTCCCGTAGCAATGCCGCCGGTCACCATGGAAGAGGTAGAGCGACAACTATTCGCAACCAAATCCTGGAAAGCACCTGGGGAGGACGGCTTACCGGCGATAGTCTGGAAACAGACTTGGCCAGTGGTCAAGCACCGTGTTCTCGCACTATTTCGAGCATCTCTGGAGCACAGCACACTGCCCAGTCAATGGCGACACGCCAAGATCATACCGCTCAAGAAGCCCGGCAAGGATGACTACAGTGTTGCCAAAGCCTGGAGACCGATCTCACTTTTAGCAACGCTCGGCAAGCTGCTGGAGTCAGACGTCGCCAAAAGGATCTCACATGCGGTTGAGACATATGGGCTCCTCCCGACCCAACCACTTCGGAGCGCGCAAGCAACGATCGGCGGAGCAAGCCCTCATACTCCTCCAGGAACAGATTTACACCGCCTGGAGAGGTCAAAAGGTAGCAAGCCTGATCAGCTTTGACGTCAAAGGGGCCTATAACGGGGTCTGCAAGGACAGACTTCTTCAGCGGATAAAGGCGGGAGGCATCCCAGACGAGCTGCTTCAATGGACAAACGCCTTCTGCTCGGAGCGCACAGCCACAATTCAAGTCAATGGATATACATCCGAGGTTCAAAGCCTACCTCAAGCTGGTCTACCTCAAGGCTCTCCTTTATCCCCGATCTTATTCCTCTTCTTCAACGCGGACCTAGTACAACGACGAATCGACAGTCGTGGTGGTGGGATAGCCTTCGTGGATGACTTTACAGCGTGGATCACAGGACCGACGGCGCAAAGTAACCGGGAATGCATTGAAGCCATCATCAGGGACGCCCTAGACTGGGAGACAAGGAGCGGTGCGACATTCAACGTACAGAAGACAGCAATCATACACTTCACTCGCGTAATCTATAAGACCGACGCGCAACCATTCACGATCAAGGGGCAGATTGTCGAGCCTCAGGACCATGTCAAGATCCTTGGCGTGCTCATGGACAAAAAACTAAAGTATAAAGAACACATTTCGAGGGCTGCGTCCAAAGGTTTGGAAGCAGCTATGGAACTAAAACGCCTCCGAGGTCTGTCCCCATCAACGGCGCGACAGCTGTTTACATGCACAGTTGCCCCGGTGGTGGACTACGCCTCCAATGTGTGGATGCACGCATGCAAGAATAAACTCGCAGGACCCATCAACAGAATTCAAAGAATGGCGGCGCAAGCTATCGTGGGGACCTTCCTCACAGTGGCAACGAACGTAGCGGAAGCGGAAGCTCATATTGCCAGCGCACAAGATCGGTTCTGGAGACAAGTACTCGATGGGCCCCATATAGCATCGGCCCTGGGACTTCATCCCGTGTGGAAGCTGCTTCCCGACAGCTAGGGTGCCTTTGTCGCTTCAGTCATATAGACGAAGTCGGGCGAGCAAGTGTCACGGTTATGGTCGCGTACCGCGCCCCGATGGGGGCGCGCGCGGGAAGCGTTCCCAGCCAATCATTAAGAATGGGTCTCAGACCAATCAGCAGGGGAACGGAGGGAACGGCTACCGTTCCCAGGATTCAGTATGGAACGCGAGGAACGATCACCGTTCCTCACGTTCCCAGCAAAAGGTACGCCGGTACCTAGGAAGCCTAGATAGTATATAGTCACTCGTTCTGGAGAGCTCTGGGAGTTCTCCAGTTAGCAATCACAACTACAGTTCGCTACAAGCTCGGAAGCCTACTGTTGAGACAACCCTCTGTCGTGCACCTTTTGGCTGCACCGAACCTAAGCACCCTTGAGAGATTACCTTCAACCGAAGCTGAACCCTAACAGGACAGGGTCCTGAAGTAGGTTCGTCACAGCAAGCTCGAGTCCCTGCGCCGCTTTCCATTGCATAAACATGCTGACCTCCTGAAGGATCAAATACCTACGGTGGAGCATTTGCAGGGGCTGGCGGCGCGCGAGTTGGATGGTGGTCAGCAGGTGTTCGTGGCAGGAAATGAGTTTTGGGTGAAGGTAGTCGAGGCGGAACCGGAGAAGTGGAATATGCGGCCGGGGCTGTCGGATTGTTTCCGCGTGCCGGTTGGGTTGTTGGAGGAGTATTGGTTTCAGCGGGAGCGGGCGCACCCGGCTCGGGAGATGCTGTGGAAGGAGGATCAGCGTTTTCCCAGCGAGTTGTTCTTTAGCACATGATATTGAGTTCTCTGGTGTTGTTACTTCGCAGACCATAGGATAGGTATCGATGGAGCTGCAATACAGGTTGGATCGCGGCCATTCTGTCCATTTTGTTCGGGTGCTCGGTAAGAATCTCAACGTATGGTAAGCAGTGTTGGGTAATGTCATCTGCACCTGGAGGTGCAGACCTTGTGCCCGTCCTGTGAATCTGCCTACACCTTTAACTTGATTCCAACCTTCCATTGGACTGAGATGACAACATTATCGGTGACATATGATGCCTCGTTTTTATGGCCTATACCACACCACCCGCAATGCGTCCAGGACACTGAAGTGCTTGCACTACAACCAAGTGCAACTTTAAAATGCTGCCGGAACATGGTGTCGACGCCAACGAGCGAAGATTTCCAACGCCCAGCCCGGCAAGGTATTCGTCGACAGGCGTTTGTGTGCGTTACAACGGGCGCTTGCGGGATACTTTCATTGGTTCTGTATCCAGCTGAAAGGCTGTGGACCGAGGGTTCAGTGTGGAATTTCGCGGCTGATTCCGAGACAACTTGCGCATTCTGACAGTAGACATAAGCCAAAAGGCAGGACGTCCATTTGTGGGGATGCGGGAGGGTAGCAGGAAGAAACACGGGTTGTGCAGGTAGGTAGCACCGCTTGATGTATTGAGCTAGGAGAAGAGGAATGTTGCGTAACCCATTCGTCAACATCTGTGTGTATCATTGCCCCATCGGTTATATTGTTTGTGCATCTCAGCTGGCACGAGGCTATAAAAGTTCCTGACCCGTGTTCGAAAAAGGACGAGAGGCATTACGCGAGTCTCGACTACCCCGCTGCGACAACACAGCTTCAACAGGCCTGGTTCTGATTCGAGGGTAATCTGCAGAGGTCATATATCCTCGACTGACGAAAACTGTTGCTTGCATGCTTCTAACGACATGCATCAAGTTGATTGGTGATAGTACGGCGCCTCCTCGTAATATGGCTCTGATAACCGCCCTTGCCGCCCTCTCCGTTGTGGAGAGAAGGGTCGTGTCAGTCCGAAGCAATTGATGTTCTCCGTTAATTACAAGAAAACAGGGGGACATGACTGCTGGGACTAACACCATATAAACCCCCGACCTTTCCGGCTCGCCCTGACTATTCCTAGGCCATGAACCCAGACATCCAATGACACATTCGCACCCGCACATCAAACATCGGAATATTCCCGTCAGCACCCTCAACCATGTCCGCAGTACTTCTTCCTGACTCCCGTATCACCTCAATGGTGATGGGAGACGACATCTTTGCGTATGCACAAGCTTATGATGGCGATCTGTACCAGTTTGTCGGGGCTGTTGACGACGGCGTGGCTTACTACGGCCAGAGGAGGAAGTCGGGCGTCATCATCGAGCGCCTGCGAGGCAGCAAGCCTGGGCCCAACGCCCCCAAGCTTTTCACGCCGCTTGCCGCTGTGTCGTTCGTGGATGAGCTCAACAAGCCGATGGCCGAGAAGGTAGGCAATGCGGAGAGAATCTCCTGTTCCCTTGCCTCAGCTTATCCGAATCTAGTTTGTCTTTTATTTGGACGATAACAACATCCTCCACGACCAGTACTACAACTCGACCACCAACAACGAATTTCAACACGGGACTTTGTCGAGCCTGAAGATCGAATGTGCTCACTACTCGTCCTTGGCCGCCGTCACCATCAAGGGCGACGTTGTGAACCACATGTGTGTGTTCTACCAGACCCCCGGCAAGGACGGCGCCGTCAAAATGGTTAGCTTTGCCGGCTGGCATCGAACCTGGGAGTTAGGTCAGGCCAACCTCAGGGACCCGCCCCTCTACGGCACCTCTTTGACCGCTGTGCCTCCTCGTCCCCGGCATTCTGGGGCGGAGTGGCTCGGCCCCGGGCAAACGCAGGACAGCCGGTATACTACCTCCAAATGGACAACAATGCTGTTGGGAGTGGACAGGGCACGTCAGGTAGGCGCACCTCAGTCAATCAATCTCAACATTTTTCGTTCGTTTCTAACATTCCGTGCCTACAGAGCCTCTCCCGCTGTCAGGCTACGACAACGACGGCAAGCCGGTTGCGTTCCCGCCTCACACAAGCCTTACCGCCGTGGACAATGGCTCGCAGCTCCATCTCATCTACAAGTCGCACTCCGGAAAGGTGAAGGTGATCCGCCTGGACCCCAACCAAGGCCTCCAAGTCCCCGAACTGTTCTTCCACGACCTCAACGTGGCACCCAGGAGTTACATATCCGCATGCCTGGCCCCCAACACGGGCATCAACACCAGCATCGTCTTGTTCTACCAGGTCCTTGACGAGGTCTCCAGAAAGGTCCAGATGACGGCCAGGGTGGTATCCAGGCCCACCGCCGCCGCCAGTGGTACCCAGTGGAATGTGTCGGACAAGGAAATCCTAGGGCGGTGTGATGTGCATTTGTGAAATAAAGGTCATCGACTTTAAGTCAACTGAACACGGTTGTATGGGGAATGGGAGAGAATTGGTTTGGGTTATGCACTCCTCTTACCCGTAGCTGCTTCCTTTGTGGGGATTGTTTTCAACGCGAGTCGTTTCAATACATGACTGTCTGATCTGCCCGGTGACGTATGTGCATCCCTCCTTGGCTTACAATGGCTTACAGGGCGACAGGGCTATTGTCAGAATACGGGATTCACTGGTCCAATCAGGCAATCAAGTATGGTTGTTGTCCGCGCTTGTTGCGCGTCCGTTGTATTTTTCGGTGTCCCCTGTTTTAGACTCCGACATGTGGGTCCCCTTTGGGGTTATTACCCGTCGAAATGAGAAGTGATGGTTAAGCTAAACATGCCCCGTTTTCTTCATATCCGAAGCCTCCACCCCGGAATATTCTGACAGCTATGCCTGGAGGAACTTGTTGGAAAGGATGGAGTAATCAGACTGCCTCAGGCCACCTTGGTAAGCCCCAGGCACCAGACCCGAATTGGGGACAGAGAAAAGGCGGCTTCCGAATCTGCGAGAATCATCAATCAAGAAATCAGTTGAACCCATTCAATTTCGACCCCAATGAACCCCGTGTCCTGCGCTGTGCCAATATTCGTTAAACCCGTATAACGTCCAACAGAACTCCAGGTTCCTTAGGTGCCTGGAGGAACGTGCGAGGAACGAGTACTTCCGAAAGGTGCCTGGAGGAACGTGCGAGGAACGAGTACTTCCGAAAGGTTCCTTTGCCTGGAGGAACGTGCGAGGAACGAGTACTTCCGAAAGGTTCCTTTTTACTTCCGAAAGGTTCCTTTTCCGAAAAAAACCATGGTATGCTCCAAGCACGGACCAGTCAGTCCCATAAAAAACCCACTAAAAAAAGCCGTGTCATTTCTCCCTCTAAACTGTGAAGGTTTACTGTCATTATCCTGACGATTGTGGAAGCAGCCATGTTGCTTTGCCTGGAGGAACTTGCCTCTGACGATGAGCGTCTCGAAGTTGGGCTTGGCAGTGGTGGTGCACGGACGGTCTGTTGGGGTTTGTCGGCTGTGGGGCTGGCCCCGCTTTATAAGGGCCAATGAGATGGCGTACCCCCGGCCAGGTTCGCCGACGACCACGAAAAGATGCAGATTGCAGGGCAACACGGCAACAAGTTGAGAAGGAAAATAAAAATATTAATTGAAGCAGCTTATTCCGCTGGAAAAGAGCTCCAAAACAGAGCAACGTTGGAGAGCTGTGCTACGATCTGAGCTCGGAAACCCCAGGGTCTCGCCAGAGCGCCGCGTCCTCTACGTCATCGGTTTCAGTACCCTGGCCAGATTCAGGCATGGCAGCCCATTCTTGAAACCACGACTCGTGCCTGTGGTCTTGCTCGAACCGCCGTCTGGTCTCCTCACCCCGTCGTTCCAGCTTGAGGATGGCCTCCCTCATGTCTTTGTCGAGCACATTCTTGGGCTCAATAAAGTCGCCACGCCCCGGTTTCCGAAACAGATGCAGCCCGTCCCAGCTCTGCGCCCTCGACAGCTGCACGTACAAGCTCATGAAGCTGGGTCGAGTCACCGTACCGCTGGAGTGGACGCCTTTGAGGTTGACGAGGACGTTGGAGAACTGCTTGCCCTGGCTCTTCTGATCTGTCATGGCGAAGGCCGGGGTGCAAAGAGGGCCCCGTTCGGTGGGTGACCCACCTGAAAACCTGGCTTGCCCCTCCATCTGCCTTTCCTTGCCCCGCATTTGGGCTCGGGGATGGCGACCGTCTTGCTCTTTGATTAAAATGGTGCCATTGGGGAGCCCGGGGATGGCGAGGCCCGCGCTGTCGTCTGACTCGAGGAGGACGGCCACCGGCGGTCCAAGATGAAGAGTCACATCGCTGGCGAAGGGCGATGGTGCCGGCGGCGAGGTCGGGAAAGATGTCGACGGCCTTGAAAAGGCGCCCCGTTGACGACCTTTAGCCCGACAAACTGGTTCCGAGTCACCACTACCGGCATCCCTTGGGCGTAGAAGAACAGGCCGGGGGTCGGCAGCTGCGAGTCGTCTCCGTAGCGGAGCACGTGGCATAGGTCCCCCGCACTCAATCGCTTCCCCGACTCAGTATCGTGCTTGGCCGCAAAGACTGAGATGTGCTTACCGTGGGCACGAGCCCACTGGACGACGGCCGCCATGTTCAGGTCCCACCGGTCTTGGTTCAGAGGCGTGATGGCTCTCAGGCCGTCTACGAAGGAGGACTCGCACGACGGTGTATAGACGCGTTGGCTCAGCCGCTGGAAGTCCAGCTCGGTCTGCTCCCCACTGCGCAGGCGCCGGAGGAAGCTCCGCAGCCTTGCACAGCCGGCCGCGCGGACCTGTTCGCGGTAGGATGACGACGTTCGCGAACTGGAGGAACAGCTTATGCGCTGCTAAGTGCTTTGCCGAGCTGTCCGGTCTCTGTCCACCGGGGTCCCTAGGCGTTGGCAAGAGGAGGCTGGTCTGCAGGACGGGGTCGAACTGGAAGAAGTCACCAAAGAACATGACCATTGGGATCCCGCCGAACGGTCGATGGTGGTCGTCTCTGTACTGCTTCAGGCGGCTGTCCACCGCCGCGAGCGTGAGACCGCCCACCTGGCTGATCTCGTCGATAACCAGCATGATCATGTTTTTCCAGGTCGAGGAACGCCGCTGGTAGCAAGACTGCCATCGACTGGAGCTTATTCAAAGTCCAGTGCCTTGTGAGCCCCAGGGCCACATCGACGTATGTTGCATAACGCCCGAGCTCGAGCCGCATCTGTCCGCCCGGGCCGACCCCTTCTGGAGATCTTTCGCGTCCGTGAACGGGCAACCGTGGGCTCCCCGTGTGGCTCGCCGGCATGCGCAGAAAGACGGATTCATTTGCCTGCCCTGGATCTTCGCCGTGACGCTGCTGTCCTCTTTCTTCTGGACCTTCAATACCGCGTCGATCTCCTCGCGGCTGGGCAGTCCCATGCCGCGGAAAGGCGAGTCTTGGAGGTCCTGTAACATGGTATAAAAATGGCGACCACGCTGGGGCAGCATTGCTGTCGTCCTGGCTTGGGTCAACTGCCCTCGCCTCTTCGTCCAAGCGCCTCAGGGCCGAGGGCGCCGCCATATCCTTTGATTTCGCTACGTCCGGGACCGCGGATAGGACATCCAGGAAGGCTTCGTGGTGGGCTTGCGGATTAATACTCTCCACGTCCTCACCGACGCCGTCATCGTCGCCCACTTGGTCGCCAAAGTCCAGTCCGTCCACGGCGTCCTCGGGAGTCCTCTTCAAGGCCTTGCAGCTTTCGATCAGCACGGGCATCGTCCGCCGAGACGCGTAGCAGAGCGATGTTCTGGAAGTGTGAGCGGATTCGGGCGCCCAGCTGCCCCTCGAGCGATCGCCAAAGTCCTGGTATATCGTCCGCTGGCTCAGCCTGAAACCTTCCCATGGAACGAAGAGGGCAAGGTGCAGGACTGCGTTTCTGTATGTGACTTGTAAGCAGTTTTCTTTTACGCCAAGAGGACCCTGATACCTACCTCTACAAATTTCTCGTCCTGCTCAAACTTACCTTCCAAGGCGTAGGCGTTAATAGATAGGAGACAGACGAAACCCAGTCCGTACAGGTGGCGCTGGCACTGCCCCGTGATGGCGGCTTGACTCCGTACGCCCCATTATTTTGCGCTGGAGCAGGACCTGGCTGCTAACACTTCCAAGTGTCATCCCCCGCCAGCTCGATGGTCCCGACCAGACAGCTCCTTGGCCAAGCACTTCAGCACATGTGTCCTTTGCCAGCCCCGTCGAGCTAGATACCTTTCATATCAAGCAAGGAGTCTGGCCGGAGCCGCTGGTCAAGACTTCGGTGTTCGCCAAACTCGGGTCTTACTTGCAGCCAGAGAACGACCGCCCTCCTCGCAAAGGCATACACATATGCCACGTCCTCGTTCTCTTCCCCGTCGACCAGCAACCCTGGCAGTCTCTGGCCGGGTGGATGCGGACCGCCGCAAACCCCTTTCCCAAGGGATCGTGGATCGCGTGCAGTGGTCGACTCCTGGGGGTCCTAGACCGCGACCTGATCCAAGGCCCTCGGAAAGTCGATCCCACTTTTCGAATTCTGGTGATTCTCGCCGACAATTGGGAACTCATTCGGCAGAATTCCCCGTCAACCAACAATACACCGACGCCGAAATCATCGGACCCTGTCGGCAACTTGCCAACGACACCATGATCGGCTGGCCCCGGAGTAGTCGCAAGCAGAAATCCGTTCTCTTCACTAGGCCGTGCTGAAAATCCCACTTCCTCGCCTCAGAATCCATCTTCCTCGCCGGTTGCCCCAGAAACCGCAGAACGCGAAGCGACCAAACCACCATCCAGCCCTGGAGCACAGCTAGACTCGATCACGGCCGATCCCGATCAAATGCCCACGGGTTCATCTTCAAGTATATATCACCGCCTTCCACAGCCACGGCTCACCTAACTATTGATCTACATGGCGACGACTCGAACGATGCTTCGGACACAGAAGAATTATTGGACGCTCAACCCGTTTCGAGCAGCAGGACTCCGACAAAGAAAAGAAAGGAACCAAGCTCTCCGGAACCGGCCAGAAGCAAGAGATCCACAGCGGGAAGAAGGCGCGGCTGTATGACTAGCTTTTGAGGTTGACCAAAGAACTGCTTTTGCTTGCTTTCCCAACATTCGTCAACCGTCCTAAAACTGATCGACCAACCATATTCTGATGCCGCTATGGGTTACCTGCGCCGGCCCGTTCCTCCAGGCTTCCTTTGGCGGGCACGCGCGCAGCGGGCACGGTCACTCTTGTCGAAAATGCCATGGCCTGCTCCAAGCACGAACCAGTTTCTTTCCTTTTTCGGACATGACCCCGCTGAAAAGACGGTGTCATTTTGAACCTGCACTGTCGACTTCTCACTGTAGAGTTTTGGCTTTTTCTCCTTTCGATTTCTCTCGATGGCATCTCGAAGTCTGGCGTCATCTGCATTCTGCTTCCTTGAATCAGCATCTCGCAGTTGGTCTTGGCGGTAGTGGTGCACGGACCATTTGATGCTTTGACACCTGGCCAATCGGATCGCCGAGAAAAGCCGCTAACCCGCACTTGGCATCAGGGTCGCTGTGACTCGCTGCTTCGCTCCTGCTTTTGCATGCCTCCGTCGCGCATTCCTTGACAATCACGAACACGAACAAAAAAAATCGGATTTCTGTCAAAAAGTGGCGAAAGATGAGGTTTGCAGGGTCAACATCTATTATGGGCTAACTATACTACTAGAGCGACGCACCGGCTTCTTCGTCAGCAGCTTCAGTCTGCGCTGATTCGGCCATGACGTCCCATTCCTGGAACCACGACTACAGAGAATAACGTCAACATTGCCAAGATTGCCTGGCTCAGCAGGAAGGATACAAGCAAGGCCTACGGCTCGATGGTCGTCTCCGTGACGAAGGGTAGCGAAGCAAATTGCTTCTTTGACGCACAAAATACACGGAACCTATCAGCTCTGTGAGATTACGCCACAGAGGTTAATCTTTACGGGATCTGATTACTGAAGCCCCTAGATGACGATATAGCTTACTGGAGACTCAAGAATGCGGCGTCATACATCGGCGATGAGGTCAAACCGGTGCTAGAGGCCACCTTTTTTACACCGCGGTGCTCCATTTTCCCAATCCAAGGAACTCAATACGTTCTTTCCATCACGATTTTCTGACCTAAACTACAATCATCTCCTGATACTGTTTATAATTCCATTGCAGTCAAGATGGCTTCTTCTTCTGCTTTTAACAATTATATCGTTGACTCCGCTATGGGGCCTACCTGCAGCCGGCAAGTTCCTCCAGGCTTCCTTTGGCGTGCCCGCGCGCAGCGGGCACGGTCACTCCTGTTCGTAGGATCATCTGTAAACGACACTTGCTGACGCTACTGTCACATACGACCATATCCACGAGAAAGTACGGGATCCCGTCCGCTCTCCCCTAGTCAAACTTGTGAGAGCCGAACTAGTACTCAGGTCGGTGACGACTGGGGAATCCTCGGTGTTGTATGTTTCTCTTCTTTTTGCTTACAATTTGACTCCGTCCCGATTCAAGGAGGTCTGAAATGGGATAAAGATACATGGACTCGAGTATGGTGAGTGGGGTTGGAAAAACCATTCAGCCCCGCAAGATTTGCCTGCAAAAGTCGAGAATAGAATGCTTGACACCGCTGAACATGCTGATGTTTTTGACGCGGACAACATCAGCTACCAACCGGATTCTCAGCTCGTGGAAGGGTGATAAACGCAAAAGACTCAAGCACAACAACAATCTCATTGACAACTAAGAAACAAGCTAAAATGAAATTCTCCAGAACCGCCCTCCAAAAACAAAACGCTGGACTTACTCCCCACCGACCTACCCTCCGACTCCCCTACCCCCTCATACTCTGATACAAGTCCTTCAACACCCCACTCTCATTCTGCAACAACTCCTCCGGATGGCCCGCTTCCACCACCCTGCCGTGGTCCAACACCACCACCAAATCAAAATCCAGAATATGCTCCAGCCGGTGCAGCACCTCAATGACGGTCTTGCCCTTGAGGTCGCGCGCCACAATCTCCCGCACCAGCATCTCCGTCTCGTGGTCCATGCTGCTCGTGAACTCATCCATCAGCACAATCTGCGAGTCGCCCCGCTGGAATAGCCCGCGCGCCAGGCAGAAGAGCTGCTGCTGACCGATGGACAGCCGTTCCTCGGGGTTGAGCGGGCTGGAGAGCGTGGTGGGTGCCGCGGCCTCGGCCTTTTTCTTGGCTTCGGCTTCTTCCTCGGGAGAGAGCTTCTTGGGTTTGCTCTTCTTTTTCTTTTTCTGTGGCTTCTCGTTCTCCATGGGGATGGGGCCGGCCTGGGTGGTGTCTGATGCTTGGGTGATGGACATGTTGGAGGGATCGGTGACGGCGATCTCTTGGAGGAGAGAATCTAGATCGTCGGCGGGCTCCGCGGACGCAGTGGGCTTGCGGGTGAAGAGCGCATCCCAGATGCCGACCCTGCGCAGGAGAGACTCGATCAAGGCGTCCGTTTCTTCCGGGGTGCGCGACGGGTTGGCTTCGTCCCACATGACCATGTTGGCGCGGATCGAGTCATGGATGAAGAGGGACTTTTGTGGGAGCGTCATGATGCGCTTGCGCAGGGAGTCACGCGAGATGCGGCTGACGTCCAGGCCGTCGATGATCACGCTGCCCGAGTTCAGGTCCAGGCAGCGGAGGAGGGTCGCCAGAAGAGAGGATTTGCCGCTAATGGTTTGTGAGTGACAGCTCAAAGGTACGAGAGAGGAAGAGGCCATACCTTCCACTGCGGCCGCAGATAGCCACTTTAGTGCCGGGGGCGATATACAAATTGATGTCGCAAACCGCAGGTGGCAGTTGAGGGCTGTTCAGTCCACGTCAGCGAGTAAATCCGGCCACTTGTCGCATATTACACACCTGTACGATGCAGAGACGTGTTGCAACTCAATTCCTCCTTGAGTCGGCCAGCCCGGATGGGGAGGCGGCAGCGGGAACTTCTCCTCCGGTTCGACGTCCTTGTTGAATCGCCTGATACGGGCTACGGCACCAATCGACGTTTCGAGGTTCGCCCAGAACGTGATGAGGTACTTGAAGCTTGTGCTGAGGGAAATCTAGAAGAAGTCAGTAGAGATCTTAACGGTGGTGGTTCCTTAGGAGTACGAACCAAGTTGACCAGTGCTAGACCCAAAAAGCCCAAGGACTGCGAAGACCGGAACGTGACGGCCAGCGTGGTGACCAAGATCGCCAACAGCATAACCACAAAATCCAGAATCATCTTGAGCCAAACCTGAACTGATACCAGCATGTAATGCGCCCTCTGTGAATAATTCAGCAGCTCTGTGTTGCGGGCAGAGAACTCCCCAGTCCGGTCAAACGCCCTGATGGAGACGATACCATTTATCGTCTCCAACAAAAACGAAGACAACGGCGCCTTGGCCTCAATATCCATGAGACGCAGCTGCTTGGACGTCCGGAGGTAGAACTTCTGGATGACCCAAAGGACGATGATCAGCACAGGGATTGAGATGGACACGTATTGAGACGAGATCATGACGATGACGGTCTCGGCGCAGACACCAAAGAAGGAGGTCGTGGTGTTAACCAAAGCCATCGGCAACTCATCATCGATGAGCATGATATCTTGGATGAATCTGTGGGGTGTTAACGAGGCCCATTGTTGGTAAGGGATGGCACGTACCTGTTGGCAATGGTGTGAGACCCCACCGAAACGACGTAGGTGATCGATGCCCTAGAAATATTAGATAATTCAGTTTGATGATGTGGTGAGGTTACTCAGTACTCACTTCATCAAGGTCTCAAGCTGCCCCAAATACAACCTCAAGGACGATGTTGGGAGGAGAACGTCAAAGAAGAACCTAACAATACCCGCTCAGCATCACGGCCAACGCCACCAACGGACGGGCGATCACTTACACGCAAATTCCACCTAGAAGGGAAACACCGCCGACGATGAGGGCCGTAAAGACGCCCATGTAGTACGCGAGGGAAGCCTCCTGATCCTCCGCCCACATCTTCAGCCAAACAGCTAAACCAAAACGTCAGTCACAGTTCACCGTACACAACAGACACCAACGCTAGAACTCACTCTCAAACGACCGCTCTCCCGCCAAAACCGCCGCCAGGACAAAAAACAGCGTAATCCCCACCACGCCACATGACTTCAAAAAGTAGCTATAGACACCCCACTCGGAGGGCGCGCGGCTCGCCTGGTTCTCCTCCTTGTCAAGCGGCGCGTCCTTGAGCACGATCTTGCCGTCGCTGGTGACCTCGACGGCGTCGCCCGCGCTGGCGGACGCTTTGGGCGCGGCCACGCGAGAGAGCAGCGAGTCGTCGAGGCCGCCATTGGCGAGGAGCTCGTCGTAGGTGCCGCGGTGGGCGATCATGCCGTTGGAAACGACGAGGATTGTGTTGAAGCGGGGGAGGAGTTGCGCTGGGGGGGTGGGTTAGTGGTGGTGGGGTGCGAAAGGTGGTGGGGGGGTAGGGGAAGTTACTGGAATGGGTGACTAGGACGGCTGCGCAGCTTAGCTTGGCGAGGAGGCCGTTCTCGGAGAAAACGGCCGAGAAGATGTGGGTTGCTGACTTTCGGTCGAGACCGCTGAAGATGTCGTCCATGAGAAGGAGATCTGGCCTGCTGTAGACGGCGCGCGCGAGGGCCTGCCGTCGTTAGTTGGCACCTTAAGGATCGAAACCGACGCGGCATGCGACGAAGGCATTAGGAAATGGGACTTACCACACGGCTCTTTTGCCCTCCACTCAACGCCGACCCACCGCTACCAACGCCAGTATCGTCGCCCTCGGCAAATCCAGTGATATCTTGGCCAAGCGCACATGCTTCAACCACCCTGCCATACCACTCCTCCTCGAATGGAAGAGAGCCGATAATATTCTCCTTGACGCTCTGATCCAGCAGCCAAGGTTCCTGATCGCAAAATGCCACCCTGAGGCCACGACGCATCTGGCGAGTCCCGGAGATGTGTTCAATTTCTCCGAGAATGGCTTTCAGGAGGGTAGATTTTCCAGAGCCAACTCTGGTTAACGTTAGCAGCATTCAGATTGCCAATTGAAGGGGTGACTTACGGTCCAATAACGGCTGTAAATGAACTCGGTGGAATGGCCAATGACATGACGTACAGCGCGGGCGCTTCCTCTCTGCCCTTCCAGCAGAACGAAGCATCCACGATCTCTACTAGGTCAACCATGGTGCTGTAGCGGGGGCTGACATCCTGGAAGCCCGGCCCCCCCGGATAGTAGGCATGGAACTGGTCCATAGTGGCTCTGTGCTCAGGCTTGAGCGTGAATGAGCTGGCGGACGACGTCTCGGAGACAGCGAAGGGGCCGTTTGCCACCTCGAGCACACGATCCTCGTTGAGAAGATCCTGCACTCGTCCCAGGCATTTGAACATCGAAATGAGAGCGGGCGTGCCCTGGATGAGAAGAAACAGGGGATCGAGAGAGATGCGGAGGAGTGCGAGGGCTGAGAAGAGGGTCTGGAAGGTTAGGGGAGTCCCATAGATTTTGCTGATAATGGCGAACCCGCCAAAAGCGACGAGAATGGACAATTCGGTTGACGCAGCGGCTGTGAGATGTGTCAGCAACCTATTCCGAGCGTGGTCTCGGAGACGACTTACATAATGTGATGATGATAGACAGGATCCGTCGGAAGCGCCTACGTACCATTAGTCCCAGTCTCGGGTGAGTTCCACAGGGCACTGTTGCTCACCGTCCAAGTTCGACCTCGGTGAAACGCAGCTTTTGAAGATTCTGCATGTAATCCGGAGAGAGCCCGAGCATCTTAACTTCCTTAAAACCGGTGATCATAAACATGGTAGACTTGACGCGGTCTTCCGTCGCTTGGAGCCAAGCGACTTGTCGAGGGCCCAAGGGCGCGCTGCAGATACCGGCCAAAACCATCATCACTAAAACCAAAGGTCAGCTCAACCTCGTCGCACAAAAGCTCTCGATCACTCACCAAGTGTGCAAAGCAGTGGCGCAAGGAATCTAGAGTCATATTAGCATCCGCACATTCCACAAGAAGGGCTAGCGAGACTCACGCAAGCTGGATCTTCAGATACAGCAGGTAAACAGCAACCGCAACAGTGATCATACTCGCCCAGATATCATGCAGAATCTTGCTCCCCTCCATGATATGCTGCATATCCACGTTAATCAGCGTCGCTGCCTTGCCCGAATCCAGAGCAGCCAGCCTCATTTTCAGCAGCTGGCGGTAGCAGGAATCAATCAACTGGCTGCGCAGTTCGAGCGACAGCTTGTTGCAAGCGTGATGGTACCACGCGTTGAAGAGCGCCATCAGCAGGTAGAGCACAGCAAAAGCACCAATCAGCGCGTGGCCAACGTCGACCCGCTCGCCATAGCCTGACCCTTGGACGAAGGTCAGCATGCGCTCCAGCAGCATGGGTTGAGTGAGCGTAAGGGCGATGATGATGGCGCGGGGAAACACAGGGATGAGGAATTTCCCGGGCATGGACTTGAAGAGGGTTACTAGGAGGGCGGATTTGGCGGTCTTGTTGGGGTTTCGCGCCCACCGTGCCCGGAAGCGCTCCCGCAACAGTTCAGCGGATTCGTCATCGCGAGGCCCTGATAGATCTGAGGAGACGAGATACCGGGTGTAGCCTGAAACCGTCAATAAGTGTGTTCTCGGTTTATGAGGTTTACTTGGCGGGGCTGACAAACCGTTCCCATAGTGTTGAGCCAAGCCAAAAGAACATGGATCGGCCGTAGAAGCCGGCCATTTGTTCCATGGTATACCTCTGTTTGATGTCGGGGGGAACGAGCTGGTCTTTTCTGGCCGCTTCGGCGAGTACCAGCATCAATTTGACGGCTAAGGCAACTGACTCGGCGGCGGCTAGCGATGTGTGAGCTGAAGTGGGCATCAGCCACAGTGTCCGAACTCGGACAACATCAAACAAAGCAGTAAGTAGCAGATACAGCTCGATGATGAAGCTGGGCGCTACGCGGAATGCATGCTCAAAGTAGCTAACGGCGGAGAGAGGGAAGACGGCGACAAAATTTAGTGCCGCCGCTGCCAGAGTTAGTTTCGTCCTTGGTGCTGTGGTGTCTGGTAACGCCCATAACATCAGAACAGCCAGTTTAAGGAGGCCCAGGGCAATGATCAGGCCCTAGATCATGTCAGAATCATCGGCGAGAACCAGACGCGGGGTTGCGTACCTGCTTCACCCAGAAGATGATGCCATTGTTAGCTTGTCTCGGCCGACCGAAGAGAAAGGCCACCTGGAGTGCAGCTGCGATGATCAACAACGCGGCAGGGAGGAGGGACAAGATGGACTCCTCAAAGGTGAGGGTGAAGTCCAGCCCGCCACGACATGGCCCAGCCGAGGGGCCCCATGTGTTGTCGACAGCGACGCAGTCCATGGTCTGCGCGCTCTAGGGTTGAGGGCTGCCTAGTTGCTTGTGTTAATTGGGCCGGGTGACGATCACCGATGAAGTGGTCCAAGGGAGATGACAAACCAGATGGTAGAGGGTGGAAGAGAGGTGCGAGTATTGTGTTCAGGTGTTTTTGGAAGACGAGGGCATTGCCTACCCGACGAAGGCGCGATGGTCAGTCGGGGGGAAGAGAAGAGGCGAGAAACTGGGGTCAAAGAGAAGTGGGTTCATTCAGGGGGAGGGGGAGTGATGGGAGTAAGGAGGGAAGGGATCATCTCTCGCTTGATGTACCTAGATGTTGTGGTTTCCAAGCATGAGCAAGGCGGTGAGCCAAGCCGAGCAAACCACCACCTCGGAGAGGACGAAGTCTTGTGATGTCCGTTTTCAGTGTCCGTTTTCAGACGAAGTGTCCTGGATGCAACGACGTGCTGCGGGGATTCAATAGTCAATACGAGGATAGTGGCAAGGGCTCGGCGAGGCTATTTCGGGTTGGATGTCAAGATTGGGAGGAGGGGAAGGTAAGGGGTAGGAATGTCGGAACGTGGCCGTCTTCAGCCGTGATGCCCGATATCACTCATATGAGAAAGCCGGTGGTTCGGCACCGTGGCGCGGGTCGAGGCGGGTATTGGTGGGAAAGTAAGCCTACCCGAGCGAAGCACACCATAAAGTATCAACAACATGGTCGGACAGGGATGGCGGGAAGTAACAACGGGTGGAGGTCGCCGAGGGTGGTGGGGTTGTAGAAAGCTTGCTCCATGATGCCAAGCGAGTTATCCGCACGGATGGACCTTTACAGAATCGGGGTTTTTCAACTTTGCTGTCGGTCAGCCACACAGGTCCAGCCTGGGCAGGCTAAGGCATGTGTGACTGCAAGTGTAAGTGTGTAAGCCATGGGGGGTATTGTGCCCCGCAATTTTGAGCGAACTGGAGCTTGAAGTGCGAAGGTGTGCCATTTTGGTTACATCACGACATCGTGGTGGGGGCGGTGCGGGTCGTTCTGCATTTAGAGTCGCTTTGCAGCCGCATGTGGTTGTGGGTTTGACGAGATCCATGGACCTCGAGGTTGGGGTGGTGTGCCTTGAGGTTGTTTTGTTGGGTTCTCGTCGGACGTTGTGCTGCAGAAGTGGGGGAGCAAAGTTCGGTCTGTGGTACGGAATAAGATGGCGTCGATCAGTGGATCGTTTCTCCAAATCAAGCTTGGCTTTCCCGCTCAGCTGCTGTGCCAGGCGAAAAAGCTTGTCTTCGTCTGAAGAGTTGTGGTTGGATAATGTGCAACACCAGCAGGGTTTAACCCCAGCCCCACAGCTAAAAACAGAATCCACCAAGAACGCCAAGAGTAAGCCTCAACGTCAGATCTCTCCGACAACGGTCAACCTTTTTCGTGCCACTCCCAACGGCTGGAAAAAGCTGGACGGGAGCCCCAGTGGCTCAGCAGGTCTTTCTTCAAAATCCGCCTTGTTTATTTCCTTGCTTTACCAATCGCAACAGCTGACGTGCTTTCCCCGCGCGCCCCACAGCCACGCGGTGAACTTGGGCAACCGTGACTGCCGAATGGCGGAAGGAATAGAACATAGCAAGTCGCCCAAGTAGGGTTAGTTTGGAAATAAATTTAGGTGACACGGCCCACACACCCTTTCGAATTTACCATGTTCGAGAAGAAAACTTGGCTCGATCTCAATGTGACTGTCCCAACTTCCATCAGTCCGATCTGATGTTGTGCAACCCAAGAAACCGACCCAACAGCAGCGCGCGAAGCCGACGCATGCAGTACCTGGATCTTCTGTTTCATTTTGACAGCCCACGTTTCATTGCAGCGCAATTCGAATACATGAGACCGCAGATTTTGTTTTTTGTTGATTAAGCCTCGGTTGTTTAGGGCGTAACGAGCGTTGTTCTCTTACAAGGAATAGCATTAAACTTTTCTAAGACGACCGGTTTCTAACTCACTAAATAACAGATTTTGTCAGTGAGCAAACAGAGGTCGGGCAAGACTGAAGCTCAGACGGTGGAGCAGCCCTCCTAACTAGCAGCTCGCAGCAGATGCGCCCTTGCGGCGGGAAGGATCGGCGGGTTTTAGCCCCGATTTGTTTCTCGATAGCTCAGAGCTTGTTCGAATAAGCTACAGCCCCACGTCTGCTCCAAGTCTCCTCCCATTCCCGCCTCAAGCGAGCAACCCGAGCCATCCGCTCTGCCATCAGAGACAACTCGTGGGTGGCCCTGACCCTGTCACTACCCTGTCATGAGTACATGGGTTAGGTCTGTCTTATGGTGGCGCAGTTGTACTGACCTCCCAATGTAATCATGTACTGAGTTGTGGGAGAACTCCACTCCCAACCTTTTCCTGCTTCCCGCACCGCAACAATGCCTTCAGCTGCCGACGGCTCAGCATACCAACCATGGCATATCATGGTCCCACGAGTCACCGGCATCCTGGTTAGCCCCACCGTTCACTGATCGGTCGCAAAAATAGCTTCGCCATGTTGACGGAAGTTGTCTTCCGGCCAATCGTTCTCAATCCCGACCCCGAGACCCCCATACACTCAGCGGACGACCCTCAAACCACCAACTCTGTCCTTGCCGAGCCATGCTCGTCGTCGGGGTTCAAGATGTAATACGGCTTAACATGCCGACTAGTCGGACTCACCACTGCGGCAGAATTCAATATTGGAACTCTGGACGGTTGCATCATCACCTCCATTGATCCCATCCTTTCATTAGCCAAGGGACTTCTCAACACCCTCACTTGCATTCAGCCCTTGCACTGAGCCCGACCCGCTTTCGGAGAACGGACTCCTTACCAGATTGGTCAGTATCAAGGTGCTTCTCGGATCCCCGGGCCTCGTGTTGGAAACAAAGTTCACAACCGGCCGCCAAGGTTCAGACCACCTGGTTGATGATAAACCCAACGGCCTCCAGGTCTGATCGACATTCTTATGCCCGATATTCGTCCAAGATCAGCAGAGACATTAAGCTCCTGTCGTATCACCATCGCCAACAAACTCCCGGCAATCACCTACCAAAGGTTAAACTCACTTGTCATAACCTTCAACATCTATCGACATCTTTTGCTGCTGTCGATACTTGACGACAGCAACACCAGCACGACCAACAACAACCAACCATCATACCCCCCCCACCTACCCCTTGAGAGTATCTTTACGGTCCATTGTTACTGTCCCCTACCCGCTATCCTGTGAACTAACCATCGCCTTGCTGCGATCTCAGCTTGTTTCAACGCCTTCATCTTTACATTTCTCCTCCTCTCCTCTAAATTGACCCCCTGCCAGAACTTGCCACTCATAACAGGATACGCCCTCGGCCTCATTGGCATCCTTTCAACCTCCACAACCCCGCCACAACCTTGCCTTACCACATTGATATCCTGAGCAAGGCAATCGCCAAAATGCACACCTCCCGGCTCTCCAACGACATCACACGCAAGTCCTTCTGGGCCCAGCGCCTCCAAGCTGTAGAGGCCGCACCAGATGCACCCCTCTTCTTTGACAAGCTTGATGGCACCCCTTCCACCCACCGCCCCGCCGCCGTCGGGCAGGAAGGGTACACCCGCACCAAGGCCGTCATGGCTGTGGATACGGGAAACCTCCAGGAGGCTGCTTCAATGCATAACCTCTCCGAGGACACCCTCGTCCTCGCCGCATGGGCCGTCCTTCTCCGGTCCTACGCCGGCGAGGATGGACCAGTCAGCTTCGGCGTCTGTCTCGACCGTGAGCAGGCTGCCTGGCTGTCAACCATGGCCATGTCTCGCGATGATGGACTCATCGGCGTCATGCGCGCCGCCGAACAGGACATGAAGTTGACCATGGGCCACACTCTACCTTTCCACTCGCTCGGAGCCTTCGCCGACGGTACCGGCTTTGGCACTATCGCAACTGCCATCCACCTCCATTCAAGGAAGCCGAGGTTTCCCGACATGCATTTTCCTGTAAGTTAATCACGATCTGACCCGCTAGAAGTTGGTAGCTGACTTTCAAACCATAGTCTCTGGCAACTGCATTCGTCAACGTCGCGGAGGGCACAATGGTGCATGTTCACCTGTCCTACCGCCGGGATGCCATGTCTGGTGAGCGGGCACAGAGTGTTGTCGACAACTTTGCCCACGTGCTCAACACTTTGACGCTGAAGCTTCGCACGGTTGGCCGTATTGACGCCGACGACCTGCTTGTCAAGTCGATCGACACTGTCAGCCGTAACGAGTACAACCGCATTGTCCAGTTCAGCGCCCCGCTCCCCCCGAAGCTCGATAATTGCGTTCATGACCTCATTCTAGCGAGGTGCGCGAAGCCAGAAAACGCGAACAAAATCGCCGTCGCCGCTTGGGATGGAAGCTTCACCTACGCCGAGCTTGCTCAGCAGGCTTTCCGCCTCGCTGGTGCCATCGCCGGCGCGGCGTACCACCTCAATGCTCGGGCTAACGGACAGCAACTTTTTGTCCCCTTTTACCTGACCAAGTCGAAGTGGACGCCAGTTGCTCTTCTCGGCATCCTCGCAGCTGGTGGTGCCTGTGTTCCACTTGAACCCAGCCACCCCGCTGCTCGTCGCAATGACATTCTGGGCCAGCTCAAATCCCCCATTGTGCTGACCAACGCCGGCCTCCATGATACCCTCGCGAAAAGCCTGGACCAGCAAACCCCCGTTCGCCACCTGATTTGCGTCGACTTGGACCATGATCCCACGGCTGCCGCCCCTCTCCCCCACGTCCAGCCGGATCACCTCTGCTATGTCATCTTCACGAGCGGCAGCACTGGGTCTCCCAAGGGTGTCAAGTGGGAACATAGCACCTTGGCGACTAGCGTCTGGGAGCACGGGCGCGAGTTCCACATGAACGAGCGTACCCGGGTTCTCCAGTTTGCGTCTCACGTTTTCGACGTTTCCGTGGTCGAGCTTATCACGCCTCTTGTTCATGGCGGCTGCATGGTCATCCCATCGGATAATGACCGTATCGAGCCAAAAAGGCTGACCAGGTTTATGGAAAGCATGGGCGTTAACTGTGCACTCTTCGCCGCGTCCTTTGCTCGCCTTCTGAGCCCGGCGGCTCTCCCAACGCTCCGGACCCTCATTCTTGGCGGCGAGTCGATCGGCCAGGAGAACATCGATAAGTGGACTCCGGCACTGGACCGTTTCATCATCGGTTACGGTTCTGCCGAGACCTGCATCAACTGCGCAAAGAACGAGTTCTCCGTCAAGACCCAAGCCAAGAAGCCCTGGAAGGAGTCCCTTGGACATGCGATCGGTGGGCGCATGCTCATTGCCGACCGCTATGACAGCGACAGGCTCGCCCCCATCGGCGCTGTTGGCGAGATCATCGTCGAGGGGCCCATCTTAGCCCAGGGCTACCTCAATGACGAGGCCAAGACTTCCAAGTCGTTCATCCAGAACCCGGCTTGGGCTCGCAAGACGCCTTCCTTCTCGGCCAACTCCAAGCGCCGGTTCTACCGGACCGGTGATCTCGGTCGCCAGGCCATGGATGGATCCATCGCCTTCGCGGGGCGAGCCGACTTTCAGGTCAAGATCCGCGGCCAGCGCATGGAATTGGACGAGGTTCGCTTCCACGTCGTCAAGGCCATGCCATCGGCCGTCGATGTCCATGTTGATGTGATCAGCCCCGTCGGGGATAAAATGCTTGCCGCTTTCCTTTCTTTTGGGACAACCAGCGACCTTGAACAAGGGGTACAGATTCACCCTATTGATGAGGCTCAAGCGGCTGCGTTGCGCAGCATGAAGGACGCCCTTCGTGGGAATCTCCCCGCGGCGGCGGTTCCTAGCTTCTTCATTCCGATTGCCAGTCTCCCCTACCTGGTTTCTGGGAAAGTTGACCGCAGACGACTATTGGACTTTGCCAACAAGTCAACCATCAAGGAGCTCTCTTCCTACTCCAACTTCAAAGCGCAGCCGACTCCCATCGCCACCGCCACCGCTCCCGCTGCGAGGAAACAAACTCCTTCCACACCTCTTACCGCAAATGAGAAGATTCTTGTCTCCTGCTGCAGAGAAGTTTTGAAGTCCCCAGCATTCGGGCCGGAAGACAACTTCTTGATGTCTGGCGGTGACTCTATTTCGGCGATCAAGGTGGCCTCGGCTGCTCGTGATCTTGGGATTAGCGTCACCGTCACTGAGATCTTCAACGCCCCAACCATCCGCGCCTTGGCCCAGGCAACTCCACGTGCGGAAAGCTCGGTTCGGGACGAGGAAATTGACATTCCTGTCGCCCTTAGCCTTCTCCCGAGTGATTTGGTCGACGAAATTGTTCTGGACGTAAAGGCCCGAAGCCCGCCACCGGACAAGGTCTTGGACGTGTACCCCTGCACTCCGCTCCAGGGTGCTCTCATCACCGCCTCTACGATGCGCATCGATGCTTATATCGCACGCCACACGCTGGAGCTTCCCTCTTCGGTCGACATCAACCGCTTCAAGGCCGCCTGGGCTGCGGTGATCCGCCGCCACGACATTTTGAGGACTCGAATCTTTGAAGGCCAGCACGGCGTTGTTCAAGTCGTTTACGACTCTGAGCTTGCATGGCACACCGGGCCTGACCTCGCAGCCTACTGCGAGCAAGACAGGTCTCTTCCCATGAGCTATGGGGACAACCTCGTAAGACTAGGCTTGGTCGGCCGAACCTTCATGTTCACCATACACCACTCTCTCTTTGACGGGTGGTCAATCACGCGCCTATTTGAGGATGTGGAACGGGAGTATGCCGGCCTTGAGGCTCTCGAGGTTTACCAACACAATTTGTACATCCGACACCTGTCTCGGCTCGATTCAGAAACACCCAAGGAATTCTGGACCACCAAGTTGGCATCGGATGGTGGACTGGCCGCTAGCCACTTCCCCCAGTCTATCGGTTCAGCATACACACCGGTGCCTGACTGCGAGGTGAAGATGAAGCTGGCGGTGGCCGACAACACCAAGTCCGAGTTCACCATGCCAACACGCATTCGTGCTGCTTGGGCCCTTCTTGTGGGCCGTTACATCGATTCACAAGACGTTGTATTTGGCGAGACCTTTTCTGGTCGTTCTTCGAGCTTGAAGAATGTCGGTTTTATCGCTGGCCCGACCATCTCCACCGCTCCTGTGCGCATCACCTGGGACAGGGCCGAGTCGATCGACACTCTCCTCCGTCGCGTTCAGGGAGATTTGCTACAGTTTGATGCTTACGGACACATCGGTATCCAAGCTATTTCGAAGCTCAGCTCGTCCGCTGCCGAGGCTTGCCAGTTCCAGCACCTCGTGGTCATCCAGCCGAAGCGGTCATCCTTGCTGTCAAACGGGGATGAGAAGCTGAAGTCTGAGATAGGGTTCCAAAATGTGTCTCTGGACCTGAGAGGTTACCACAGCTACGCCCTCAACATGGACTTCACGCTGGAGGACGATGGTGTCACTGTCACCACCACTTTCGATTCTACCGTATTCAACAAGCAGCAGATCCAATACCTGCAGGCCCAGTTCGGGCATGTGCTCAACCAGGTCTGCCGTGCGCAAGACCTTGCCAAGCAGACCATTGGCAACATTGACTACGCGTCAAAGAAGGACCGAGAGCTGCAGATCAAGAACAACCGCCGCCATAAGATGCAATACGAACAAACGACCCTCCTCCAGGCTTTGGAACGCCACGTCGCCAACCAGCCGACAGCTCCCGCGGTTTATGCATGGGATGGCTCGCTCAACTACCGTGAGCTTGACCGCGGCACGACTGCACTTGCAAACCACCTCACCGCCCTCGGGATTCGGAAGGGTGATTACGTCCCCTACTGTTTCCCCAAATCCGTGTGGGCCACCGTCTCCATCCTCGGTGCGATCAAGATCGGCGCCATTGCAGTTGCTCTCGAGCCTTCGTACCCGGATTCCAGCATCCTGAAGGTCTTGTCCCTGGTAAAGCCGAAGGTGGTGCTTTGCGCCCCTACTTTTTTCTCTAGGATCAAGTCCATGGGCTTCCGACCGTTCGCCGTCGAGGAGAACTCCATCCGCAGCATCTCCCAGCGGGCGGTTAAGAAGCGCTACTCCGTGCAGCCCACTGACGTGGCTTTCGTTGTGTTCACCTCCGGTTCAACCGGCGAGCCCAAGGGCATCGTCCTGGAACACAGCGCTGTCGCCATCATGGGGAAGCAGAACGGTGAGGTGATGGCTATCGACAACAACTCCCGGATTTTGCAGTTCGCCGCCTACGTGTTCGATGTCAGCATCGGAGACCTCGCCGTTTCCCTTTACTGGGGAGCTTGCCTCTGCGTCGCATCCGATCACGACCGGATGAACAACCTCGCCTCCGCTATTAACAGACTCCGTGTCAACCGCGCTTGGCTGACGCCCACGGTTGCTTCTCTGATTTCCCCTGCTGAGTGTCCAAACTTGACATGGCTCTCGGTTGGTGGCGAGCAGCTCAACCAGGCATGCAAGGACATCTGGGAGGGGGTCCCGCTAGTCAACGTCTATGGGCCGGCCGAGGTCACCAATTTGGGAACCTACGTCAAGGTCTCGCGGGACCTGCCCATCACCAACGTCGGCCACGCTAACGGCATCCGCGTTTGGGTTTGCGAATCCGGCAACCCTAAGCAGCTCGCCCCTGTTGGATGCATCGGCGAGATCGTGTTTGAGGGACCCAATACCAGCCGAGGATACCTCAACAATGCTAAGCTGACCGACGCCGCGTTCCCCCAAATTCCTTCCTGGGTTTCCGGCGAAGGCTCCAAGCCGGTACGCATGTACCGCACCGGCGACCTTGCCCGGATAAACGTCGACGGGTCCATCGACTTCCAGGGACGTAGGGACACCCAAATCAAGCTGCGCGGCCAACGCCTCGAAATCACAGCTATTGAGACAGCGCTCCGAGCGTCAATCGACGAACCGGCCGAGCTTGCCATCGACGTGCTTGACCGCACTAGCGTCGGCCGTGACGCCTTCCTCATCGCTTTTCTCCACCTCCCCCAAAGACTCCCGGCACAGGCTGACCCTGCAGCAGGTGTCTTCTCCACGATCAACATCAAGTCCCTGGTTGCCGAGATTCGCTCGAGGTTGGCCCAGACCCTCCCGCCGCATATGCTTCCGACTCTGTTCATTCCGCTGAACCGGCTCCCCAAGTTGGTGTCGGGGAAGATCGACAGGAAGACTCTTCGCCTCGCCGCTGCCAAGCTGACGGATGAGGCGATGGGGGCTTACAAGTCGGACCAGAGCGCGGAGAAGCGGCAACCTTCGACCCAAGAAGAGGCCGTGATGCAGACCTTGTGGGCTAAGGTCCTCCGTCTTCGCGAGGCCGAGATTGGAGTGGATGACAACTTCGTCACCTTGGGCGGTGACTCGATCACTGCTATCAAAATCGTGGCTCAGGCGAGGGCACTCGGCATCACTGTCTCTGTTGCCTCCATTTTCCAGCATGGCACGATTACCAGCCTCTGCGGGTCAATGGGAAAGTCAACAAAGATCAGCGAGGCGGTTGCCGCTGCTCCCCGCCCGAGATTCCAGCACCCGCACCTTACAGATATCGCTCTCCAATGCGGTATCCCCGAGGAGGATATCGAGGACATTTTCCCAACCACGGCCCTCCAAGACGGGATGGTGATGCTCACGGAAAAGAACCCCACGGCATACATCGCCCACCATGTCATGCAACTGCCCAGCTGGGTTGATGTCTCACTCTTCTCCCGCGCTTGGCAGACCGTCACGGATGAGAACCCCATCATGAGGACAAGGATCGTTCCCTCCGGGTTGCAGGTTACGCTCCACGCCGCTCCCATTCAATGGGCCACCCCGCGGTCGAACGACTTGCATGCCTACATCCAAGGCCTCCGCCAGCAGAAGATGGGTTTCGGAACCCAGTTGACACAACACGCCATCCTGCAGAACCCCACTCGCTTTGTCTTCACGGCTCATCATTCTGTTTACGATGGCTGGTCGATGGGTCTGCTTGCCGATGCCGTCACACGGGCTTACAAAAAGCTTGCTGGCATGCCAACCACCCCGAACAAGGACCAGGGCCCTAAGATCAACTTCCACTCCTTTGTTGACTACATTGGGACCATCGACAAGACAGAGGCCAGTGAATTCTGGCGAAACCAGCTCGATGGCGCTGACCCGGCTGCCTTCCCTCCCTCGCTGCCATCTTCCTACCAGCCGCTGGCCAATGCCCTCCTGGAGCGGAAGATCCCATTCCCCAGAATGCAGAAGTCCACCTCGACCACCTCCACCCTCATTCGCACCGCTTGGGCTCTCCTCATCTCGGCTTACTCCGGTTCCCACTCCGATGTCGTCTTTGGTGCTTCAGTCACTGGCCGCAGCGCCCCGCTGGATGGCGTCCTCTCCCTGGTTGGGCCGACTCTCGCGACCGTGCCATTCCGAGTTCCCCTGAACTGGGACGAGTCAGTCAAGGCCCTCTTGAACCGCGTCCAAATGCAGTCTTTTGCTATGCTCGAGTATGAGCAATACGGACTGCAGAATATCAAGAAGGCGGCGCCTTCTGCTGCGGCTGCCTGTGACTTCCAGAGTCTGCTAGTGGTGCACACCGAGTACGACGGCGCCGGCCCCAAGGACCAGCTGGCCTGGAGCTCAGAGCGCGCAACCTCTGACTTCCTCACCAACGCGTTGACCCTCGAGTGCCAACCCATGGGCTCCCAGATGCTGTTGACTGCTTCCTACGACTCCTCCATCATGGATGAGAGGCAGATGACGCGGATGCTCGCCACATTTGACCACATCCTGCGCCAGCTCTGCCAAGGCGAGTTCAACAACAATCTCCGCCTTCAGGACATCGACACCGTCAGCCCCGGCGACCGGGCCGAGATTGCCAGCATCACCAAGACGCTCCCCCTTCTTCTCAACGACCGCGTCCACGACATGTTTGCCCGGCAAGCCGCCGCCACTCCAAACGCCGTTGCGGTGTCCGCTTGGGACGGAGACCTCACTTATCGGGCTTTGGACGACTTGTCCAACACACTTGCCCGCCACCTCCAGTCCCTCGGTGTCGGCCCCGAGTGCTTTGTGCCCTTTGCTTTTGAGAAGTCTAAGTGGGTTCCGGTCACTCAGATGGCCATTCTCAAGGCCGGCGGCGCCTGCGTTCCCGTCGATCCATCGCAGCCCCTGGACCGTCTGCAAAGCATCATTGGCACCCTCGACGCCAAGCTCATCGTGACCTCCGCCTTGCATGCCAACCTGCTGGTGTCCTGCACCCAAGTCCAGCACTTTGTTTCGGTCTCCCAGGAGATGGTCGACCGCCTGCCGCGCCACGGTGGCCCTGCCGTCAACCCGCAGACCTCGCCCAGCTCTGCTTGCTACGCCATCTTTACTAGCGGTAGCACCGGTACCCCCAAGGGGGTTGTCTGGGAGCACGCCACCCTGTGCAGCAGCATGGCCGAGCACGGTGTCGCATTCAACTACTCGACCGACACCCGCGTGCTGCAGTTCTCCTCCCACACCTTCGACGTTAGCGTCTCGGAGCTGTTGACCACGCTTGTCTTCGGCGGCTGCATCTGCATCCCCGACGACTTCACGCGTCTGAACGGCATCGCCGGCTTCATGAACGAGAAGCGCGTCAACTGGACCTTCTTCGCTCCGTCTTTCGCCCGCCTCATGGACCCGGCCACGGTCCCTGGTCTCAAGACCATCGTCCTTGGCGGCGAGGCCCCCGGCAAAGATAACATTGAGAGGTGGTCTGGCCGCCCTGGGCTTGAGCTCATCGTGACCTACGGTCCGGCCGAGAGCTGCATCTACTGCGCCAAGAACAGCGTCAGTGGTCCGCAGATCGATGGTAGCATCGGCCACTCGATCGGCGGCATGATGTGGGTTGCCGATCTCGGCCGCCCGACGGAGCTTGCTCCGATCGGCTCCGTGGGCGAGATTGTCGTCGAAGGTAGCATTCTCGCCAGAGGATATCTCAAGGACCAGGCGAAGACAGCTGCTTCATTCCGCCCGATGCCCGCCAAGTGGGCTAACGGCCGCAGCTCTCGGGTGTACTACACCGGTGACCTCGGCCGCGTCAACTCTGACGGCACGATCAGCTGCTTGGGGCGCAGAGATGACCAGGTGAAGATCCGCGGTCAGCGCGTCGAGCTTCCGGACATCGAGTACCACCTCCGCAAGGACGAGCGCGTTCGCCAGGCGCTTGTCCTCTACCCGCGCTCCGGCCCTTGTGCCAACCACTTGGTTGGAGTTCTATCAATGGTCCAGGAGAAGGCTTCCACCGGCCCCGCCTCGTCAACCGACATCACCATCGCCAATCCCGAGGACTGGGTCAAGATTCCGGATGTTCAGGACACCTTGTCCCAGAAGGTCCCGGTTTACATGATCCCTGCCATCTGGATCGTCCTCAACTCCATCCCACTCATGCCCGCCTCTCAGAAGGTTAACAAGAAGATGGTGAGCGAGTGGACCAAGGCCATGGACCATGCTACCTACGAGCAGATTGCCAGCCGCTCTGCCGGCGGCAGCTCAGACGAACTTCCTGTTATGAACACCGCCCTGGAGGAACAAGTCCGCAACATCTGGAGCGACATCCTCAACGTGGGTCAGAAGACGATCGGGCCGAACACCTCGTTCCTGAGACTCGGCGGCGATTCGATCTCGGCCATGCAGGTCGTGACCAAGTGCAGGAACGAAGGGGTCATGGTCACGGTTCAGGACCTCCTGAAGGCCAAGACCATCGCCGAGTTCTGCGAGCGGGCTGCGCTGTCGACTGGCCAGACCACGACGAGCAAGCTGGTGGAGGAGCCCGAGTCCGACACCCCCTTCGCTCTGTCTCCCATCCAGAAGTGGTTCATGACGCTCGCGCCGAATGCGCCGAACCACTTCAACCAGAGCCACCTGCTTCGGTTCACCGAGGCCGTGGACTTTGGCAGGTTGCAGAGTGCTCTTCTCACAATCGTTCAGCGACATTCCATGCTGCGCGCCCGGTTTGAGCAGGTTGGCGGCAACTGGCAGCAGTACATCTCTTCTGATGCCACCGGCTCACTTGAATGCCGCGACTTCCGCTCTATTTGGACAATGCAGAAGGTCATCGAGTATGCCTCCGAAGCCCAGGCCAGTCTAGATATTACCAAAGGCCCACTCATGGCTGCGGACTTGTACGAGATGACTGACGGAACGGCCGTCCTGTTCATCACTTGCCACCACATGGTCATCGACCTCGTCTCTTGGAGAATCGTTCTCCAAGAACTCGAGGAGATCCTCCGAACCGGTGGCCTGGCTTCGACTCAGAAGCCGCTTGGTTTCCAGACCTGGTGCAAGCTGCTGGAGGAGCGCACTAGCTCTGTGGTTGATGATGTGGATGTTCCTGCTCAGGACTTTGACTTCTGGGGAATTAGCAGCTCTGACAACGCGGCTGCTCAAGTTGTGGAACGAAGCTTCTCGCTCGACGATCAGGCAACGGAGCTGCTTATGGGCAGTGCCAATGAGGCTTTCAACACTGAGCCTTTGGATATTCTCTTGACCGCCGTCGCCCACTCCTTCAACCAGGTTTTCCGTTCCGTGCGCAGCCCGGTCGCCATCTTCAACGAAGGCCATGGCCGCGAGCCGTGGAGGCCCGATATCGACATTTCATCCACAGTCGGCTGGTTTACTTCGATGTGCCCCGTCCTTTTGTCGGACCACAAGGACGGCGTCCTTCGTTCCCTCAAGGAGGTGAAGGATCTCCGCCGCCGGATTCCCGAGAAGGGCCTGCCGTTTTTTACCTCGTTCGCCCAAAACGCTACCACCGGGGTCGAGATCACCTTCAACTACTTTGGCCTCTTCCAGAATTTTGAGCGGCAGGGTGCCCTGCTCAACCGTATGAGCTGGGCCCCCTTCCACGCCCCACCCGACTCCGCTGCTGACGTGCCGCGCTTCTCTATCTTCGATGTCTCTGCTGGTATCGAAAACGGCGTTCTGACGATGAACTTTGGCTTCAACAACCGGATCAAGCACCGGCACCTGGTGCAGCAGTGGGTCGAAGCGTGCTCGGATACCCTAGCCGATTTGATCCAGGCAACGAGCCAGCAGAGGGAGTCTTCTCTTACCCTTGCCGATTTGCCCCATTTCAAGACGACTTATGATGAGCTTTCGACCCTCCTCGAGACCACTCTGCCGGCTGCAGGAGTGGCGGCTGCCAACGTTCAGGACATTTATGCCTGCTCCCCCATGCAGACGGCACTCCTAGTCAGCCAGGCCATGGACCCCACGCTCTACGCCGTCCGTTACGTCTGGGAGGTTGTTCCTAAGTCATCCCAGCGCATCTCGACGGACAAGCTCATCGCGGCTTGGAAGACGACGGTCAAGCAGCACCCCATGCTTCGCACCATCTTTGTCCAAGCCAGTTCCTCCATCGACGGCAAGACGAAGTCGGCTTACACGCAGGTGGTTCTCAAGGACACCGAACCCAGTGTTCTCATCTGCGAAGATGCAACTTCCTTCCCACTCGGTCGGCCGGAGCACCATATCTCCAACGGCCCACCGCACCACGTCGTCCTTTCCCAGCAGCCATCTGGCAAGGTCATGATCCAGCTTGACATCAGCCATACCCTAATCGATGGCTCCTCCGTGAACGCTCTTCTCGACACCCTCGTCAGAGCCTACGACGGCGCCCCCATCGCCACCACCCCGCAGGACGCCTACGGCAGCTACATCAGCTTCCTCGGCCAACAAGACCTCGACTCCTCGCGCCAATTCTGGAAGGCGTACCTCAGCGGCGCCGAACCGTGCCAGTTCCCCGCCCTGGCGACCGCACCCTCCGCTTCTCGAGCGCGCCAACTAGCCCACCTCGACTTCTCCTACCCCCACCCCGCGAAGCTGCACTCCCTCTGCGCCCAGGCCGAAACCACCGCCGCCAGCGTGTACAAGCTCGCCTGGGCCCTTGTCCTGCGCGTCTACACCGGTAACAACGCGCCGTGCTTTGGTTATCTGGCGTCCGGTCGCGATCTCCCCATCGAGGGAATTGCGGAGGCGGTCGGGCCATTCATCAACATGCTAGTGTGCATGGTGTCGTTGGAGGAGGAGGAGAGCGCTGTGGAGGCAGTGCTGAAGACGGCGCATGCGGACTATGCGAACTGCTTGTCGCATCAGCTTTGCTCGCTGGCTGAGATTCAGCGGGGGTTGGGACTAGGTGCGGGAGAGAGGTTGTTTAATACCGTGCTGTCGGTGCAGAGGCTGGCGCCGCCGGGGACGAGTGAGTCGGCGGTGGAGTTCAAGGCGGTGCATGTTGAGGATCCGAGCGAGGTGAGTTATTGGTGGGAACGTGGGTATTTGGTGTTTTGGATGCTAACCACGGACAGTTTGATATTGCCCTCAACGTTGGGGACTCGCCGGACTTTGTCGACGTCAACTTGACTTACAGCACCAGTGTTCTTTCGGCGCACCAGGCCAAGAGTCTTGCCTCAACATTTGCGCTGGCCATCGACAACGTCCTGGAGTCGATCTCCAAACCGATCAAGGCTGTCAGCCTTCTTACCCCTGAGGACCACCAGCAGATCCTCGGCTGGAACAGCACTGTCATCACCGCGGCCGTTCCGGCGCAGTGTGACCAGCTCATTAGCCTTCATCTCCCGACCAAGGGAGGCATGCCCGCTGTTTCTGGCTGGGACTTGTCCCTCACTTACTCCGAGCTGGATAATCTTGCCAGCACCGTGGCACGCCATCTCGTCTCGGAGTATTCCGTTGGGCCCAACGCCATCGTTCCTTTCTGCTTTGAGAAGAGCGCCTGGACGATTGTGGTCATGCTGGGCATTATGAAGTCTGGGGCTGCTTTTGTTCCTTTGGATTCTAAGCACCCCATCGACCGCTTAGTGAGCATTGTCAAGCGAGTACAAGCACCCCTGATTGTCTGCTCAGACCAGCATGAGAACATTGGTCTCGACATCGGCGGCAACCTCACCATTCCCTACCTCCTCATCGGCTCGCGCAGCATCAACACAATCCAGGCATCCAGCCGGGCCAGCCTCTCTCCGGTTGCCCGCCGGAGCCCCTCAGATCTGGCGTACTGCTTGTTCACCAGCGGGAGCACTGGAGAACCAAAGGGTGTTCTCATCCAACACGAGGCGCTGTGCAGCGGGGCAACCATGCATGGCAGAGCCTTCAACTACACCCCCCAGGCGCGCACCTTGCAGTTCGCCTCGTACGGCTTCGACGCCTCCATCACTGAAATCCTCACTACGCTCGTCATGGGCGGCTGTGTCTGTGTCCCCTCCGAGGAGCAGCGCATGGACAAGGACAAGCTGATGGATTTCGTCAATGCCCAAAACGTCAACCACGCGCTCCTCACCCCTTCGGTCCTCGCACTCATGGACCCGTCAAGAATCCCATCCATCACTACCCTCCTCCTCGGCGGCGAGGCTGCCAGCTCCCAACTCATCGACAAGTGGCGCGCCCCCACGCGGCGCGTGCTCATCGCCTACGGCCCGACCGAGTGCACCGTCATCTGCGCCGGCCACGACGTGACCGACCCCGCCACCCTCCGTCCTGGCAAGAGCTCCATCGGTAACAGCGTGGGCAGCGTGGCCTGGATCGGCGACGCCCACGACCACAACAAGCTCGTACCCATCGGCGCCATCGGTGAGCTCCTTGTTGAGGGCCCGATTTTGGCTCGTGGGTACCTTGATGACGAGGTCAAGACCAAGGCCGCGTTTGTTAAGCCGGCCTGGGCTGGTGGATACCGCCGCATGTACCGCAGCGGCGATCTTGTTCGGTACCAGGAGGATGGTACTATGGAGTATCTTGGCCGTCGGGATAACCAGGTCAAGCTCCGTGGTCAGCGGCTGGAGTTGGGTGAGATTGAGGAGCATCTGATCAAGCACGCCGAGGTCCAACAGGGCTCGGTTCTTCTCATCAAGGAGGGTGTGTGCGCCAGCAAGCTTGTGGCTGTTCTGACGCTTAAGGCGTCGACTGGTTCCAAGGTCGCCGGCCGGTTGTCGCTGGCGTCTGACCCTGCCGAGGGTCTCGATGTCTTGGCTGGTGACTATGTCTCTTCCACCACCACCGCTGTTAGCCAGGAGCTCGCCGGTGTGCTGCCGTCCTTCATGGTCCCTTCGTGCTGGATCGTGGCCAGCCAGCTGCCGCTCATGGCCTCCGGCAAGACGGACCGTCGCTTCCTTACCGGTTGCGTCAACAGCATGACTCAGGACATGTACCAGCTGTGCACTGGCATGGGCTCAGACACTTCTGCCGCCGACAAGGAGGAGTTGACACCCGTCGAGAAAACCCTTCGCCAAGTCTGGAGCGCAGTCCTCAACGTCCAGGAGCAGTCCATCAACCCCTCCGCCGGCTCGTTCGTTAAGATGGGCGGTGACTCCATCAGTGCTATGGAGGTCGTCGCGCAGGCCCGCGGCAAGGGCATTCCCCTTCTCATCGAGCAGCTCCTGAAAGCCAAGTCCATCAAGAAGCTGGCTGCTCATTTTGAGAACCTGGATCTGGCCACCAGTCAACCTTCAACAGCCGCGGAGACCTCCACCATGACAGCAACCAGCAATGTCCAGCATAAAGAAGAGGAAGAAGACGACAACATCACTATGTTCGGTTTGTCCCCCATCCAGCGCATGTTTACCCGCCTCTCGCCTGGCGAAAACCACTTCAACCAGAGCTTCTTGCTCAAGGCCTCCACCGACAAAGAACGCCTCACCGAAGACCACGTGGGCCAAGCCCTGGATGTCGTTGTCAAGCGCCACGCCATGCTCAGGGCTCGCTTCCAAAAGCTTGGGCGTGCCTTCAAGCAGTGGATCGAGCCCGTGGTGGAGGATTCGTACATCTTCCGCTCTTGGGATCTGCCAGCCTCCATTGTTGAGTTCTCGGCCGAGGCCGTTGAGCAAATCCGCGAGACTCAGCAGTCGTTGGATCTCGAGAATGGCCCCGTGTTTGCCGGCGATTTGCTGAACATCGGTGATGAGCAGTATCTCTTCCTGACGGCTCATCATCTTGTCATTGACCTCGTCTCATGGCGTGTCGTGATCAAGGACCTTGAGGATTTCCTCGTCGAAGGAGCCATCTCGGCTTATCGCAGCATGTCCTTCGAGAAGTGGTGTGGACTGCTCAACACGCACCGCAAGTCATTGACCGGAACTGCGACGGTCCCCTTCGAGGTGGCCAACCCAGATTACAAGTACTGGGGCATGGCTGGCAAGCCCAACTACGCCAAGGACTTTGAGCATCACCAATTTGTGCTCTCTACCGCCACTTCAGAGTTGCTTCTTGGGCCTTGCAATGACGCCCAGGGGACGGAGTCGCTTGACTTGTTCTTCGCCGCAGTGATGCACTCCTTCGCAGCAACCTTCCAGGACCGGGATATCCCACCCATTTATAACGAGGGCCATGGTCGCGAGCCGTGGGATCCGTCCATCGACCTCTCCCGGACTGTTGGATGGTTTACCACCATTGCTCCGGTTTGGGTCGACAGCCGCCGCTGCAACAAGGATATTTCGGAATACGTCAAGCAAGTCAAGGATGTCCGGCGCAACACCCCTTCTAAGGGCTTCTCACACTTCAGCTCCCTCGATCTCGAGCGCAAGCCATTCAGCATTGAGGTGTCTTTCAATTACTTCGGATCCTTCCAGCAGCTGGAGCGCAAGGATGCCCTTCTCAAGCAGGTACACTTCCGCAACATCGAGATCGATTCATTCGAGGTTAGCGAGAAGCACAAGAAGTTCTCGCTCATTGACATCAACGCCGAATGCGAGAACAACCAGCTGGTCTTCACTTTCAGCTTCAACAAGACCATGAGCCGCCGCGACGACGTCGAGCGCTGGATTGGTAACTACCAGAAGAGTCTTGAGCACATGGCCCGGGTCCTTGGGTCCCGCGACGCCGACTCTCTCAGCATCAATGAGTTCGAGGTTTCGGAGGGCCTAGGCCTGCAGCTCAGCCAAGACCCAGCCCTAAAGGCACTGGGGATTACGGACCGCAACGTGGAGGACATTTACCCCTGCACACCCTCACAGCAGGGCATGTTGCTGAGCCAGAGCAAGGATGCTGACATGTACTGGTTCCGGTCAGTCTACGAGGTTGAGTCCAACACTAACACCCCCATGACCCTCCACGATTTTCGGCAGGCCTGGAAGGCCGTCGTCCGCCGCCACCCTGTACTGCGGACAATCTTCGTTGAGCAGGAGTCGACCGATGGTCTCTATGATCAGCTCGTCCTCAAAGACTACGAGCCGGACGTTATTGAGGATGAGATCCGCGCTTCGATGGGCGAGACTGACCTGGCCGAGATCCTGAAGATCAAAGAAATCCCGGCGGACATGCTCTGCCGCCGCGCACCTCAACACCAACTCCGTCTTGTGCGTCAAGCTGGCACTGGCAGAGTATTCTGCAGCTTCCTCCTCAGCCACGCCATCGCCGACGGCGGGTCCCATGCCATCATGCTCCGAGACTTCAGCACCGCTTGCCAGGCCCGGCCCCTGGGCACCACGAAGCCCCTGCTCAAGAACTACACCGACTACATCCAATCCCGGGACACCGCTGCGGACATCGACTTCTGGAAGACATCGCTCAAAAGCGTCGACCCCTGCTTCCTACCTACCGACAACGAGTTGCCCGCGGAGAAGATTCTCCACAAGGCCGAAGTGCCTGTGGATCGGATCAGCTACACCAAGCTGCAAAGCGCCGCCCGCAACCTCGGAGTCTCGTTATTCAGCTTGCTGCAGGTCACCTGGGGGTTGACCCTCCGCGAATATGTCAACGCCGACCGCGACGAGGCCTGCTTTGGCATTGTTACCTCGGGCCGCGATCTCCCGGTCAAGGAGATTGGCGACATTGTTGGCCCATTGGTCAACATCCTGGTCTCAAGGGTTGCTCTGCCGCAGGATCAGACTATCGCGCAGATTGCCGAGGCTGTTCACGACAATTTCATTGATAGCCTTGCGCATCAGACATCCTCGCTCGCCGAGATTACGCACGAGCTTGGCTTGGGTACTCTCTTCAACACAGGCATGACCTTGCAGAAAGCCATGCCTGGTGGTGAGGATGCGTCGGCCGTGTCATTCCGGCCTCTTGGTGGTCAGGATCCGACTGAGGTTAGTTTTGACAGTCCATCGGGGATTAGCTGTGGGTTGCTAACGAGAAATAGTTTGACATGGTTGTCCAAGCCCTTGACAATGGCCAAGCTCTGAGGCTGCACATGAGCTACTGGTGCGACAAGGTCTCCGACGACCGCGCCGGCAACATGGCAGACACTTTCGCCTCCATCCTATCACAGATTGTCCAGAACCCCGACATCAAGCCTGTCGACCTCCATATGGCTTCCGACAAGGATGTCCAGCAGCTCTGGAACTGGAATGCATCTCTCCCCGCAGCGCTGGACCTGCGCATTGAGGATATGATTTCTCAGCGCACGGCAGAGAACCCCTACCAGGAAGCACTCTGGTCTACTCAGGATGTTCTGACCTATGAGCAGCTCGATCTCTTGTCAAGCAGAATTTCCCAGGGCTTCCTTGCGGATGTCGAGCGCGAGGAGGTCGTGCCGCTTTGCTTCGAGAAGTCCATCTGGATCGTCGTGGCTATGCTTGCCGTTCTGAAGGCAGGGGCCACAGTCGTCCTCATGGACCCTTCTCATCCGCTCGAGCGCCTGCGATCTATTGCCAACACAGTCAAGGCGAAACGCATTCTTGCTTCCCCTTCCCAGGCCGACATGTGCCTTAACCGTCTTGGCCTCCCCACCGTGGCCATCTCTAAGGACATGTTTAACCGCCGATCTGGCGTACCCGGTACCGCACCGAGGTCGTTCATGACCAAGCGGGCAGTCAAGTCGAGCCGTGATGCGGCTTACGTCGTCTTCACGAGCGGTTCCACTGGCACCCCCAAGGGCTCCGTTACCGAACACCGCTCCTTCTGCACCGCGATGCAGGGTTATCACCAGGCCATTGGTCAGCTTCCCGGCGAGAGGGTGTTGCAGTTCGCTTCCTACAGCTTCGACGCCAGTTTCCTGGAGATTCTTGGGTCTCTGATGGTTGGTGCGACCGTCTGTGTTCCGACCGAAGAGGAGAGATCCGACCAGCTCGTCTCTTTCATCAACCGGTCCGCGACGACCTTCGCCGTCATTACGCCCACCGTCGCGTCTCTCTCTGGAGCCTGAGGCTGTTCCCACTGTCGCCTGCCTTTGCGCTCTGCGGCGAGCCCATGACCACCTCCCACATTACTACTTGGTCCAACAAGATCCGTCTTGTCAATGCTTTTGGACCAAGCGAGTGCTGTGTCGGCAGCGCTGCAAACTCCTTCGTCAACGAGCAGTCCAGCCCCAAGTGCATAGGCAAGGCTGTCTCCTGCTGCTACTGGGTGGTTCACCCCAAGAACCACAACCGCCTCGCCCGCATCGGCAGCGTTGGCGAGCTCACTCATTGAAGGGCCTATTCTCGCCCGGCACTACCTCAATGAGCCGGTCAAGACCAAGGATGCCTTTATCGCCAACCCCGAGTGGGCCACTCCGGGCCGTGCCACCCGACTTTACAAGACCGGAGACTTGGTCTCACAGAACGCCGATGGTTCCTTCCAGTACGTCGGGCGCAAGGACACCCAGGCCAAGATCCGCGGCCAGAGACTTGAGTTTGGCGACATCGAACAAGCCTTCAGAGAAGTTGTTTCTGGCATCGAGAATGTTGTCGCCGAGATTGCCCAAGAGGGCCACCTCGTCGTCTTCTTTTCTGCCAGGAACACCAACCTCGGCGAGTTTGACGTATCTGCTATTCAGGAGAAGTTGGGTCAGAAGATCCCTGCTTACATGGTGCCGTCGGTCATCATGCCCCTGGAGCAGATTCCGCTCATGCCTTCGGGCAAGGTGGATCGCAAGAAGCTCAAGGCTCTCGGAGCCAACATGCCCGCCCAACCGGAGAACAGGGCTGGTCGCCTCCCCACGACCGAGATGGAAGTCGCCTTGGCAGCCCTCTGGAAGGATGTCATGAAATCGGCCCCTGCCCGCATCATGGCCGACGACAGCTTCTTCCACATTGGCGGCGACTCTTACACCGCCATGAAACTGGTCACCGCGGCACGCGCGAAGGGTATCTCCCTCAACGTCGCGGCGATCATGCAGACACCCAAGCTCTCCGACATGGCTAAGAAGGCGACGAACACGGCCGGCGCTAACCTCACTCCTTTTGACGCCGAGGCCACTGCCCCATTCAGCATGGTTAAGTGGACCTCGGAAGTCGAGGAAGAGATTATTCGGCAATGTGACGTCCCGGCCGACGCCATCGAGGATGTCTATCCTTGCACGCCCCTACAGGAAGGCCTCTTTGTGCTTTCGGTGAGGCAAGCCGGCGCATATGTCGCCAGGCACTGCTACCAGCTCCCACGCAGCCTGGACCTCGCCCAGTACAACAGCGCATGGAACACCGTTTATGAAGCCAACGCCATCCTGCGAACCCACATCGTGCAACTGGAGAACGCGGGCGGCAAGAAGCGGGGAGGCCTCTACCAGGCCGTCATCAACAAGCCCCTCGTGTGGCAACGTGCCAGCTCGCTCGACGAGTTTGCCGCAACCCGCCCAGTTTCCCTCGGCGGGCCCCTAGCCGAATTCGCCATTATTGAGAACCCATCCGCGCGGTACCTCGTGCTCACCATGCACCACGCCGCCTACGACGCCGCCTCCCTTGGCATGCTTCTCACCGACGTCGAGGCCGTCTACGCCGGCAACTCTCTCCCCTCCAAACCCGCCTTCCGCGAATTCATCCACCAACTCCAAGCCACCCCGCCCCAAGAAACCCTCAACTTCTGGGCATCTTACCTCGAGGGCGCCCAACCCCCAACGTTCCCCACCATCCCCTCCGGCCACGTCCCCTCGGCGACATGCACCTTCGAATCCGACCTCGCACTCCCCACCACGCCCAGCACCAAAGCCTTCACCACCGCGACCCTCATCCGCGTGGCCTGGGCCCTCGTCCTCGCCCACCACGCCAACACCACTCCCGGCAACAGCGACATCATCTTCGGCGAGACCCTCAGCGGACGCAGCAACGACTCCGCCGCCGACATGCAAGGCCCCATGATCACCACCCTGCCCATCCGCTGCACACTCGACAACAACAACACCACCACCACCGATATCCTCTCGCGCATGCAATCCGCCCTGGTGGAGATGATCCCGCACCAGCACGCGGGCATCCAAACCATCCGTCTCGCGAGCCCCAGCGCGGCCGCGGCGTGCGGGTTTACCTGTTCGGTGACGATCGCGCCGGAGGCGGTGGCGCCGGGGAGTGGGTCTGGGTTGGGGCTGGTGCCGGTGGAGTTGGGGGCCGCGCCGGTGATGAGCTATCCGTTGGCGGTGCAGTTTATTTTGATGGGGGGCAGAGGGTTGAAGGTGGGGGTTTATTATGATGGGGCGTTGGTGGATGGCGGGGAGGTAAGGGAGATGGTGGCGCAGTTTGGGAGGGTTTTGGGGCAGTTGGGGGAGGGGGGGGAGAAGATGGTGGGGGAGATTGAGTTTGATGTTGATGGGAGTGTGGATGTGGATGTGGATGTTGTGGGTGGTGGTGTTGGTGGTGGTTTTACGCCGGCTGGTGTTGATGGTGGGATGATGGGCCGTGATGTGTTGGGGGTGTTGAATGAGGAGATTGAGGACTTGTTGGACGAGATCTCGTCGCAGGAGTTGAGCAAGCCGAGCACGGAGACGTCGGGCTCGGAGGTGATGCTTGCTGTGAATACGGGGAATTTGGAGAGCGAGATGAAGCAGCTGTGGGCGGATATCTTGGGGATGCAGGTGGATGAGATTTCGGCGACCGACAATTTCTTCCATCTCGGCGGCGACTCCATTGCCTCGATGCGGCTTGCTACTGCTGCCGAGCGCAAGCAGATCAAGGTCAACGTCTCCGACATCTTCCAGCACCCGACCCTGGAGGAACTTTGCGAGTTCGCAGCGCAGGCTCACCCCAACGTTACCGCTCAGGATGACACTATTGTCCCCGAGCCGGTATTCCAGGATGAGTACCAAGCGTTTGGGGTGATCGATTACCTTGGATTGGAACAGGAGGAGGTGGTGGAGACCGTTTGCAGACAGCTCTCCGTCTTCCCTGGAGACGTCGAGGACATCTACCCGGCAACCGACTACCAAGCTTGGGCTATTAGCCACGGCCTGATGAGGAGCAGAGGCAACACCAACTACTTCCTCTTCCGGCTCCATGGCAACCTCGACACTTTCCGTCTGGAGCAGGCCTGCAGAAAGATGGTTGCGGCCAACCCCATCCTTCGCACCCTCTTCACGACAATGCGCGGCCAGGTCATGCAGGTTGTGCTGCGCTCTTACCAGATCGAGTTCCTACGCTACGGCAGCGAGCACTCGGCGGACGACAACTTCATCAACTGGCTCGTGGAGCAGGACACCCAGCGGTCGGCTTACCTCTCGCAGTCGATCGTCCGCTTCAAGCTGGTTCTGCACGCCGATGGCCACTACGTCCTCATCATGCGCATGTCCCATGCCCAATACGACGGCATGTGCATGCCGCTACTCATCCAGGACCTCGAGAAGTGCTACAACGGACAGGACCCCATGCAACGCCCTTCCTTTGGCAAGTTCATTCAGGGCGCCGCAGTTAGAGAGGAACAGGCCGTCAACTTCTGGGGTAACTTGCTTGAAGGCGCGTCCATGACCGAGATCGTCGAGCACTCCGGTCCATCCCACAAACACAACGTGGACACGATCCGGACCCGGACGATCGCTCCGATCCCGGTCAACGTGGCGGGCATGTCTCAGGCAACACTCGTCAAGGCCGCTTGGGCACTCGTGCTCGCCAAAATGTCTGGCCAACGGGACATTGTGTTCGGAAATCTCATCTTTGGCCGGAACATGCCCGTTTCTGGCATCGAAGACATCGCCGGCCCTTGCATCAACATTATCCCGGTGCGGGTTGGTGTCAACGCCATGGACAGCATCCACGACCTTCTCGCACTAGTGCAAGAGCAACAAATGGCTGCGATGCCACACGAAGGCCTCGGCTTCCGTCGCCTGGTCAAGAACTGCACCGACTGGCCGGACTGGACCCGATTCAGCTCCGTTGTCCAACACCAGCAGCTTGGCCGCGATGGCACGGAGGGTCAAGAGTTCAAGCTGTCCGATAACTTGAAGTGTGAGATGGGCGTGCTCGGCCCTGCCTACGACTCTTCGGATCTCTGGGTTCAGACCACGCCGCACAAGGACTCATTCAAGGTCGAGATCGGTTCCTGCAGCTCAGCTTGTTCCAAGCCTGCCGTGGCCGAGATGCTTCTCGACAAGCTCTGCGCGACTCTCAGCATCTTCGCGTCGATCTCAGCCGGTAGCAGCCCCCACCTATGGGAGCTCCTGGCCCGTGACGGCGCCCCCTTGATCCCTATCAAGTCCTCGATCGTCGAACAGGTGTGGGGCAAGGTCCTTCCCGACGCTGACGCCATTCCTTGGGACACACCATACTTCGACATCTGGGGTGACGAGATTGCCCCCGCGCGCTTCCTCGAGGAATACGCCGAGCACGGCCTGCACTTCGACATGGAAGACATCCTCGAGAACCCCACCAAGCAAGCGCAGATGATGCTCACCTCGCGGCACCAATCCGACAAGAACCGCGGCCGCAGCCCACGCCCGGCACCCGCGCCCATCCCAACCCGACCGCGCGCCGCCACCCAAGAGACACTCCAAAGCGCGACTGCCACCACCAACGCGCGCGGCTTCTGGATCCTCGACAACAGCTCCAAAAAGACCAGCCGCGCCAGCAGCAGCCAGCGTAGCCCCGTCCCCGGCTCGCCCATGGTCTCCTCTCCACTAGTCGCCTCGCCACGCATAATGGGCACGCTCCCACCGCGACGCAAAAACACCATGGGCTTCGCCCCGCCCAGCCGGCGCACCACGGCCCCTTACCCCACGGCCTACACGCCCACGACCGCCAACTCCAACTACAGCCTGAGCAGCTCCACGGCGTCCTCCACAGCGGGCGGGCCCGTGTCCACTCAAAAACACGCACAGGGGCCCGGGGCGGGGCAGGGGGTGATGGGCCAGACCTGGGCGGACCGCAACAAGTCGTATGCGAGCATCAGCCCGCCGCCGACGCCGGGTTCGAGTGCCGGGTCGGTAGGGTCCGCGAGCAGCCCGCGCAGCAGCGCGCTGCGGCCGTTTAAGTTGCCCGAGTTTGCGCAGGCCGCGGCGACGGCGGGTGGTGCCGAGGCGGAGAGGCCAAGGTTGAGGAGGAAGAAGGTGAATTCGTTTCCGGTGGGGTTTGGGCAGGGGAGGTGGTGAGTGAGGGTTTGTGAAGGGAAGGGGATGAAGGGGTGGAATGAAAACTACAAAGAGGAAAAAAAAAAAAAAAAAAAAAAAAAAAAAAAACAGAAGGAAAGGAAGAAGAAAGAAAAAAGCAAGGGACAAGGGGTGAAAGACACGGATTTAGGGGTCACTCGCTTTTGTTGCGAATGGGTGTCGGTGTTCTGGTGGTTTTGTTTTCATTGGGTTTTTGGTGTTTGGTGCTGGTGGTGTAGCATACTGTTTTTTGGGAGGCTCTAGCTCGTTTGATATTGGCGTTCTTAACATCCTATGATGAAGTGGAGGTTACAGTCGGCCATCATAAGCACAGTTTGGATAGAAACGGTACAGATTGTTTATTCGCTTCGTTCAAATCGCCTCCAGTGTTCACGTGCCCAAAGTAAAGAAAGTGTCACGCGAGCATGAAGATCGTTCACGAGCATCCCCAGCACAGTCAATTAGCAAGCATGCCAAGACATTCGATCACACTAGCAGGGGTTCATCAGGGCCTGCCTTGCTGTGCCGCAACTTCTCTAGGCTGGGGCTGAAATCACAATCTTGAGCGTTCATTTCTGTCTCAAACCGTCTTGTCAGCCCTCTTCAACTGCTATCATGTCTCATCACCCGGGCGCGTCACGAATTGAGACATCATTACCACCTGTTTGGAAGCGGCATTATGCGACGCAGCCCTCAGAAGAGGATGACGATTATTTTGCCGACGGACCCGACCCCTTGGTTCATATCGTTCGCAGCAGACGCCCTCCCCGAAATACCCACTACGGACGCCCAAATCACTATGGAAATGGATACCCCCGTGTAAACTTCGTCCGCCGGGAGACTATCGAGATTCCGGAGCCGGCACCGCCCTTGCCGTACAGCAGCCGCCGACGAGAGTCCCATCTCTCATATGATCCATATCCGGTCACTCCGGTCTACGAGGGGGGAAGACACAGGAAAAAAAGGGTGGTCGCAGAATCACAGTCACGCGAGGCGCCGGTTGAGGAGAAAGACATCGAACTTGTTGGCTCGGGTATGCCGAGGGGTTATCGTCGAGATTTCCAAGTCCCGGTAGTTGAACGCCACGAACGACCGGCTTATAGCGAGGCCACCTACAGCGATTTCGAAGACGAAAATCACGTCTTTTACTCTTTTGGCGATTTGCTCCAGAACGGAAGTCGCCGAGACTCACAACTAGACGGGAGCATCTCAGATATTGAGTCCACTGCGGCCCCAGGTGAGGGCAACGAAGGGAGCCTAGACGCCACGGAACGCGGTGCTGTAGCTTATCATGTCCTTGAATCACGGTACGCTGGTGACGGCTACGAGGCAGGTCATCACTCGGCCAAGTTGACGGCCGTTTTGAGCGAGCGGGCCACCGTCTCACAGTCCTTGTTTCGGTGGATGTAAGGGCCACACCGGTATCTCTTCGCCTACCACTGCTGACTTCTCGATAGTCACTTTACCCGCCCATCCATGGATATTGACGATTTTGCGGTAGGCTCCTGTCACCACTGTCCACTCCCCATTTGAGTAGCTTACTCGGCTTTTAGGCGCAAGTGGCTGTGATTCCTGGTCTTTCTAACAGCGAAAAGAACGGGCTTCAAAAAATGATTACGGGTGTGAAAAGGGACCATACTAAGACAGTTCAGGTATCGGATGGGAAGTACGCTCGTTACTTGGAGCCGAAACTCCGCCATGAGCCCCTCTTACAGGATGGAAAACCCGCTGGGTCTCGAGCAGTAACATGGGTATCCTTGCCGTACTTCTCGTTGGAGCCTTATTCCGGGCTCCAGGCAACAGCCAATAGCCCGAAGTCTCTTGCCACTCCAACGTTGCTCCAGGCTCGGTACTCGCGGACAAGGCGTGCGAGAGATATGGAACAGGCTGTGTGCCAACATGGGGGGGCTCCGAAAGGGCATTGTTTCCACGTTGCCCAGCTCTGGTGCCTTGTTCTCGACAGCTGTGCGTGCCACTCCACCAGCCCGTCCGATTCATCGAACATTTCACTGATCAACTTCCCCTCCTTCATAGCATTGCTGCTTACGTATGGCCGCATCGCCGAAGACGTGCTCTGTGTAGACATCATTACCAAAACGGTCAAGCCACTGCACAACCCTCCTGACCCGATGCCGAGCAAGAAGACTTTGTCAGTGAGGTTTCGAGGCGCCATCATGTGGTCCATTCCCACCCATGAGTGCCAAACGTGGTTTGTAAGTCTCGTGCCGTTATCATGTGGCGACGTTAACATGCTAACCATCGTAATCCAGAGTTTTGTCTCCCACTTTCGCAACTACCAACCATGGCGGCTTCAATTCTTCCATCAGAAAACCGCAATCAAGCCTCACAGTTGGCCGCGGCTCTACCGCTTTGCTGTGCGGCCCGATAAGAAACTGATCTTGGATCTTCACCTCAGGCAAGTTTAATCTCCCAGTGATAATCCACCGTGTGTTAACCACCAATTCTAGAACCGCTCTCACACTGCCACAGCCACCGGCTTTGGTCGCGTTATTCGAGAAGGATGAGACCATGCTTGGGGCCACATTACCCTCGCACAACCCAACCGTATCGAACCAGCAACTTCCTGTGACCCTCCCTGCAAAGCAAAAAGCCCGGAGCCCGGGTGGCTCAGCAATGCCCCCGGTACCGCCAGGAACCAAGGCCAATCTTTCTCCTTCCAGATTAGATCAAGAGAGCGGGTATACTTCAAAGTCAGGAACCGAGTTTTCATTGGGTATATTTGCCTATTCGGAGAGCTTTAACAACCTCAACTCGGCGTCAGCCAACCCTTCGGCGTCCCTATCCCCTTTGTCGCCCCAACCAACGTTTCCCCCTTCATTCCAGGACGCATCTGTGGTCCAATATTTTGCGGATATGGAAGAGCACATTCAGACGAAAACCACTCCGGACGACCAGCGTGCTTACAAGAATACGAACAAGGCCAGACGACCGCACGTAGTGGACGTCCTGGGCAGAAGAAAGGCCGCCTTTGGTGCTAAAACTACCAGCTTGGATAACAAATGGGATTTTGGGAGAATGATTAGCGTATTCCACTCTGCTGACATCATCTTTAGCTTCTTCTTCCCAGCGGATGTGTCGGTCCCTACTACCCGTCAGTTCTGGGGCGCTGTTATGGCCGTGATCAACGTAGTAGGCTGCTGGAAATTCCTTGTGCTCTCGGATCTTGGTCGACTAACATGGTGGACAGCATCCAGCCACGGAAGAAGCGGAGGCCGAGGGGCCAGGAACCGAAGCAGGCGTTAGAACGGAGAGATACCGCCCCCGCCCGTCATCACGACTCGGCGAGCTCGCAGGGGCCTTGAGAAACATAGCGACCGATATCATGGCTTTCAACGAAGCCATCGCCAGGATTGAGGAACCCGACCGGGCTCATCTCAGAACGCCGCCGGCCTTGGTGGATGCATGGATACACATCACCCTTGCTCTTGCGACGTTTCCCTCCAACCCAACTCGGTCGCTGGAACTAGCACGCAGAGCGGGATCCGATATCAGCACTGGGATAGACGAAATCATTGAGGCGCGATCGGAACCGCTACGGATACAAAACTTGGTGGTTCTTCCGTTTGACCTTCTAAGTCTTATAAGCAGGAAGCTGCTCAGGGACGTCACGCCGGGCCTCCCTGATATCAGCTCAACATACGGTTCCTCCTTGAATATGATTGTAAGGTCTTTCTTGTCAGCTACCCCCCTGGTCCGCCACTAACGCATCCCAGGAATCCGACATCGTCACCAAGCACTCAGATCGCCGGATTGAACAAAGGCTGGGCTTGCTACAGCAGGAACTATCTATTATCGACTGGACGGTCGAGTTACAAAGAGGCATCCTCGACAAGATGCTGACCACTAGGGAGATCGTGAGCAGCAAAGTCGAAGCAGAATTCGCCGACGAGAAGGTCGGTCAAATGCATATATCATGGGTGCCTCGCCGCCGAGCACTCCAGCATCCCACAATGGCGGCCATGGCCGAGAACGTGCTCAGTCCGTCTCAATCATGCGGATTCAGCGATTTACTGCTCCAGGAGGGAATCCAGGAGCTGACCGCGAAACGAAGCGAGTTCAAGCTAATGGGCGATTTGGTGGAGTACCTAACGGACACGGTATGTTTTTCCTCGGCGTCTTCCCTCGGTTCCACCGTGCCTCATTCCCCCGTTCCCATTCCCTCCCACCCCTTTGGTCCCCTATTATTCCTCCCCACACCCCTCCCAATGATGCCGACCCCCTCACAACCCACCCCATCAACCCAACCCAACCTAGGTACCTAACTACTAGTTGCTAACCCCCCCCTCCCCCACAATAGAACCGCACCAAAATCGACTACACCAAAGACCGCCAAGAACGCGCCATCTACGCCTTCACCATCGTCACCGTCATCTTCCTGCCCCTCTCCGCCGTCGCCTCCATCTTTGGCATGAACTCGGCCGACGTGCGCGACATGGAGCTTGGCCAGTGGGCGTACTGGGCCACTGCCCTGCCTGTCACGGGTGTGGTGATGTTTTTGGGGCTGTTGTTTACGGGGGAGTTGGGCACGGTGAGGCGGTGGGTGGGGGAGTGGGTTGGGGGTGTTGGGACGGGGGGCGAGAGGTGGGTGAGGGGGAGGGGTGGTGGTGGTGGGTGGGCGGATGGCGCTGGGGAGGTGTTTGTGGATGGGGAGGGGGGTTATGCTGCTGAATGGGAGGGTGTGAGGAGGGGGGATGTGCGTAGGAGGGTTCGAGGGGTGAGGAGGAGGAGGTGAGATGTTATGGAGGGAGGTGGTTCGGTTGGGTGTCAGGACTGTGCTGGTTGGTCTTGGATAGGATGAAGAAGTGTATGTTCCGTTTGAATGTTGCTCGTCCCCGAGACAGTGATCTTAATAGCGGTACGGTACCGATGATTATGTGTGCTATTGATGGAGGGTGCCGTGTTTTACGGGATACGTTTCCGATCAACAAAGGTAACCACTCAACCAAAAAGAGAAATAGTTGGGTTTGAGGCTTTTGAGGGGGGCTAGAGATCAGAAATGAGAACCGTAAAACACGGCACCCGCCATCAATCGCACACATAATCATCGGTCCCGTGGCCGCTATTAATGGAACCCGGATTCCCTCACCACTGTTGCCCGGGAGTACCCGCCCTTGGGGCATAGACGTTTCCACTACCCGGCCCAGGGTTGCTCGGTGACAGCCGCCCGGCGGCCTGGGGACCCAGGGCTTGGTACATGCTTTGGATGTTCCGGTCGAACCCCGGTGGATAGGCCTGCTGCTGCTGTGGCGGTGGCGATAGCTCATAGTGCTGTCCTCCCACTGGCGACGGCTGTGGCACGGCCAACGCGTCGTTCTGTCCCTCCCAGGATGTTTGGTAAGGGGCGTTGGCATTAGCTTTGGCGCTGGTACTGGGACTAGCGGTCCTCGCGCCGGGGTTGTCCCAAGATTGGCCGCTGGGTGAGAACTGGTCGGCCTGTGTTGGTGGCCTGTGCCTGACATCAGTATAGCGCTGCTCCTGCGCGGCAGGCGCCTGATGATGCCACTGTTGCGGTAGGGGCCGCAGCTGGACTCTGGAAGCGGCCCCGAAGGCCGTCTTGTCCATGGTCATTCCGCCCGCGCCGGCGGCGCCAGGGCCGGCCACGACATTGTTGTTCTCGTCAATCCAGATGGCGCGCAACTTCGCCTCCTTGGCACGGCGCGCCGAGTTAGACCCGTATAGGGCGTTCATATACTTGGAAAACTCGAGGTAGGCGTTGCGCACAACTTCGAACTGCTTGACCCCGAGCTTGACGACGGCGTCAGGCCGGAGAATCTGCTCGTGGCTGTTGCCTTGGGCCTCGAACTCGGCTAGCGCCAGCGCCGTTTGGCAGGCGTTACGGATCTGCCGGCCGTTCCAGCGAGCATGCGGGTGCGCGGTGAAATGTTGGGCAGCGAAGCCGCCGATGCCCATTTCGTCAATTTCAATTATTCGCCCCTTCTTAGCAAAGCGATCTCGAATCATGCTCATGTTCAGCTTGAAAACCTGGACGGTCTTGTCATTGTTCAGCTCGGGGTAGTACAGGCTGACATGGATGCGAGACGTGAAGGCTTCGTCAAAGTCGCCGATACGATTGGTTGTCAAAAAGAGGATGCCGGAATAGTACTCCATGACGCGCAAGAAGACTGGGGTGGCACGTCAGCGCTGTAAATAGTAGGGAACGGGGATGTGCGCCCGGCATCAGACTGACCTGCCACAAGTCCATTCCGCTTAAAGTCCAGCTTGGTCCTCTCGGCGAGGAAAACGTCGGCCTCGTCCAACAATAGGATACAATCCCACCTGCTGGCCAACGCAAAGTTGGTCTCTAGGGCCTTCTCGACCTCCTCGGCAGTGGTGCCAAGGTCACCTAATGGTCGAGACAAACCACGCTCTCCGTCAGCAGTTGTTTCTGAGACGCGTTGATGGTACGACCAGAACTCTCTACTTGCCACAGGTGATTTGAAACAGCGGCTTCTTGAATAGTTCTGCCACTCCTTCTAATTATTCGGAGACGGGTGTTAGCATGGGGTAGCGCAGTGCCGCGTCGGATACACGAACCAGCCGTGGACGTCTTGCCCACGCCAGGGGCTCCGTGGAGCAGTAGAATCAAGCCCTTTCCTACAAGTCCATGTCAGTCGGGCAACCATGTCGACCGGCACGCTGAGCCGTGGAGGAACGCCAGTACCTTTTCCCTTGACTATGTCAAACTCCTCCGTCTGCCCCCCCGTCGCCTTCTTGTCTCGGAAGTGTTGGGCGATGAGGGCCAGGATCATGGGGCGATGCCACTCCTCAAGGACGAGGCGGTCAAAAGCCGTGGTACTTTTCTCCTCCTCTGTGCCGCCCTGTCGGTCCTTGCCTCCATTGGCCGCCGGGAGATGAACATCGGTCAAGTATGAGAGATCTAGCTTGGCTGGGAAACGGGACGTGTAAGTATAGCACCAGGGACAGTGGTAACTGGGATCAAGCTTTTCATAAATCACTTACCCCATTTGCGACTGCGCAGGACGAAACCAAAGACGCGGTACGACATGATGACTAGCTCATCATCCGAGACGAGAATACTGCCGCTGCTACTGCGTATCTCCTTCAATGGCCGCGGAATAATGGCAATCGATGGTTGTTCGTTTACCGCACCTGATTCGGGAAGGAGGCCATTAACATACTCCTCCCCCTGCCTCTTGTCCACATAAAAGTCGTCGTGCACGTTGTCCAGCCGACAGCAGGCCGCGTTACAGGTCTTATCTTGTATATCCTGTTCGCCGTCCTCACTCCCTGGGTTTCCGATCATCGTCTTTAGCTCAGGTTTCCAGTTCTGCTGAGCGAGGTCTTCGACCGAAAACGCCGTTTCGAAATCAACCACTACCTGACTCTCCACCTCGTCTCGCACCTCCAGCGTCGGTCCGGCGTAGTACATATGCTTCACGCCGGCGACCTCAAGAAATTTGGCGCCTCGGTGTATAAGCTTGCGTCTGTATCTCTCGTCGGCAGGGAGGGCCTCGAGTGCCTCCCACTCTGAGTCGCTAAACTCGTCCTTCTTGATGGGGTGAAAGCGGAGAGGGTACACCTCCAAGGACGTCACGTCCCTCTCGCCGTCAAACCTCTTAAAGTCAAAGACCTTGGAGACCGGCCCCAGGCTCTTGCCGTCGAAGTCGATGTAGATGCACGTAATGCTGAACGCCGGCGTTGTCTTGCGCCTCCCCGTGTTGCTAGACCACCTCTCCCAAGGGGGCACAACACGGTGTTTGGCGGCTGCTGACATTGATAACCCGGTAGGCCTGCTTGCCGCCACTGCCCGTCACTTCCATCCCCGGTCTGAAGAGCAGCCACAGGTCCGAAAAGAAAACCTTGCGGCAATCAGGGCTGCGGAGATACGTCTGCTTGGCCGATATGTCCGAGTCCACGAAGCTCAGAAGACATTTTAAGTGCTCCAACGCAGTAGGCGACTTGGTTATGCCGTCAAGCTCGTCCTCAGCCTTGTCGTCTTCGCCGTCTCCCTCCTGGGGCGTCTCCTCACCTACTGCGGCCGGCACGGCCTCAAACCTCTTCTCCAGGGCCGTGCACCAGTCTCGTAGTGCTGGCTCGCAATAAGAGAGGGCCTTGAAAGGTCTGATGAAAACAGTCGGCCGATTCATTTCATTCTTCAAGATTGTACTGAAAATCTGGATGAGTGCCTCGGAGTTGATCCGTACTCTCTCAGGAAGCTGCAACTGCCCAGGTAGCATATTCGAGGAGTTTTTGGAATCCGGGATGACGACCCGCCTGCGGGCTTGGCCCGAGAAGCCGTACCAATGCGCATTGCCACCGAAGTCGTCGTCAACGTTGGGCTCGCCCATGAGAATGTCGATGACAAATGCATCCCTCTCCTCCACAGCACTGGCCGCAGAGAGCATTTTGAAGCCGGTCCAATCTACCCGGTTGAGTTGGGGCTGGGCAAACCTAAGAGACGTTGGTACTGCGTCGTCAGACTGTGCGTCTTTTCCGCGCAGTTTGTCTCTCGCACGGTTCCCCTTTTTTTCTTCCGCGCCGGGATGTTGCCCCTTGGTCGCTTCGACCTTCTGTCTCCTGCGGCGATCCATTTCTTCAGCTAGATAGATGCGGTCCATTTCCCACTCAAAGTTCTTGCGAAGCCGATCGCGGCGGCTGCCGTAGTCAATAATTTGATCAAATTCATCGTAAGTGTCGGCGCCGCTCTGCCCCTGGCCGTCTTCCGCCTCGCCAGAGAGTTCTAGGAGACTCGGTGGCTCGTAGGTGCGTTCCTTTCGAATGACCCAGTTGATGTCAAACGGTTCGAGAGCATGTATACCTCCCGATTCCATGTACTCGCGGGGATGTATGTCTCGAATACCCCAACCGCCCGGCCCTATCTCGCGTTCCCATTCTTTTCGATGGTTCTTGAGACAGGCTTCCATGCGCCTATATTCTTCGAGATACTCCATCAGCCGCGGACTCGACTGTTCTCTTTTCACAGGTGCCACATTGTTCCGGGCTTGTCGCTCGAGCTCAAGGAGCTTCATCTTCAAGGCCTGGATCTCGCCAGGGAAGCCGTCAACACCGCTTGCCGAAAACCTCTGGCCATTTCCGGCCGGATCGTCGGATCCAGCGGCTGCTTTGGTTGGGAAACCCTCCTCATTATTCTGAATCGAAGCTAGGGAAGGCAGCGTTGCGTTCCCCGGGGTCGAGTCGACCGCCTCCGTCCCGGCCGTCGCTGAACTAGAGTCCATTGGCGTTTTTTTTGCCGTCTCCATTTCGACGTAGATACAGAACCGGCGCGCTAGAAGTATTTAGGTGTACAAGACAGGTAGGTGTAGCGACGATAGGGTCACGTGTATGAAAGCAACCAGGCACGAGATGACAAAGGGTTGGCCGAGGATTACTCCTTATCTTGCAAGATGGCTGGAACGTCTACCAAGTCTTGACGGGGCGGGCGTGGAATGTCGGAATCACACTAAGCGTTTCCCGAATGTCATATATTCATGGTAACGTACCCTGCAAGGCCTAGAGCCTCGTCCGAACAGCACAATGCTCCCCCCTCCCGGCTCTCCTCAGCCGCAATAATATTGACAGGCATCATGCATGACCCTACTGCTTACCCCTCACTCTCACACCCTTCGCTTACCATGCTTGCAGTTTTATTGGCCCGAACAGCCCGCAAAGGTTCTGCTGTGTCACCTTCAAGGCATGTTGTCGAGCAGATTCGAAGACAATCATAGCCATATAACCAATAGCTTTCAGCCATGTCATGGTGCATTCCATATCCATAAGCCCGCTACTTGCGGTCCTATCGTAGCAGATCAAGCGTTCAACCCCCAAACCCGGCAACAAAGCTCCCGGAATCAAACCCGAGTATGAAGAGGCAGATAATGTAAGGCGGGACCTCTGAACAGCAGCCATCGTCGAGAGCCCCGTGCCTCTTCACTTTGAACACTGGCACCATGGTGGATCAAGGGTCTTTTATACCGGCGTTCAGTCGTCCGGTGACAGTCGCCTACATTGATCATCACCTCCAACAGCAGCACCCGATGTTTGCGAACCCGCCTGTGCAGTACAATCCCTTGTCCGGGCAGTATACCCCAAACAAGAATGCCTTGGCACCGTGCGCGGACGATGATCACCTTCCATCAAGACCGGATTTGGGAGATGTCAAGGCCATGAGGTTCTGGAATGGCATATTTCCCGATGCCATGGCCGAGTTCAAGACGACAAAAGAACCCCACGGCCGGGCCAGCACCGACTACAGCATTCGGAGCCAGGACAGTTGGGACGAAATCTACCGCCGGCTCGAAGCGGCGCAGGCCAAATATCAACAAGTAGGGGGGCCGGTAGGGTGGCTGCGGAAAGTGCGGCGAAAGATGGCTGACAACATTGCGCCGGTGGCCGGGGCGGTCGGGATTGCCGGCACAGTTGGCCACGGCGAGCCCATTGTCACGCCGGTCTTGGGTGCTGTGGAAATGGTCCTGGATGTAAGTATAAGGTGGGCCAGAGGCTACCCACAGTTCGGCTCGCATACCTAGGTAGTTACCTTAACTAGGTAGATACTTTACCAGCCCGGCTAACTAGGGCGGTGTGCCAGGCCGTGAACACTGCCGCGTCTGTACGCCAACAGGCTCTCGAGGCCTTTAACGGCCTTGTCCCCATCTTCTCCGATGTTGAATTGTTCCTAGGCACCTTCCCGGGGGACCCGCGAATCCGGAGCGCCTCGGTGGACCTCACTGTCACAATACTAGACTCCATCGAGAGGGCCATCGGTTTCTTCATAAGCAATGAGTGTGAGTCTGGGCTCCTTTGTTAGCAGGCTACCGGCAATACTGACACATTATACCGACGATAAAGTTCTGAGAGCTGGCAAGGCCCTGCTTACCAGGGGCGACTACGAGAAAAGCATGGTGGACAGCTTGACCATGATCAAGACCAGAAGCTCAAGCCTCATGGAGGAAGCCGCAAAGTCGCATATTCACGAATTCCATATGTGTACGGTTGCCACCAGCCTAACCAAGGAACTCGGCCACTGACATGATTTATTCACCCCAAGACTCACAAGAGACACGAAAGTTCCAAAGGCAGCTCCTGCAGGGGGTGCAGAACGTAGGCGACGGGCTTAACTCGATGAACAGATTGTTTGCGGAGTACGCGCTCCGAAAGGAACGTAAGTCGCATCCGGGATATTCCATAATGATTGTATAAGTGGAGGGGATCGATCTCTAATGTGTTATCGGCAGGGGAGCTCGAAGCCACCCGACAGGAGAACCTGCGCCTCCATATCATAAACGAGAGGCTGCGAGCCACCACCCCAACCCCACAGGTGCAGACGGTTACCAGGGGGCCGCACATCAGCCAAGGAGGCCTCCGGCGGATGCTCGACACGCCCGATCTCGACCTGACCGACCTCGCCTTCGTCAACGACAAGAAGGGCCAACTACCGGAAAGAGAACGGACACAAGCGGAGCAAATCATCAACACGCACCTCTTCCAAAACTGGGCCATAACGACACGCTCGTCCAAACTACTCGTACACTGGGACTTCAACACCCCGCAAACCATAGCCGACGTCTCGCCGTTGTCGGTAGTCTGCGCCACCATGACGCAAGCGCTGCGGGCCAAGGAGCACTTTGTGTCGGCGGTGTGGTTCTGCGGGCAGCACACGGACCCGGCCGAGGCCGGCGCCCACATCGGAGGGCGCGCCATGCTGCACAGCCTAATAGATCAGCTGCTAAGACAGCATGCCTTTGATGTGCGGCCCCTGTGCAGTTTCATCGACCCCGCGGCCTTGCAAGCGGGGAGGCTCGATACGCTTATCCAGCTGCTCGAGTGGTTGGTGCGGCAGCTGCCCGAGACCACGACGTTTTTCTGCATTATCGACGGGGTGTGTCTGTTTGAGCGGGACGAGTTTCAGCGCGAGGCAGTGCCTGTGTTGCTAAGCCTCATCCGTTTGGCCGGGGATACGGCCGTGTCTACCACTGTCAAAGTGCTGCTCACGAGCACACCAGGGACAGACATTGTGAGGGGCGCTTTTGAGGAGGAAGACCTGATTCTGAATGTGGACGGACTGCCGCAGTTGGGGTGGGCGCCAAACGATGAGCGCATGATCCGGGAGCTGGATAGGGAGATGGATGAAGCCGCGTGGAGGTAGGAGATCCAACGTGAAGGCTTGAGACGGTGGCTTTGTCAACTGGTCCATCGGTTCCTCAAACCTGTATTCCTCGACTATCCCACTAATTGCTTCTCAACTTCCTCGCTGTCTACGCCCTGGGGTGTTTTGAAGTGCAAACTACCTCTCAAACTAGGTACCTATCTATCTTTACTAGCCGACCGCAAACCTTGAGACCTCAAGGGCCTACGGCGGTGGAGAGAGCCGCGGGCACGGTCATGCGCTGGACAGGGGGAATCGTTGATACGAACAGAGTAGTAGAAGAGGCTTGGAAAGCGAGGTGGTTAAAGGAACGGGACGGCAGGGCAATCACCAGGCCGGCGGACGACTTTGACCATCAGCAGGAGACGCTATTCCGGAACGAAACCCTAAGGAGGCACGACGGTCTCAGCAAGGCGAAGAGCTCACTGCTGATTCAAATCCGGACGGGAGCAATAGGCTTACGGGACTTCTTGTTTACACGGGGAGTCCCCGAGGTTCTGACTCCTGCCTGCGAGTGCGGCGAGGGACGAGAGACTGCCGAACACCTGGTAGTGTGGTGTTTGGCCCCACCGTTGACTCGAAGATGGGAGAGAACTGGAATTCGGACACGACGGGACTTTTACTCTGTTCTACACGGCATCAATCCCACGACTGCACGGCTCGCGAGGAGAGTCCTCGACTGGTTGATGGACTCGGGGAAGCTGCCGATGTACAACTTAGCTAGGAGGCTCGAGCTGGAAGCGGCGGCCTGAAGCGCCCCCGTTCGGAGGCCAGGAGGCCTCCTCTCTTTGTATACGCAGACTCACCAGAACGCATCGTTCCTTGATTGTTGATATGGGTTTTTCACCCGGCCCGGGAGGGCACGGTTTTCCTGTACATTAAATATCTGAGGGTCCGGCACGCCCTAGGGCATAGCGGAGTATGAATAATAATATCTATCTTACTACCTTAGGATAGGTAGCGTAGGGCAAGCCCTAGTAATCGAATAGAGACCTTGATAAAGAAGTAAAGTGTGGCTTTTCGAATGGGGAACAGACTGGAGATGGAAGTGCAAGAATATGCACCTACTTTTTCACACCCCTTCTCCTCGGGACCGAGCCAAGGGCCGGAAACTTGTGAGATGTGGCTATGTAGACGACTAAAAGCTTGGCAGGTTTTCCCGCTTCAGCCCCCGTCTCATCTCCTTTAACATGGGGTCATCGGGGTGGGATTCTGTCAGGTATCGGGAGCACGCCCGAGCCGTTGGGGGAATGCCTTGGCGGCGTTCCATTTGACACGGGGGCTGATTGAGTGAGGCCTCCGGCAAGATTTAAATTGCAAACCCTCTTGACTCGTCCAGCGTGAAAGCACAAAGACCAAGCATGGTGGATGGCTCCGGTCAGCTGCAAGCGACATGCACCTCTGGTCTTGGGAACAGTGCTCCGCCCACGCTAGCAGAGGGCAAACGAAGTATTTGACAAGGGCTGTTCCCGGGCAAAACTTGGGAATTTTTGTGGATATCTGTCCAACTATCTCCAGTCCGAGTCTCGAGTCGGCGACAACGTATCACTCGTTTCTCTACACGCAGCATATAAACAGTGGAAGCCATAATCATCTCACACAATCCAATCCCGACCTACCTACCTAACTTCGAAGACCACTTCCCCAACCATGTCGGAAGAGATGGAACCCACCAAGCCCCCTCCGGCCCATGTCTCCCCGACGGGCATGTGGGCGTCCAAGCTCACCCTCCGCGTTATCCAATTCGCGCTCGCCATCACCATCATCGGCTGCGTCGGCTCCATCCTCTCCACTGGCTTCTACAGCATCTTCGTCCTCGTCGTCATCGTCCCGCAAGTCAGTCCCCTCGTCCCCTCCCATTCCATCCACCCCCAACCCTCACCGCCGCCCCCAGTGCCACTAACCACTCCTTGCATCTCCAGGCCGCCGTCTCCGTGATATGGTCTCTCGTCGAAGGCATCTGCATCCTTGTCCGCGGCGGACGGCGCGGCATCCACCCGGGCGCCAACGTCGGGTTCGATCTGCTGCTATGGTTGGGGTTGGTAGTCGGCACCATCTTCATGTGGCTGTTTGGCGTCGACTCTGAACTGAATGTGGGCTCATCGTCGTACAACTACGGCGATAATTATGACAGTGCGCTGGCGGTTATTCTCAAGGTGGCGGGTCTGGGGCAGGCGTTGATCGGGCTCGGGGCGACGTTGACGTGAGTTCTTCTAAGCATTGGTGTTCCTTCTGCTTTTGCAGGTTTATGGTGTTTCGAGGCTAATCTGGCCTGGTCGGACAGGATCCTTCACTTCACGACCTTCGTTATCGCTTGCGTCGAGTGTAGCAAGCGGAATCAGGCTCCCGCCGTCGTTTATGTGACAGCAGACCCTTACGCGCAGGCCCCTCAGTACGGTAATCATGGGCAAGGTATGGGGTATGCGCAGGCGGCACCAATTCCGGTTTATCAACAGGATGGCGCGAAGGCTTAGCGGTCAGGGGAGTTGATGAGATGATAGAGCTTTCATGACATGCATACGATCTTGTTGGGTAATATTTGTTCTTTTTCTGGTAGGACAGAATGGTGTTAGGTTGTGGGAATACTAGGGAGTTTCAATAGACGGTAACAAACGATCTCAAATATGTACCAGCGTATACGAACAGCCGAAAGTGAAGTTATTTACATGAATGTACCGTCAGCCCCTGACCTCCCCGGACGCCTCCTCCACCGGTGACACCCAACCCTCAGTTCAGGCACTGCGAGTACCACTGGTTCGAAGCCTTGCACGACCCCTGAGAGCAGCACTTGGGCCCTGCCCACCCGTCACCACCACACTGACCCCACAAAGGTGAGCAAACACCACCATTCCCACCCGTCGGCTCAGGGGTCGACGCAGTCGTGGTTGGGCTGCCACCACCACCAGTACCTTCACCAATCGGGGTGACATTGATCTTATCGAGGTCCGCCGACACAACCGACCAGCCATCATTCCTCGCCCCGCTGCCCGTCAGATACCCCGAGGCAGAAGTATCCCCGCGCAAAATCCACTTCACCCAGTTGGCCCCGATGATACCATACTTCCCGCCGTTGTAATCCGTATACGTCCCGCCATGGCCCACGTTCAAGTTCCCCTTCCACTTCGGTACGCCCGACTGCATCGCATTGTAATCACGTTCACCATTCTGATACGCGATATCACTCGGCCCACCCAGGAAGAAGAACACCGGCTTGCGGAAGTCCCTCGCCGAGGTGTAGTTGGTCAACAAGCCCGAGTTCCAGATGCCGACGCTCTGCACGCGGGGGTCCCATATCTGGGCATACGCCTCCACACCACCACAACTCCAACCAGCGGCGGTGATGCGCGAGGCGTCGATGTTGGCCCAGGCGCCCGACCCGGCGTTGCGCGTGATGAAGTCGATCGACTGCTTCATCATGTCGGCCGTCGTGCTGCCGCCGCCGCCCGGGGTGCCGCTGGCGATGACCAGGACGCCGTACGAGGCCAGTTGGGTGAGGAAGGGCGCTTGGCCGGTCGCGTCGGCGGAGCAGCCGCCGTTCCCCCAGAGGAGGACGGGGAGCTTGGCGTTGGAGGGGATGGTTTTCGGGGCGTAGAAGGTGTGGCCGCCGAAGGCGTTGCTGGTGTAGTAGCCCTGGAGGGGGTGTTGTCAGTGGTGTTGCTTGAATGGTGGTGATAGTAATCAGAGATGCATACTGCTGGCGCAAATGGACCATTGCCAGTACTAGCTTGACGCTCCTCGAGAGCAACAGGGCTGGCGGATAGCTGACCCGCTAGGATCAGACCAGGCAATAAGACTTTCATTTTTGTGTTGTTCTTGGCGAGAGGTGGTAAAATATGACCTTCGGCGAAAACTAGAACTGTTGATGACCGGGACTCGAGCAATCAGGGGATTCCACTAGGGTAACTGAGTGTCTATGGGGGACATCTTATATACCCTTGGTACGCCGCCTAGCTTCCCTAGTTCCCAAAATCCCGCCGTCCCGTCAGGTCCTCCCCGTTCTCTTTCCCTAGTCGAGCGCCTATCTTTAACTCCATTAGGAAAACCTTGCGGCGCTTGAGACCCAACGATCTGGGCGGGATCGCTCCCCCACAGATCGTAGCTCTGCATCTCGGTAGCCCGGTACCCGGTACCAGGTTGGGTCTGTATTTTTTTACTCCGAATAGCATCAGAACATGGTACAAGCCAATCAGGAACCCACCTTGGGTCCGAAACTTCCCTGCCGGTATTCGATGCCGACGTTCATACCGGCCGCTAACCCAATGCGACCTCAGTCCCTCGAGTTCGAAATGCTCCGGTTGGGGCGCGTATTTGACAGGACACATGTGACGGATGGTGGCCAGAGCGGCCGGGCAAAGAGGGAGCAGAACTTAGGCTATTATCGAACCCTTTGGTGTGCAGTGTAACTTGTGGTTCCATCGCGTGAATCTCGACTCGGCTTGGCCGTTCCCTCACCGGGTCGTCTTCCTTCTCCCTTCTCTTTCGCCCGTGTCTCCAAGCTCCGGTCTCGATTGAGCATATCCCGGCGATGGTTAATTTTGGCTTTCTCACACGACTCCTTTCGTATGGGCACGAATATTGGGCGAAGGGGTAAGCACAAGAACCTTGAGCCCTTCTTGGCTCACGGTTGCCAAGAAGGTCCTGGCTTTGAGGGGAACCCTTGACATCTGTTATTCGCCTCCCAGACTCTCCTCCCTATCAAGCTCAGCCGGATATTATCAAAAACGTTCCCATTCTGGAACCAGGACAAGCTGATTAACCGAGAGCACGGACATCGAAGCTAGGGGGTCAAATGAACACAGGATGACACTACTCTACGAGGGTGATACTAAGGTGCCTAGACGATGGCAGCCCTCGGGGCCATACTATCCGTAGTATCATCTCTACTCCAATAACGGTTGCGCCCTTGCTGCCAGATCTCAGACCACAGGAGGAATTACTTTCTAGTATCTTCGTGCTCGCCCCCGGTATAGTTGATGACCCCGGTCCCCTTCTAAAAATCGTTAGTGGTTGGTATTGAAAAATCTAGAATTACTAGACATCCCCAACACCCAATTCCGGGGGGGAACGTCAGGTACAACTACCCGGTCGGGTTGACCCTAAAAATTGCCAGGATTGAGAAATTCGACAATCGCTAGTCGGAAACTTGATGTTAAATTAATGAAGAAGGGGGAATTTTCATACTTCCCGAACGTTAACATACGCCGGAGGAGTAAATGTTACGTACATATATACGGGTTCTACACTAGTAAGTTAATGATACGGCGGGTAACCGCCCTAGGGATGTAGCTGAATAACATGCTTGTTAAGTTTATCATTGGTTTTATGGTGTTTTACGGTGCAGGACTCCTCTACCGATGCTGCCCGCGTTGGTGCCAAGCCTCGATTCTTATCTTATCAGCCCCTTATCTTATCGGGACCATAGCATGGCGCCTTCGACCACTCGGCCATCCCTTGAGTTTCGATGTTTTTTAGCCCCCAAATTCTCACCAACCTCGACCCTTCCAACCTCCCACATCCGGCCTCCATCACCGCCCCAGCGTCTCTCGTACCACCACCGGCACCGGAGCAAACCGTACCTTGCTCCGCTCCTCTCCCACCGGCACGCACGCCATCTAGTTACTTTGCGACCTTGGGCCACCCGAAATCAAACACCTCAAGAAGGATTAGAACGAGTCAAGGCGAACACTCGTCGGCGAAGGTCGTCGCATCGTTGCCTGAAGTTAAATACTCCCCCGACGTTGTGTTGTCCGTCCGCCGTGTCGATCACCATCGCGTCCCCGCAATTGTTTTCTTCTTGGAAGGTTTTGATGGCTTCCACCGGCAGTGGTTCAGCCTCCTCCCACAAGCCGGGCCTAGTGCACTTCACAAAAGTCTCCCGTGTCTTCTTCACCACCGGCATATACTTCTCCCATTCCGGGAGCTCTTCCACTTCGGCCTTAGCCGCGGACTCCGCTGATGCTCTCACATCATCCAACCGGTCTTCACCATACAGAGTTGAAAGCCTGTCGACATCATCCTCCAGCTTGTTGTCTATGTCGTCCCACGGACACTCCCAGTTCGTCTGTGTCGCCGCCAGGAGCAAGTATCGGATCTTCCGTATCTCTCGGAAGTTACTCTGAGCTATCAAAGTCCCAGCCAGGCAGCCCTTGGCCATCATCGTGGTGAAGTGGTCCTCCCCCAATGCCGCCTTATACCCCTCCATGACCATGGTATCCGCCTCCGCCGCGGCCGCGAGATGATTGACAAAATAGAGGGTCGTTGCGAAGTCAGACATCCGGTGTAGTGCATTCAGGTGCGTCTCGCCCTGCATGTCCCGCGCTATTACGTATAGCTGTATCTGCAGGTCCCTTGCCTGCTTCCATTGCTTCCGTTCCCCATAGACCAGGGCTAGCGTGGTCACGCTGAGCAGCAGAGTGTTGGGGTACATCTCGTCTGCCACTTTGCTGGACGCTTCGATGACCTGCATCAACAGCGCCTCTGCCTCGTCCAGCCGACTTTGTCGGTAGTAACTCTGCGCTATGCCGTGGATGCATTTCAGCGCGTGGTCGTCGAGCCCGCCGCCGAGTAATTCTTTGCGTATGTCCAACGCCTGCGTGAACAGAAGTTCCACCACGACCCAGTTGCCCAAGTCGAGAAATCCGGCGACGCTGGCTAGAAGTGACGCTCTCGCAAGTTTCTTGTCTGGGGATACGGTGGGCTCCTTTAGCGCGGCGAACACGTGGGGGAGGAATTCCTTGCAGACGTCCAGATTGTCCAAGTTGGTGTAGGGATAGAAGGCATAGGCCTGTGAGACGACGAGGAGTGCGTTTTCCGCAAAGTGCTGCGCCATCCCTTTCCTTTTGAGCCATTTCCAAGTGGCCAGCTGTACCAGCCGGTGCATGCTGTATGTCTGGTCCATGGCCCTCACGATGAGCGAGAATGCTGTGAGAACCCCCAACGCTTTTGTGAGTTCGACCTCCTGTGTTGGTCTCGAGCCGTACGTGTTTGTGTGGTAGGTGGTTAGAAAGTCCCAGGGAACCTCTTGGCGGTCGAAGAGGGTCATGAGAGAGAGAATCTCCGCCGCTAGGGGATTGCGCTCTTGAATCTGTTCAAACGACAGGAACAACGTCCTAGTCGCTGCGTCGGGAGTTTCAGGGTCCCTCCCGTGATCCCCATACTCCTCACTAAGCAGGTCGAGGAAGTGCTCTTCGTTCGTTTCTAAGAGCTCCGAGTACTCCGACACTGTCAGGTCGTTTTCCTGAACGAACCCTGCCGCTTGGACAAGAGCAAGGGGCAAGGCCCCAACTGAGAAGAGAGCCACGACAGCTCCTCGGAGGTGGCACTGCGGAGCTGTGCGTGCCGACAAAGTAACTCGGTGGCCTCGTTTTCGGTCATCTCCCCGACCGCGATAAGAGGCCCGCCTTTGGTCAGTCTTGCGCCGGCTTGTTTGTTTCTGGTCGTCACAAGAATTGTGCCGTGTGCGCAATCGGGGAGGTAGCGTGCGAGTGTGCCCTCGATACGGGACTCTACACGGTTTTTCGGCCGCGGATTCGATACAGAGCGTTGTTGGCTGGACGGAGACTTTTCAGTGGTAGGCACGGTGACCTGGCCTTGCTGAAGATGTGGTAGATCGGTGTCTTCTTGGACGGCCTGCGTCTCACCCTCACCCGGGGATTGGTCTCGCTGGCGAAAGAACATCTCTGTGTCATCGGCGTTGTCGATGACCATTAACCACCGGCCCTCATGTTCCTTTTCCAACCAATCTTTTACCAGGGCCAGGATGTTTGTTTTGTGATTATCGCGGCCCGGGATCTCGCATTCCTCAGCGATAGCAGTGTAGGCCTGGCGAAACCGCTCGGTGTTGGTGGCGTGGACCCAGAAGACTGATACGTCGCCGAGGTTTTGATACACCCAGTGGGCGTATTGGATGGCGATTTGCGTTTTCCTGGCCCATCTCCCATGTTAGTAATTTCCCCCCAACGATACGTTAGCCGGAGGGCGACCGCACCCGATGCCACCGAGACCAAGAGGGCGGCCCGCCTCGGCGAGCCAGGGGTGAACAGGAGCCTCTCCAACTTCCGCAGGACCTGTTTCCGGCCGACGAAGTTTTCGTTCTCTGCGTAAGGGATGACAACTACGAGGGCGTAATATTAGTACTTCACCCTCAAGGCAAACTCGGACCAAGTTCACATACGGAGAGGTTTATTTGCTTCTTCTGTGCCTGAGCGTGTGCGTTGGACCGAGGGCATGGTACCGTAATATGGCCATGGTTCACACCAATCTGGAACCCTTGTTGGTTTGTGCCAGTAAAGGCCACGCTCGTTGACGGCGGCTCCATTTCGGAGGCGGGTAACACTAGGTCCTACCCCCTTGGGGTTCAGAAGGAAGCTTGTGTTTCCGGGGACTAGACAGAAGTTATGAACCCCTCTTTTCGTGTTGGTTGCCTCCCGATCTCCAACCGCGGGCCGCATATTCGCGCAACGTCAGGGCGCAGGCGAATCAAGGCCGACTTTGACTCAGACCATCCATGCGGCTATTCCGGTAACGACCAGCTGACGTTGATGTGCAGATGTGAAACAAGGGACCTGAGCCAGGCTGAGAGAGGCAAACCTCAGCTGGATCCCAGACATCGCATGCTCTGAACATCCTTGTTATTCATCTGCAGTTTGTGACACTGTGAAAGTTATAAAATTTGACATCTCCGCCGCGCATATGAAAATAGGTACCTAGCCAGTGGAAGGAGGGGCTCAGGGGTGAAAATGGTGGACGAGCAATGGAGAGCATAGAGGGCCAGTGATAAAGACAACCTGGGTTCCTTCTGTTCAGATTAATATGTAGACACTTGGAACTTATCCATCTTTATTATTGTTTAAGTATTCAAAACCCTGTCTGTGTCGAAATCTCTGCCTGGGTTGTTATCCCCGCACGTCGCTCGGTGATATCCACAGTACACCACCAAGTTGGTTGTTTTCATTCGGATCCCGGGCTGTTGAGCACCTCAAACCGATTCCTTCTTGGGGACGGTCTCGAGTGCGACAGCCTCGGGCTTGTCACCGAGTGGCACGGGAGCGGTGGGCTCGTCAATAAAGCCCGCGCCCTTGGCGACATGGTCGACGTCGCCAAACAAGACGTCCATTTGCTCCAGGGTAACGTTCTTGGTCTCAGGGAGGCAAAAGTAGGTGAACAAGATAAGGAGGACGTTGGTGGTCATGAAAAAGAAAAAGACTTTACTGTTTTTTGCCCGATTTTGGTTAGCATCAGTGTCTTATGGTGTTTGGCGTACCTCAGGGGGTCAAACTTACAGGCCTTCATTCTTGAAGAAAATGGGGAAGAACTGCTGGAAGATGGTGTTGGCCACGCCTTGCATCTGGACCGACATGCCTGTGCCCTGGGCGCGAACATGCATTGGGAAGATCTCAGCCGTGTAGATCCACACTACCGCGCCCCAGGACGGCTTGAAAAAGAAGGCAAACGCGAAGGCAAGCGTGGCGATTCCGATACCAACACCGTATGTTTTGGTGCCGTTCACATCGGGCGTTGTCAAGCCGACGACGCCGATGAGCATGGTGCAGATGGCCATGCCAGCGGCGCCAACCATGAAGAGCCACTTTCGCCCAAACCTACGGAATGGGAAAAGAAGATTGGTTGGTTAGCCCAGCACATGGAGTTCGGGTAAGGGTGACGGAAACTGAGAAACCTACCGATCAACAGTCCAGGTTGCATTGAGCGTAAACATGATGCTTAGCGTGCCATTGAGGGCATTGATCAAGTTGATGGTGTCGACGTTGTTGAACACCTTCTGATAAATCGTCGACGAGTACGAGTTGAGGGTGCCCTGGCCGGTAAGTTGCTGTCCGACGTTGATTATGAAAGCAAGAATAACACGCTTGCGGATGGCCTTGTCTTTGATGAGGGCCAGGTAAGCTTCGCGCTTCCGGGGAGCCGTCTCGTGCTCGAAGGCAATGGCCTCGCGAATGCTGAGGATCTCAGCGTCGACTTCCTCCTCGGTCGACCGCACTCTCATCAGTGCAGCCTTTGCACCTTCGTAGTCATTTCTCTTGGCGATGAGCCAGCGCGGGGACTCGGGAAGGAACGGGAGTTGGGCGCAGATTATGACCGGCATCATAAGCTGAAATATGACGACCTGTTGGATCGGGGAAGTCAGCGCAAGCGCTCGAAGAAGGGGGGTCGAGCTTGGTGCGTACCATCTTCCAGTCCCAGTGACCAAGACTCGTGCGGTTCCTGGCACAGGCAAAGTTGATCCAGTAGGCGATAAAAGATCCGACCGAGAAGAACATTTGCCAGAAGGACATGACTTTGCCTCGGATCTCTGGCGCGGTAACCTCACCGATGTAGACGGGACCCGAAGCTACCATATGACAAACAAGGTCAGACAACTGGCAAGGGCCTTTTTGCTGGAACACTGTACACCTCGGCCCTGGCAAACTCACTCGTAGCAAAGGCAGTTCCCACGCCAATGAAGACACGGCCAACCATAAAGCAAGCGAGGGTCCCTTTCACCGGTGGGAATGTCTGCAAAAAGGTGGCAACCACAGTGATCATGCAACCGAGGCCCATGCCAAATCGACGGCCAAAGTAGTCAGACTAATTATTGGAAGAATACCATGTAAGTCAGTCAGTGTCCCCACCGATCCACTTGCGCGGCAACATACCGTAGGACCGGCAAAGAACCATCCCGTGACGATCCCGCCAACAGTATAGACCGTGTTGACGAGCCCAACCATGTAAGGGTCGGGATTGCCCATGGCCGATTTCCAATTCTCTGAAGCCTGCACAGAGTTGAAGACACTCGAGTCATATCCCAATAGAATCATGCACCCCGCTGCCACGAGCCCCGTGTACCTGTAAACGACGTCTGTTAGCAAGATACAAGAAGTTGTCTCTCGAAGACAAGAAATGACCCTGGCCGTAAAGAAACCGGAATACGGAGGCCAGGGGAGGAATTTGTGACGAGGGCACCACCTGCTGGGAACTACCTACCAGTTGTACCAAACCTGCTTGGTGAGACCCATTTTGGGAATGCAAGGCAAAACGCAAAGACGATGCTAAGAGTCTAAGAGTGGCGAAGGGGGAGATCATTCGATGGCAAAGAGCACGAAATAACGTTGGACTTATACATACCGGCGACGACATTGTTTGAGACCATCTCATGCGGGCAGGGCTGGGCTCGCTAGGACCTTCAAAATGCCGAGCTTGGGATCAATCTGTGAGTCCTGGCCTGGCCGCCGTCGGTCGAATACGACGACCTCGGCGATCCCTACGTGCACCGTGTAACGAGGAGAGTTCCTAAAGCCGACCAAGCGCCCAGTCCCTGCCGTATCCCCCCGCCGGCCGTTCGTCGACAAACATGTGGTGTCACTGACATTGCTGAGCGAACATGCAGCCAGCCAGGAGAGGGGTGCCTGAGCACTGATTGGGGCGAAAACAAACCCCAGGACTCGCCCCGGCAGTGCGTATTTAGCCTAATTCTGGGCTCGAAGCATCAAAGACCAAGAAACAGCCCACCAACTTCAGGGCATTGCTACGCGCCCCTGATTGGGGCAAAAACAAACCCGAGGGGCTGGCTCTGGCTCTGCCGGCGCAGGATGCAGCCAGCTGGTGAACGACGGCACGACTTGGCAGGTATTTCCATCCTTCTTGATAGGGGCAAAAATAAAAAAGTACACCAAAGAACGTTGCCTCCTCCTGTTTATTCCCGGCTGCCTGGGCGAAGGAATGGAACTAAGCAGTTAGACTAGGTGCTTGGCTCCAACAAGCTCGCGCTCCTCCGCCGCCCGCGAGATGATACCCGACTGACTTCGGGTTTGAGGCCTAGCGCGCCATGAGTCCGATGACACGATTGCGAGAGGAAGAGCGAGAAGCGCGCGAGAGGTAGGCAAAGGTTACTAGATGGCCAGGGACACGCGCCGCGGGGAGTTCGATTCAGGGGTAACCGGCAACGTTTCGACCGTTAATCACGTTTGGCATGGCGAGTAAGAATAAACATGGGTGAAAATCAACATCCAAGTTGTTGATTTTGATATAGTAAACGATGGTACAGCATTGATGGGAGTGAGTATTTCATGTCCACACTGGATTTGCCGACTCGAGGCTATTACTGGTCGCTGAGATGAAGTGAAGATTACTCATTGAATTGCCTTCCTACCATGTAAGACAATACCGAGGATACTAAATCTATCGATCTCACCCGATACTGTTTTCACTCCCTACCCACGTTATGCTCCATCCGAGACATGCCCCGTCTGCCCCGCCAGCTCTGTAAATGGGAGGTACCTGATCACGAGGACCTCTCGACAATGGCGATTTCGCTGAAGTCTGACGGGTCCAGAACGGGTTCGCTCTTCCCACAAGCGTAGATCCCAAACATGGTGCCGGTAAAAGCACCACCGACGGGAGGGTTGATAGTGAGCACCTCGGCCGCGAAGGACACGCTCTCGCTAACCTCGCGCGCCGACAAGGTCAGCTTATAGTGAGTGGGCGTCGTCTCGATGGTCAACTGCACGGTGTCATCGTGGGGGCCGAGCTCCACTACGTGGTCAAGCAACGTATATGAAACCTTCAGCTCGCCGTTCTTCCCTGTTGGCTGACGCGCGACGATGGTCCGTACCGCTTCACCTCCTTCCGACATGTCTACCATGCCGACACCGAGGGACGCAAACGAGTACTGGTTCCACCACAGCACCACGCCCGACTCATACCCGAGCCTGCTGGGGTTGAACTGCATTTTGGCCTGGAACGTCTCGTTGTACCCCGCCTGCTTCCGCAACAACAGCGCCGGAGACTCAGGGCTCGTCAGCTCGTAGCAGTTACCATAAAGTCTGAGATGGCCGGGCCGTTCTGTCAAGGAGTAGCATTTCTTGATCGGCGTGTCTGTCACCGGCGTTAGCCATCATGATTCCATAGTCTTGTCACGCAAGGTGACCACGAGTTGGACGAGATCACGCAAAGAAATACCACTTACTCTTATAATACCACCCCAACTCCAAGTCCGTCCGCGATAGATCCGCCCTCCAACGGACACCGTCCTCCCCAGCTGCCTCCTTCTGCACAACCGCATCCCTCCCGACCGTCCTCAACGCGACATTCTCACCCCCATTAAACACCGGCCAATCATCCACCCAATCCACCTTAACCAAAAACGTCTCCCTCCCCAACTGCGGCTCCGCCCACCTCCCCTCACCCACCCTCACCGGCCTCACCCCCAACATCACCCCCCACCACCTCCCCTCCCCGTCCTCAAACACATCACAATGCCCCGTCCGCTGCACCTCCTCATCGGGCCCATTATACCACAGCGCCTTCCCCTGGCCCTCCCACGGGCCATACGGCCCCGCCGTGCTGCGGAAGCACCACTCCTGGTGGCCCGCCTCGGTGCCGCCCTCGGCCGTGAACAAGTAATAATACCGGCCGCGGCGCAGGATGTGCGAGCCCTCGGCGACGCCGAACGGCGAGGCGCGGATGACGCGCGGGGGGGTGAGGGTGCGGCCCGAGGGCAGGTCGATCTCGGAGATGTGGATGGCAAAGTCTTTGAGGAGCGTGGGACCGGGGGTGCGGTGCGCGAGGCGGACGGTGGTGGAGAGGTAGACTTTGCTGGGGGTGGTGGTGTCGTCCCAGAAGAGGTCCTGGTCGAAGCCCGGGTTGTCGAAGTAGATGGGTTCGGACCAGGCCGCGTCGTTGAAGATGTCGTCGGTCCAGACGTAGAAGCCGCGCGGGAAGATGCGCTCGTCGGCGCTGGGCCGGTAGCGGTGGTACACGCCGTTAGTGAGGTACCAGCGTTTCGCGCGGGGGCGGTAGCGGAGGGTGCTTGCCCATGAGCCGGCGCCGGGTTCGACGGTGCGCATGTCGATCTGGCTGCGGCGATTGAGGGCGTGGCCGATGAGCTTCCAGTTGATCAGGTCGGTGGAGTGGTAGATGGCCGCGCCGGGGAAGTACTCGAAGGTCGATGTGGAGAGGAAGTATTGTGTTGGTGTCGTCTCCGTGGCCGGGACGACGCAGACGGTTGGGTCGGGGTTGAACCCACAGATGACGGGGTTGGTGAACTGGCTCATGTTTGCTGGTGATGATGGTTGGTTTAGACTTGTGAGTTCAAGTTGATGAACGGACCCCGTTGTGAAAATATGAAGCACGAATTACGGATTTAGAGTGGGTAGTCACGGAGTTGCATGGCCGTAGCGAGCACTGCATGCGTATAGGCACTGTCACCACCATAAAGGGGACTCGACGGGAACCACTGCAGCATTTCAACCCCCAACGTCGGTGCCAACCCCGGCCGGATCTCATTATTCCATCGTGGCGTTTATCTCTGGTGTAAGTTGATGACCCGCGTCCCGAGCCCTCGGACAAAACGGGTCTTCCCTTTTAGCCTGAAGCCGCCCCGACAGCGGTGTGCGTCAACTAGTCGATATGGCATCCGATGAAGGTTCTTTGGTAATGAGTACCTACCTACCTACCTACCTACTCATGGTTGGGTGACGTGCTCCGGTCGGGGATACGATCCATATCGCGGGGTGTGCATGATGCAGCACAGTCGGGAAGTAACAGGACCTATTCGTGAGGGGCTGGCTGGGTTCGGTTCACCTCGGACTCGCACCCGTGAGGCGAGGTTTCTCCAGCAATCACAGGACACCCCTCGCCGGGGTGGAGTCCGGGCCCGATTCCTTCGCCCGCTGCCAAGATCCCGACACACGCCGGGGAGACATCGCTCCGTCTTTACCGAGTTCGGCCCTGTGAAATGACATCGTGTGTTCCGGAAGGGGGGGATAGTTGATCAACTGCCTTAGGTACCTACCCAGAACAGCAAGGTAAGAAGTTCCCCCAAATCAGTGACGTTGAAATTCACCTGCCTTAGGGATTCCCGACCCTGGATTTGGAGAAGAGTGAATGTGCCCAGGCTGCTAGTGCACCCAACGCCCTCAAGTTTCCACAACAGTCGCCATTAGTTACCTTGGCTATTGGTGGAATATCGCCGCCGACATCTAGTGTCTCTTTTGCCTCCCCTCCTGGCTTAGCAAATCTCCATTGCGGTGCTCGACGTTAGCTTTCGTGATCGGGATTTTGGTGTTGTCGAACTGGAGACAAGCGTTCGAACGGGAGCATACGCGCATAAGCACGAGTATTCGAGGTATAAAGCAAAGAGTCAACGATCCTGACATACTTGAATACGCCACAGTCCCGATCCCGTGCGCCCATCGCCAGTACCTCGACAAAGCTTGCTCATTTCTTCCTGCGTGATGCTTCTGCTGCATCATCGTCACTTTTACCATGCATCTCACCAACACGCTCGCTTCGGCACTGCTTCTCGCAGCATCTACTCTCGTCGAAGCGCAGGATTGCGCCAAGTGCGATTTGGAAGCACATGGTTTCGCCTCTCTAAACGGGGGAACCACGGGTGGTAAAGGCGGCCGCATCGTGACGGTCAAGAAACTGGACCAGTTAGTAAAATATGCGGCCGCAACGGAACCTCTCATCATTCGCATTGATGGCATGATCAAGGCAAAGCCGTTCGGTTTTGAGGTGCCCGTCAAAAGCCACAAGACGATCATTGGTGTCGGCGCTAGATCAGGTATCCATGAGGGCGGCTTCAACATTAACAGCCAGAAAAACATCATCATCCGCAACCTCAACGTCCATGGCACCTACGACGGCAAAACGAACTGGGCTGGCAAGGAAGGTGACTTTGACGCCATCCAAGTTGACAATTCCACCAATATCTGGATTGACGGTAACCACGTGAGTAACCTTTCCCCTATTGCATTCTCGGGGGACTAAACGCCCATGCTGACAACGCATATCCTTCCCATGCCTAGCTGTCTGAGATGGGAGATGGCCTGATCGATCTGCGCAAGGACACCGATTATGTCACCGTGTCCAAGAACGTGATTGCGAAGCACAACAAGGCCTTCGGAATTGGCTGGACTCAGAATCTGGTCTCCAAGGTCACCATCAACGACAACTTCTTCCACTCGACCAACGTGCGCAACCCCAGCGGCGACGGTCTAAAATACGGTCACCTGTACAACAACTACTACCGCAACATTACGGGCTATGGCAATTATGCGCGGGGTCATAGCCAGCTGCTCATCGAGACGAGCTACTTTGAGGATGTCTTTGACCCCATCGTCGCTGGACCCCATGGCCGCATCAAGACCAACTGGGTCAAATTCAAGCGTTGCGATGGCGAGATCCACCTTGACGTTAATGCCGACACCGTCTTCCAGGCTTCTGACTTTTACAACTACACGCTTGCCGACGTTTATGACATTCCTGTCGACGTCCCCTACAACGCTGGCCCCAAGGAGGATATTGGTGTCTAAAATGGTGGATATCGATGGTTTCCCCTTCCTGAGTAGTTTCCGTGTTCATTTAGCAGTTAAAAAAGCATGGCCTTTTGGCGATTGAAACAAGGGAGAATTTTAATGTTCGTTCACTAATCCTCGGACGATGAGGATGGGCAAGAGGCCAAAAAGGGGGTCTCGATGGAAGTCCAGCGACGATTAACTACGTCTCATTGCCTACCAAAGAGGAACGCCTTGCACGGTGATGAAGTCTACGTGTCATTAAAGTAAGAGTAATAATATTGGCTAATCTCAGGCACTCATCTTGCTCTCAATTGTCCGTGAGCTCCAATATCAGCAACACCCCTGAACCACAACACCAAAGGCAGCCCGGCCACATAACCTTAAACACAACCTTTTCCCTTCTTTCCCAGACAAACAGACAAACAACTCCCTCCTCCCAACCCCCCTACTCACAGATACCATCCCGGGGCCCCGCGTTCTGGAGCACAATAGCCGGGACATCGTCCGCCGCGTCCAGCTTGTACTCATAAAACCCCGCTGGATCAAACGACTTCCCTTGATCCTTAGCCACCGTACCCGTGCTCCCATCAAACATATTCCCCACGGCCGTCAGCGTCGCACCCTCATCAGCCTGCAGCGGATTTTTGCAATCCTCAAAATAAACATTCTCTACGCGGGCACCCGTCGCGCCGCGCGCGTAATGGCCGTAGCTCTTGCAGCCGCGCAGGTAGTTGTTGTACAGGTGGGCGTGCAGCAGGTTATCGGCGCTGGGGTTGCGCTGCGTGGTGCCGTCGAAGTAGGTATGGTGGATGGTGCCGCTGTTTGTCACGTTGTCGGTCCAGCCGATCCCGAAGGCTTTGTTCACGCCTTTGAGCCAGGTGTTGGAGACGGTAAAGAAGTCCGTGTTTTTGCGCAGGTCGATGCCGCCGTCGCCGATAGTTTCGAATATGCCTAGGGGTGTTGTTAGTGGGAATGGGCGGTGATGAAGAGAAGGCATGATGATGGATTTACAGTGGTCGATCCAGATGTTGGTGGAGGTATCAACTTGGATTCCATCCCAGTCCAGTTCCTCGCCGCCGTCGGTGCCGCCTGTTATGGGATAGTCAGCCACCATGGCCACCACATATGGTGTTGCCATGTTTTATGATATGGACCACACTCACCGATCCGGAGGTTGCGGACAATGACGTTGCTCCTGTTGATTATCTTGAAGCCGCCCCCAAAAATCTCGGCCTTCGCGCCGATGCCAATGATGGTCTTGTCGTTGGCTACCTCCACCTCGCTCCCTTTGGGCGAGATGTTGATCTTGCCCGACACCTTGATGATATACTTTCCGTCTGAGCCTGCGTATTTCGCTAGGTCTGCTTGGTTGCTAACAGTCACCACGGTGCCACCCTTGCCGCCAGTGGTACCGCCGTTCAGGGAGGCAAACCCGTCAGCGCTGTCGTCGCACCCAGCCCAGGCAAGGCTGGCGAGCCGAAGAAACACTATAGTGGTAGACGTGGAAAACTTCATGTTTCGGATTAACTAGCTTTTTTTTTTTTTTTTGTCCACTAGGAAACTGTCAACCTAGATGCCGTTACTGCTATCAGTGCTATTCACTCCATTTATGTGAATGGCCTACTAAACCCGGAGCCAAGGTACAGTTCTGTCGCATTTGGTGACGTTCCGTCTGTTTGTTTTCGTTAAACGGTACCCACCAACATGGTGGGCTCGGTGTGGTATGAGCGAGGGTCCGATTCCGAGGCAGCAGAAGATCTCTCCTGTTCCCGGGGTGCATTTGCGCAGATCAGAAACCGTTACAAGACGAGGTTGCACTGCGGAAACAGTTTCTCCGCCCTTAGGCACCCTAGTCCTTGTTTTTTCCCACATGGCTACAAGCCCCCAGCCCTATGATATCCCCACGACGCGGTTTCATATTTCAATGACGGCCGACGCAGTTTGTGTACATGTGATCGCAACTCTTGCGTGCTTGAGAGACCCGAGGTATGGGGAATGCAACAGCTAAGAGGCATTGGTGGAAAGACCCGCATCGGCTCCGACTGAATACCTACCGACCTACCTTACCTGTCCTGCACAGGAAATAAGAGTTCTAGCATTTTGCGGAACGCGGAGGAGGGCACAAGACGGAGTATCGGAATCCCCGAACCCCAACACATTCATTCATCCTTGTGCTTTCCCTGCAATATCTCATGCAATTGAAGAGCGGCCGGCATCGGGGTGAAGCTACCGAAACACAAGCGCATGGCTTGGCATGATTGTATGATAAGTACCTAATATATAACTACCTATTGTTATACATGTGAAGATTCTGCCAGAGTCATTTCCACAATAATCATAGTCCAATCCCAAAGCCCCCTGAACCCAACAGGGTTTTGGGTGACCTGTCCACCATGAGGTTCACTCTTTCAAAGCTGGTGTCGGCGATCCTATGCCTGGCCCCGTTGGGCGATGCCTTGCCCAATGCTGCAACTGAAGTGCTACCCCGGGCCGCGGGCCGAACCACTCCCCCGAGCGGATGCCTGTCCGTGGGAAATGGCGGCCAGTACGGTTCCATCACAGAAGCCATCAATGCCCTAGGGTCTGGCACTGCAGTGGCATGCATTTTTATCTACCCTGGGACCTACACCGTGGCTGACGGCGTTTCGGTCAAGTACAAGGGCCCGCTAACGCTCTATGGTTCGACCACGGAGTAAGTGTTGCAATGGACAATATACCAAAGCCCCCTTTCACCATTAACACGTTCCTTTTAGCACGAGCAAGCAAAACGCCAACACGGTAACATTTACTCGGAACAGGGGCTCGCAAGATGCCGGCAGCCTAGACGCATCCGCCACCTTCAATATCGTTAGCAACAACTTCCGGGCGTACAACATCAACTTCCGCAATACATACGGCACTCAGGGCCAAGCGGTGGCCGTGGCCGCCAACGGTGACAAGCAGGGTTACTACGCATGCGGCTTCTACGGGTACCAGGACACACTGTACGCCAAAAGCGGCCGACAATACTATTCCAACTGCTACGTTGAGGGTGCCGTCGATTACATTTTTGGCAACGCGGCCGCCTGGTTCGGCGAGTGTACCGTTGCTTCAAACGGTGGCGGGTTCATCACTGCCAATTCGCGCACTAGCGCCGAGGATACTGGTTGGTACGTCTTTGATCACAGCACTGTAAGTTCTTTTTCCCCCTCCCCCTTATTACCTTCTCGCTCTCAGCAATATGACCTGCCAGCCCCCCTTCCGTGTTTGCAAGAACGTGACCACCAAAAACGGCTAATACTTGTCCTACCAAATTTCTAGATCCGGGCGGCTTCCGGCGCCAATGTGGCAGGCAAGGTATTTCTTGGCCGGCCGTGGCGGGCCCTTCCCCGCGTCATTTTTCAGAATTCCGACTTGAGCGATGTCGTACATCCTGAGGGTTGGACGACAATGGCGGAGGGGGCCACCCCGTAAGTAAATCCTCCATTCACCCTTGATAATAGCCGGAAATTCTGGTTTTGCCAGCAAATGTCTGACCATGTGCCGAATATTTTATGGGTTTAGGGAGTTCCGAGAGTTCCAGAATACTGGGGATGGGTCTGGCACATCCAAGAGAAAATGTAAGTCAATACGAATGTCCCCCTTTAAAGGACTGCTCGCTTACGCCGTTTCGTGCCTTTAGGGCTAACTTCGCCAACGACTGCCGGTGTTTCCAAAACACAGCTCTGGGGCAGTGACTGGAAGACTTGGGTTGATACTGCCTGGTGAGTGAATACTCTAGGGATAGCATCTCGCGTATCGCCCTTCGTCGGCAGGCCTAGCACTTGAATGGAGGGGACGGCAATACATAACTGTACCCAGGTATTTGCCTACCTTGTTTCATGAAGTGAACATTATGTGTGGCGGTAAGTGGGATACGGCGGCACACTGGTAGACATCAAAGTTGCAGGAAGAAGATTGATGTGGGTGTGACAGCTGTCACAAAGAAGCCTGTAATACACATTAGGAGATATACAGTTATACAAAGGTCTGGGTATTTTTGGTTCAAATCATCTTTCCAGCATAAACTCTCGACACTCGAGGTGCCTGCATTTAGATACCTACCCCGCAAGCAAAGGGCGGCGGTGGCTTGTGGATCAGGGTGGCCTGAACGAGGCGGCCAGGCCAACCATCATTACAGTGATGGTACTTATAGTCGCATCTGTCCAGAGCATCCGGCTCGCCAGACGACGATGGGGGTCCTATACGGGTTAACCGCCGACTGGATTTCTTTTCCTTATCACAGGCTTTCAGCAGCAGGGTGGAAGTGTTGTATTAGGCTATCGAGCGGTAGTGTGTCCAATGACAACGGGATAATGTTGAAATTGCCCTCCGAGTCACGATTTCGGCTTCCGGCCCAATCCATAACATCCCCCTTTATTTGTCCTCCAGTACAGGCACAATCACCGAACTCAATATCAACTGCCACCCGCCAATTGAATCCTTAATCTCACAAGTGGTTGGCGTCGAAGCGCTTAAGCGGCGTCAACATCAACGCCGAGGTCACGGAGACCATCAAGGTCGATGACATCGCCGGGGTTGGCAATAGCACCGCAGGTGACCTCGCAAGCGCCGACACAGGCCAGGTAGAGCCAGCCAGCCTTGGGGCAGCCCCTGACGCAGGGGTTCAGGCAAGCGAGCTGTGAGGTGTAGTTAGCTTCACGTGGTTGCAGGTCGCCACATTCAAGCGTCTTACCCATTCGCCGGACTGTGTGGATTCCATGTCAACTGCCTGTTCTTATATCGTGTCCAACGCTTGATGGTGATGAAGGAGAGAACTTACGCGAACCTCAACGGGGGCCGGGACGGCGGCCGCGAGGGAAGCAAGAGTGACGATGGCGACGGAGAACTTCATTTTGAAAGTTGGAGTTGCTGAAGACTGAGTCTTGGTGGCTTGGGAGAGTTGCTTGAAAGGCTGCTAAGCTGGGCTGAGATTGCTGTGATGAAGAACAAAAGTGTTGTCGAGGAGCTGAACCTCCCGTCCTATTTATGCTCGAGTTCAAAGGCCAACACCCTATCGCCAAGCTATCATTTTTCTATTTCCATTTTCGTCACCGGCGTCTTGTCGGCGGTGGCGTTCCTAGACTCCTGAAAAGTTGGTCTACGGAAGTCAGAGTCTCAATCTTGGCCATGTTGTGCTCCCTGATGGAGGTGACAACATCAACAATCTCGAGTTGTTCTTACTTTGTCTCGGTGTTTTTCGGTCTTGGTTCTTGGGTTTGCCCAGCCTCCGATGTTGCCCTGAAGAGGCGTCAAGACAAAAGTGTGGGGAAATCTATGGCTGTCAATTGTCGAGACGAGGTTCCAAGACCTGCAATGCAGATTAATTCTACATACGGCGGTAAGGTGCTATATCCCTACGCCACGTTCCTACTTAGGCCGCAGCACCAGGTCTAATTACAAACCCGCTTCAGCTGTAAACAACCCGAACAAGGCGAACTTGGCAGTCAGCCGAGGCTGCATACCGGCTAGTTATCATTCCGACTTCAACATCGGCGACCATTTCAGCTGAAAGGTGAATTTCATAAGCGGGTTGGTTTTGTTGTTCAATATAATGATGCCACCACATCACCCGTGCACTCTCCTATGGTGCTATAGTCCTCCTGCCAGAGAGTCTTGCGATCCCCCTGATTCGCCCGCCTTTCACCATGTCTCTTCACCGGGTGCTTCTCCAGTGTGCCTTGCTTTTTAGCGAGGTTCTACTCGCAGCTTCCGCTTCTCCGAGGACCTTGACGGCTATCCACAAGCGAGCGCCTGCGACGCACAATGGATGGGCACGAGGGCCAAGGGCCGACCCGGACCTGGTCGTTCCTGTCCAAATCGATCTGGCCGAGAGGTCAAACAGTAAGGCCGCCGATGCCCTCGCATCATTGTCCGACCCATCAAGCGCAACCTTTGGCCAGTATTGGTCGGCGTTAGATGTCACTCGAGCCTTTGCTCTGCCTCGAGGAAAGATCAAGGCCGTCCTCGACTGGGTTGAGGAAGCAGCCGACGTGCCCCGCGCTGAGATACGTCTTTCTCCCTGCCTCTGCAGGATCGATTTCAACATAACCGTCCGCGCCTTGGAAGCATGGCTTGAGACTGAGTACTTCACCTACGCACACAAGGCCAGTGGAGAGACGAGCCTGGCATGCTCGGAGTACCATGTCCCAAAAGCCCTCCTAGACTCCATCGACTTTATCGTTCCCACCGTCTTCCCTCTCCAGGACCCGGTTGTCCCCGCGCTGTTGAACATTGACGAGCATGTTGGTCCGCCAATCTCGCTCGCTAACTTTGGCCACCGCGGCCTGTCCAAGAGGCAGCGGCAGCTAGACTGCAACCAGTTCAACACACCCCAATGCCTCCGGGAGTGGTATGGGTTCCCCTCCCGCAATGCTAGTTATCCTATCCACCCCAACAACACCTTTGGCATTTACCAGCCCGCCGCAGTCGCTTGGCTCGCCAAAGACCTTGACCAGTACTTCGACATGTTCGAGCCCCAACTCAGCGGGGCCCGGCCCGAGATGCAACGCATAGATGGCGGCCACCACGACGGCGAGACATTCAAGAGCATCTACCATCACATCGAACCCAACCTTGACTTCCAATACGCCATGCCTCTCACCTTCCCACAACCTGTCATGAACATCCAAGTCGGCGACAAATACGTCGCCGGCAACCTCAACAACATGCTGGCCGCCTACGACGACTACTACTGCAACCAACTCGACCCAGAAATCGACCCCCAATGGCCCAACCCCCTCGCCCCCGACGACGGCTACCAAAGCCTCGACTGCGGCACGCACACCCCACCCAAAGTCATCTCCGTCTCCTACGCCTGGGCCGAAGCCGGCTTCCCACAAGACTACCTCCGCCGCCAATGCGACGAGTACCTCAAGCTCGGCCTGATGGGCATCACGGTGATCGCCGGCACCGGCGACGAGGGGACAGCGGGACGCCACACCGCCTGCGACGACCCCGCCGCCACAACCGACGGGCAGCGCCAGCGCCGCCCCTTCCACGTCTCCTTCCCAGCCTCCTGCCCCTGGGTCACTGCCGTCGGGGGCACCCATGAAGAACCTTCGCCTTCCAACTCGACCCAAAAGGGAAAACCGTTCTACGTCAAACCCAACGTGACGAGCTCGACGGGGCGGGGTTCAGCGCGGTCTTTTCCGCGCCGACGCTACCAGACGCGCGTGACGGGGCGCGTACCTGACTGCGGGAGCGGCGCCAGCTGCGGTGCCGCAACATCACGGAACCTGTTTGACCCGCGGGGGCGGGGGGTGCCGGATATCGCCGGCGCTGGCGACGGACTACTTGATCGCGTTTGAACGGGGCAGTTTATGAGGGTGCATGGGGACGGTCGGCCGTCGGCGCCCGGTGAGTGGCGTCGAATGAATTGCGATGGTGAAATAATGAGAAGGTTGCTCTGGACAGGGAAAGGGGGCTCGGGGGTGGGGTTTATTAATCCGGTGTTGTATCGGCATCCAGAGGTGTTTGAGGATGTGGCGCATGGGGAGAATACCGGGTGTGAGGCGGGTCAGGGGTTCCGGGCGATTGAGGGGTGGGATGCGGCGACGGGGTTGGGATCGCCGAATTATGAGCGGTTGTTGGGATTGTTTATGTCTCTTCCTTGAGGTGTTCCCAAAATTGTAGACGCAGTTTGTGATTTGTTGACTGCGCACGAGAGCGGCGTAACGCGGCTTTTCTGAACAGCGTCCGAGAAAAAATAGGGATGGGTAACGGGCGTCGGCGGTAGATGGACGAGGTCCCTTGTGAGTGTAGCTGGGGTCATAACCCTCATCGATACGAGCTAGACACTTCATTGTCCATAGGTAGATTTGGACACGGACAACTTTCCTCCCTTGCCTGTAGAAAGTGATGGGGGAGTATCCTCGTTTTAACGGTGATTGGTCCATCATTAAAGTGAGATTTACAACGTGCTCAGCACCAAGATTGGCCATATGACGGCCATTCCCCTCCTTAAGCCCGGGTTCGACGAATATTGCAACCGTAGGATGGTGCATGTTGATGTTGCCTGTCAATGTCCCGAGGCCGGAGCTGCTTGTGACGAAAGACATGCCATCTCGCAAGTCCGCATTGCTCCAGTGCGCCCTCACAGAAATCCCCGACACTAAGACACCGACACCTGGGAGCCGGTTTATCCTTCTTCCATAATCGTGGTGTGCCGCGCGGACAGACACTTCTCTAGATTCGACGTTGATCCTAACTGGCCTAGAGATGGCCATGATGAGCCGCCCTTCGAAAGGGGCGACATGCTGCTCGAATCTGGAATTTATGGTACGTTCAATACATGTTGTTAGTTGGAATCCATCCCAAGGGAACTTGAAACCTTAAAGTCGTTCAATGGTTGTTGGTACATGTACAAGTTCCGGGGATGTAAAATTCAGCCGGTTGTCTCGGCCGCGGCGAGGCCTCTACAACGTCGAAGACAGCGCGCTGCACGACTGCACCTGGAGGGGCAGCGGACCTGACTGTGCTGATGCAAAACGCCAGTTGGGCGAAGTGGCCGTCAAGAACCACTGTAATGGGGTTGACCAGTGGAAAGGCTGCCTTTGGAACAGGCAACAGACACTATGTTGTCATGTTCGCAAGCCTCCTTCACCAATCCTCCCAACAAGTCCCCGATACCCTTGTGGTGTCGCCGTTAACGAATGTGTTGGAAGTTGTGGCACTTGGCACTCGGACATTCGGTTGCAGAACATGTATGGCTGCCCAACGTGGGCGCAATGCAGCCTACGTGGGGGGAGGCCAAGAGCTGACGACGAGCTATTTTACACAAGATGAGGGGAAGGACAGACAGAAACAAGGACAACCTTCAATTGATGACTTCGGGGCTGCTCCGAGGATCCCAACCCACTGTTGTAAGCTTCAAAACATTTTGTGTGATAACCGTGGAATCGTGGCTGTTGGTCTTCCAACAGAATGATAGAAAGTCGACGAGACACGCGATGAAGAGGGGGGTAAATGTTTTACACTTGGGTTAGTAGCTGAAGTGTCTGTGTTGACGCGAAAGGCAAGGGAATTGAAAGAGGAGGGGGAAAAAAATAACTTAAGAATCGAAAAGAAACAACATATCGCAGGACGGCTATGGGCTTGTGTAGGGAATACCAGGTATCGCGATAACGTTAGAAACACAGGGCAAATCCCTTCTCTCGGGAGGGACGTGCTACATTGGTGGTTCAGTTGGATCATGTTCTTCTCTCCGGAATGAGGCGGGGGCAGACTTTGGATGGATGGATGGAATTTATTTCGCCCGGAGGCACTGGGCCTATAGGGCCTTAGCACGCTAACTACATCCGGATCAAATCGGTTTGCCTTTAACTCGTACAACCCGCACGCATTGCAGCTGGGGTTATCGTCCCCGGAGGTCCAAGACCAGGTGACGACTGCCCCAGCGGCAGATCACCCTTGTCCTCCGTCACATCCTGTTGCACAAAACGGGTGGCTGGAGATACGGTACGGCGGGTCAGCGACAGGGGCTTATTGGGCCCCACCAGACTGGGCCCAATGCAGCGTTTCGAAGGGCACAGAGCTCTCTTTTTCTTCCAGTTACATCAATCAGACTGTCAGACAATTGCATCACGAATTGAAGCCTCGGATCAGTGGCTTGCTTGCACTACGTGTGCGTCCTGTCAGAAGTATCGCTACTCTGGGCTGTTGGATTTCCAACACATCCCCGTGCGGGGACGTAACTCTGGCGTAGATATATCACGACAGCTTGTTTGCGCTTGTCGTAGGTGGATGATGCATTTTGGTGGGTCGTATGCCATTCATGCCGGGGGGCCTGGCTGTTACTGTTGGAAACGACACTCAGACGGAAAGATCGGGGAGAAAGAATTGATTGATTGTTCTGTCTTCATCCTCAGTGGCGGGCATCGCCCTGACCTCCTTTGATTGCTTCTTGTTCAGCCCCTGGAACCCGCTTTTGCACTAGCGCATCGGCAGCCGAGATTCCGTCTTTCAAGTGCCACAACTTCCAACACTGGTATCCGAAAGAAGGTTCCATATGGCGAATGCAACAGTTACCAAACAGGAAGGAAGGAACCTCAGAGACGAGGCAAGCCATTTGCAAAGGAAAAGGAGCGACCTACCCACCTGCATGGGCGGTCGCAAAATCGAGAAAATGTGTGGATTCTATTTGAACCTCCTTTCACGCACCCCAATGCAACATCAAACAGATGGCAGAAAGGTCCGCTGGCTCAATGGCAGAGCGTCTGACTACGATTAATCGTCTCAAGACGATTAGGTAAATCAGGAGGTTCCAGGTTCGACCCCTGGGTGGATCGAGAAAATGGGTCACATGATCCAGATCATCTTTTTCGTTTGTGCAACATTTCATTTCCGTCTCTTTTTTGACTGTCATCGAACCATCAACCATCCATGATACCAACACACGTTACGATTTACTCAACCATAAGCACCTCGCTCGTCACTTGAACAGTAGCCTGCTTCTCATCTTCCCCAGGCTTCCCACCAAGGACAACAACCTCCACCACCGCACTATCCTTCTTTTCTTCCTTCATTTCCTGCCTCTCCCCAACATCCCCTTTCCACTTGAATTCCCCGTCTCCCTCCCGCCCAAAGTTCGTGTCAAAGCACACATCCTCATGCAACCCCACAACAGGAAACAGCCGTCCCTCAACCCCCTTTAATACACTCTCCAGCTTTACCCCATTCCGAGTAAACCAAATTTCCCCCTTCGCCAAATCCACCCCCGCCCCGACCGTGTCCCCAACCCGATATCTCAACTCGTCCACAGTAACCTCCACAAACCCCTCCACATCCTCCACCGGACGAATACACCCCCCCCAGTATCCGAATGATACCCCCATGAACTCGCCGTCGACGGACTATCACTCGCCGCCCACCAGCCCGGAAACTCCAACGCCGCACCCCCCAACGTACAAAACCCGACCGCCATCTCGGGCCACTCCTTCGCGCCCTTCCCCCCACCCACCTCCCGCAACACCACCTCAAAATAATACCTCTCCAACCCCGCCGGCAGCGGCCGATCCGCCGACACACACACCCGCTTCCCCGACACATGCCGCACCCTCTTACCCCCATTCAGCACGCTCCCCACCCCCAGGGACGTCGTCCCCGGGAACCGCGCCTCCCACCTCCCCGGCAACAACCGCGCCCACGCCGCCTGGCGCGTCAGGAACGCCTCCGCCTCCGCGCGCCCAAATTGCCGCGCCAGCGCCAGCGGCGTCCAGCCGTAGCTGTCGGGGCGGTTGAGGTCGGCGCGCAAGTGCCAGAGTTTTTGGAGTAAGGGAACGCTGCCGTTGGCGGCGCACACGGCGACCAGGTCGGCGTCGGATTTGGCGGTGGTCGGGGATGCGTCGATGAGGTGGGCGAGGATGGTTTCGTAGGCGGTGGTTTTGGTGGCCAGGGACCATTGCTGGTGGGCGAGGGAGAGCGGCGTGTGGCGGTGCGGGTGCCCCTGCGTGGAGAGCTGGGAGGGGTTGGCGCCCGCGGTGAGGAGGGCTTGGACCACGGCGGCGTGGCCGTTGGTGGCGGCGCGGTGGAGCGCGGTGAGGCCTTTTTTGGTGTCGGCGGCGTTGAGGAGGAGGGCGGGGTTCGGGGTGGTAAGGGTGGGGGAGGTTTTGGCGCCGAGGTCGAGGAGGGCGGTGACGACGCGCGTGAAGCCGTGGTCGGCGGCTTGGCGGAGGACGGTGCGGCCCGTGCGGGTGCTGATGTTGATCTCGGAAAGGGGGAGGTTGAGCACGAGGAGGGCGTCGAGGATGAGCATGGCGGATTCTTCGTCCTTGCTGAGGCAGGCGCAGAACAGCGGCGTCCAGCCTGATTTGTCCTTGAGGTTGACTTGTTTGGTGTACTTGAGGAGGACGCGGACAGTCGCTGCGAGTCCCTTCCGCGCAGCGGTATGGAGAGCGTGGCGGTTGATCTTGTCGGTAATGTCGGGGTCGGCGCCGCGCTCCAACAGCGCGTTCACGCACTTGCTGTAGTCGTGGAAGGCGGCCTCGTGGACAGCGGTGGTACCGTGGAAATCGGGGTCGTCGATCTCTAGCGCGTTCGACTGCAACAGGATCACTAGGTTATCCAGCTGGCCTTGGCTACAGATCATCTGCAGGGGCCGGGCGGAAGCCGCGTTCTCCGAGTTCGTGTCGGCGCCATTCTTGACAAAGGCGTCCAGCAGCGGTCCGGGCACCTCGCGCCTCATGAGCAGAATATGAAGCGGCGGCAGCAACCAGTCATCCCCGGGATGGACCGCGTTGATGTCCGCCCCTTGTGCCAACAACAAGTCCAGTACCGCGGGATCATCCCCCCTGTTGGCGAAATATTGCAGTGCGCTGTAACTGACTTTTGTGCATGGAGTCTTGGCATCAGCACCACGGTCCAGGAACATCTGCACACCCTCGACCGTGATATTGCCGCGGATCATCCACAGAAGGAACGCGCTGCGCTCCACGCCATTCTCGGCGTTGACATCAACCCCTTCCTCCAACAGCATCTTCACCGTTTCGAGGGTCGTTTCGGAACACGCCGCCGCTTGAAGAGGGCTGTATCCTTTCGACAACTCGTCCAACTTCTCCCCACGGTCGAGGAGATACCTCGTCCAGGTAGTCAACCCCAGATATGCCGCGACGTGCAGCGGCTTGTGCGGACCCTCGGCTACCCGGAAAAGACCGTAGTCGTCATCCTTCTCGGGGTACTGTCTCTGCCACGCAGCAAAAACCTCGGGAGTCTCGAAGACGAACTTGTCCAGCTCAGCCATCAGCGCGGCCCAGTCGCTGTTGTTCTCTCGTTCCTCCGCGGACCAGAGCGCTTCCGCCCTGGCTAGATGCCAGGGCCAGTACTGGAGTTCGTACCGGACGCGAGCGGGGCCTTCTTCTTCCTCGCTGTGCCGGTCAGCAGCTTGCGTCAGCTCTTCGATGTAGTGGGGTTTGATGAGGTCCTCGTCGTCGACGGAGCCTTCGGTGGCGTAGCCATCCTGCGCTTCCTGGAGCAAGTCATCGACGGCGTTTGTGGTTTTTTCCTCCTGGGTCTCCGTCTCGTCTTTAGGCGGCGCATCTGCGGCCTGGCCAGCCGCTTGATCGCCTGCCTGTGCAACACCTGCCGAGCTCGCGTCTCCAGACCCGCCCTCAGCGAGCGGCTCTGGCTGTTTAACAGCCGTCCTTAAACCGGCTCTCAGCTGGAATAGTGGGTTATTCAGATGGCGCAGGCATGTCAGGGCCATGTCGAGATTCCCTTGTTTAACGTTGATGTGCAGCTGCGTGGATGGTGACTCGGTAGCTCCGCATCGCACGCAGAGATGTTCGTGTTCTTGCTGCTGCTGCTCGGGCTGGACCTCATCGCCATCTCTCAAAAAGTATTCACAAACGGCAGCAACGTCGGACTCAAACACCCAAACCCTGCCGTCCGTCTCCGGGATCAACTTCAGGAAAGGATCGGTTGCCGTGCGTAGCTGTTCCAGTTCCAGGCGGGATGTTTGAGGGAACCCGGCTTCCACGTCTTCGTCACCCCCCACCTCGGCGGGGAAGTCATACGTGCTCTGGAAAGCATCCATGATCTCTCGAGCATGCGGATATCCCGGAAAGTCCGGGGCGAGAAGCGTCCAGGTGAGAGCAGTGCGCAGGAGGTCGAGGTAATTTGGGCTCATCTTGCTCAGCGCTTTCTTGTACACGTCACTGACTCCATCGGGAAGAGCCTCCAGTCGCTTCGACAGCGGTCTCTGGAATGGCTCCAGCATGAACGGGATGGCGGTGTCCCGGACGTAGAGGAACCGGGAACGGGCCTTCTCCAAGATGGCCTCCTTGGCGGCCTCTTGTTCGGCTGCCGACAGACCGGGCACGTCCTTGAGCGCATTGGTGAGCACCAAGTCGATATCGCCCGCGTTGTTATGTTCAACATCAATGTACGCGTCAGGCGACAGGTCGTTGAAAAACTTGGACGACGAAGCGCAACCGAGGAGAAGGCGGAAGCCGAGACCCGCCTTGTCGGCCATGGCTGTCATGAGACTGCGCACTTTCCGCAGAAGCTCTTCCTGGTCCTTTGTCCTCCAGTGTGTTTCCGTCCAGCCCGTCGAGGACAACAACGAGCTTCTTTTGAAGCAGGGCTGCAAGTCGGGCGAAGCCATCCGCAAACTCCGGCAAGCCGTCACCCTCCGAACGCATGTGAGCCGGCAGGCCGCTGACCGCGGCTTTGGCCTTCTTGAAGATTCCGTTGCAAGTTTCCAGAAGACCCACGTGATCCTCACCCTGCACAGCCAAGTCGTAAAGCTGAGAGAGCAAGGTCCGGCAGATGCTGTCCGCCGTGTAGGATTGGTTCGTGCCGAGTCTGGCGCCGCTTGTTGAGCCGCTGCATGTGACATACAAGAGGGCCTCGCCAATATGTGGCGTGCGGGTGATGCTGTTTGCGATCGATGCCACAACATACGACTTGCCAGATCCTAAGGCGGGTTAGAAAGGGCGAGCACAGATAGATGGCTTGGGAGAGAGAAGCTCACCTTCTGGGCCGGCGACGCAAAGCATGGCGTTGTCCGTGGCACCCACCCACTGCTGGTAAAGCCTGTTCTCAAACACCCACTCGCAGGTCCCGGGATAGACCGCGTCGATGGTGTCTCCAAGAATGCGGAAAGAACCTTTCAGGGGCTCCAGCGCTTCTTGGTAGGTCTGGAAGTCCTGCACCGCATAATCCCACTGAGTCTTACGCTTAGTCGACGCCCGGATGTCATCCAACCCCTTGATTAGGATGTCAAATCTCGCCATGGCGTCTTCGTGCAGCTTCCTCTGGGTGTCCTGGAAATCTTGGATGTGTTGCACCGTTCCTTCGATGCCAGCTAGGACGGTGGACACGCTGTCCAGTTGGGTGAGTGTCTTGTCCTGGAAGGCGCCCTGCTCTCTCGAGTATTTTTTTCTTGTGAGTGGCGACGGTGCTCAGCTTATCTTCAAAGTTCGCCTTTGAAAGGCCGAAAAAGTCCTTGAACGAATGTTTGATCCGCGTAAGGGAACCCGCGGTCAGGTGGCGTTTGATGGCGAACGAAAAGTCCAGAACGGCAGCATAAGCGCCGATGACGTCCTGGAACAGCTTCTCAACCAACGGGCTAGGCTTCCACTGAGGCTTGGACCTCTCATCGTAGAGCCGGTCGTAGTGACGCACGATGATCATGATCTCGGTAACGTCGCTCAGGCCCGAGCCAAAGAATGTGTAAAGATCATAATTGCTGTGGATGGCGGTTAGAGTGAGCTTGACGGCGTACCAGGCCATGCCGACGCTCTCGGGCGCGTTCTTGGTAAGAAAGTCGCCCGCGGCAACAAAGTTTTCGATGTTGTCCATAATGTTGGTAATCCATGACCCGGGGATCTCAACGTCGCCAACCTTGCGACCTCCATACTTCTTGCCAGCATCGCCCTGCAGGACTTCGGCAGCTCGCCTTGTTTCCTCGGGGCTTGTTTTATCGCGGAGGAATTCGCTCAGCAACTCGGCATCTTTGGAGCTTGTGTAGCGCTCGACAGCGTCCTTGCGGAAACGGTCTAGCGCTTCATCATAGAGACTGCGCTTCTCCTTTTCCTTGTTGTCCATGGTGCTTTCCCAGACGTCTAGCACTCAAGTAGGGGGAGAAAAGCAAGAAAAAAGAAACCAAGGGCTACCAAGTGCCCCGCGAGACGGAACGAGGGATGTCGGCAACTCCATAGCTGCCCGACAGTCCAGCGCCTCAGCCTTATACCTCGTTTGAAGATGGGTACCGAGCCGCCCAGATAGATAGCTGACCGTGCTGACGTGAGAACCTTCTAAAGCCAAGGAACGAAACAGCGCAAATCGCGGGGGTTGGTGTGGAGGAGGTGCGGGGAGACGACCCCGGTTTGGTGATCTCAACCGTGGTTCCTTTTCGGTCAAGAGTCGTGGAGCTGACATGCAGCGTCTCCATCGTTCAGCTGCAGGCTTCATTGGCTTAAGACACCCCAAATACGGCTGCCTGATGTCTGAAATTAGTGATCCCCATCATCGGTACGAGGCCCTGAGGGCATGGAAATGAAGAGGGGTCCAGAAAGTTCAGTGAATCAGGAAATGGAGTGTGAGAGCTGAAAAAGTCACTAGTACGAATGCAGGCATAAAAAAAAAAGAGGCAGCAGAAGAGGAAAGAAAGAAGTACATCGACCTCGATACCACCACCATACTTCGTACCTGGATACCTAGGTATGCTTCTCCTCAGATGGTCGCCGATTCGACATCTCCCCATAATACCGCTCCTAGACCGCAATGAAAGCTGAGACTGTTTGAGGTTCGAATTTGGCATGCTACCACTATGAATGGATTTGGGGAGGTAGGTAGACCCGCGCTCCCGATGTAAAACGACACTGTGCATCCAAGTACGGCGTGGGACGACATCGGAACAGCCTAGGACCGCTTTTCGAACATTATTCCGTCTCGATATAAAAGTTTAGGGGCAAGTCCCTGGACTACTAACAAGCAATACCGTAGCCACTGGCTTTTATCCGTAGGTATCCTTATTTCTGGTGCAATCCAGGATCGAGTGTACGATGACCAATCGATCGTATCAGTCATGGAATTGCGATGCCGGGAACTTTCAGTTGCCGTATTATTAACCAGGTCGACAGTGCGCAGTACCTTACCCCTAGCGAACCATGGTACATCAACGATTTCATGTTTAACCTCTTTGATGGTCTACGATTCCCTATCCGAAAATCTGCATCGCTGAATCTTGTTTGCGTTGGAAACACAAAAGATTTTGGGCATCGAGCACTCTCAGTCCTAATTTCTCAAGTTTGCGCTGAAATATCCCCCTGATATTTACCAACAAAAGCTTGCTTTAAGGGGGTGCTGGACATTGCTGGCATGTTCTCCGGCCATGACCAACTGTCGAGTTGCGGTTTTCATAATGCATTTTAGGTCGTCAGGCGAGTATCTCTTGTAGGATGAGGCTGTTCGTCAGGAATGCCCACATGGATCATTTCCTTCCATAACTATCTCGTATCCAACGTGAGCTCTTATTTATTATTATTATTATTATTATTATTAACTATTATTATTATTATTATTATTCATACTCCGCTATGCCCTAGGGCGTGCCGGACACTCTGCTATTTAGTGTACAGGAAAACCGTGCCCTCCCAGGCCGGGTGAAAAACCCATACCAACAATCAAGGAACGATGCGTTCTGGTGAGTATACATATACAAAGAGAGGAGGCCTCCTGGCCTCCGAACGGGGGCGCTTCAGGCCGCCGTTTCCAGCTCGAGCCTCCTGGCTAAGCTGTACATCGGCAGCTTCCCCGAGTCCATTAGCCAGTCGAGGATCCTCCTCGCGAGCCGTGCAGTCGTGGGATTGATACCGTGTAGAACAGAGTAAAAGTCCCGTCGTGTCCGAATTACAGTCCTCTCCCATCTTCGAGCCAACGGTGGGGCCAAACACCACACTACTAGGTGTTCGGCAGTCTCTCGTCCCTCGCCACACTCGCAGGCAGGCGTCAGAACCTCCGGGACTCCCCGCGTGAACAAGAAGTCCCGTAGGCATATTGCTCCCGTCCGGATTTGAATCAGCAGTGAGCTTTTCGCCTTGTTGAGACCGTCGTGCCTCCTTAGGGTTTCGTTCCGAAATAGCGTCTCCCGCTGATGGTCAAAGTCGTCCGCCGGCCTGGAGATTGCCCTGCCGTCCCGTTCCTTTAACCACCTCGCTTTCCAAGCCTCTTCTACTACCCTGTTCGTATCAACGGTTCCCCCCGTCCAGCGCATGACCGTGCCCGCGGCTCTCTCCACCGCCGTAGGCCCTTGAGGTCCCAAGGTTCGCGGTCGGCCTCTGTTGCCCCTCCTCGAGCTAAGTCTCTGCTGTATCTTGCGACAGGCGGTGAGGACAACGCTCGCCGCCGTCTTCTTACCGCCTCGACCGTCGTCCAGATCGGGTCGTTGGAGTCGGTTTTCGAAATCGGCAAGCCGTTTGTTTAGGTACAAGTCCAATGGTGGGACCCACGTCTCTGTCTCGAGGTTACGGATTGGGGTAGACTTAAAGGCTCCCGCCACGATCCGCAAGCTCTTGTTCTGGGCCTTCCCGAGGGCCTTGGTGATGCCTTTCTTTGCCGGCTCGCCTCCCACATCCGTGGGGATGTGAAACGATGATGCGCCATAGGCCAGCGCCGACCGGATGCACTTTGTGTACACTTCTCGCGCTTTGGCTAGCCCCATTCCCCATGTCTTTGCCACGATCCTCGACAGGGCATAGCTCTGGGTCCTCAGCTTCTTCTCCACCGCCACCAGGTGGGCCTTCCAGTTGAGTTTCCAGTCCAACCAGACTCCCAGGAACCTGGCAGACCCTTCTGGTTTAACGGGGCTGGTGCCTCCCCCTGGGTTGGCAAGGTTTACTTGTTCGGTCCACTGCCGTCGCCCTTTGTTGAAGTGGATCAGTTCGCTCTTTTCCGGGGCGAACTTCATCCCCCGACTGTCCGCCCATCGTATACACGTTTCCCACGCCGCCTCAGTTGACTATTATGCAGTGGTAGGTAACCTATCAGGACGATTATTTTATTCTATGGCGATAAACTACTAACAGACGCAATTAGCTCTAGCCAGGTGGAGGCTGTGGACTGTACGAAGCGACTCTGCTCGGTTATGGTGGATATTCTGGAGTCTAACCGCGTCATATCCACACAACTCCGCGCTGTCATGGCGCAACAAGGTATCCCGACCCCTCCCGAGGACGCTGCATAGACCACGGCGGGGAGGGCTGCTGTATCCGCTCATTCGGTGCCGGTGCCGGTTCAGCGGCCGTTTGAGAGAGTACTCCGCAAGTCGAAAGTATATAAATATGACCGGCTGTGGAACATGTCCAAGAGTTCCCTGGGGAGTCTTTCGGCAGCGTCCACCGGACGGACAAGCATCTCGACAGCAAGCCTCAGCGATGTCTCCACAATATCGGCTATCGAGCTTCCACTTCGGCCCCAAATTCTTTGAGTGGCTGAATACTATCTTGACGGCGGTAATGGAGCCTCTGCTCCAGGTAGGCCAAAGTGAACTAACACTGATGGCGACTAGAATGTATATGTCTGAACATCTACGCCAGAGTTACGTCCTCGCAGGGGGACGTGACGGAGGGCAGGGGGGATCCACTGCTGGGGCAGTCGTCACGTGGTCGTGGACCTCGGGGACGACAACCCCGGCTGCAAAATCTGCGCCCCCCTCATTTCTAGATAGAAGAACATGATCCAACTGAACCACGAATGTAGCACGTCCCTCCAGAGAGAAGGGATTTGCCCTGTGCTTCTAACGCTATCGCGATACCTGGTATTCCCTACAGTATATTAACCATGATGCAGTCTCGGCCGATGACCCCCGTGAAGCCGCTGCGGGTTTGGACCAACAAGACAACCACGGCAGCCTCCGCGGTGCTCCAGCGGGAGCTCAACAGCTTAATCCGGCACTGGTTGTTTTTTTAAACACCATCCTCATACGAGAATTTTACGGCCGCTTTGAAAACATCGGACCCGTGTTAGTGAAGAGTTACGCCAAAGTCATGCCATACCGTCAGCTCTTGCAATCCATTCAGTTGCCGTTGAACGTTTTGATCAACGAGTATCGGCGCGGCGGTCGAGACCGCGTGAGGCCAATGCTCAGAGCTTGGACTGGCCTCCTAGAGTGGATTCTTGAAACCCAAAAGGATCAAAAGATTCTGCAGGGTGCGGGTGACAATTTTATCGCCGCCTTAAACGACCACACTGAGCGAGGTGAGATTCAGGAGGTGAAGTATTATTCCCTGACCGGAATCGAGACGACCCTGTGCGTGGTGGAGATGGATAACAAGCGGGCGGCCAGCGTAACAATGGACGTCTTTGTTCGAGGACTTGAAATCGCGCCGACCTGTCCTTATGCCGCGCAGTTTGCTGCGATAGTGGAGGATACCTTCCAGAAGATCAACCTCTCAATAACTGTGTGGGGGTGGATGGAGTCTCGAACAATCGCCATTGTCGCCCTCCTCGCAGTGCAACATGGGGCTAAGCTGGGAATGAATAATACGCTCGACCACCTGGTACAGGCCCTCTCACTTGTCCAAAAGCGGCTGTCCTTGAATACACGCCCACATGCCTGGCTCACCATGGTTTTCGGCTGGGAGGGAGATCCATGGCTACTCGAAGTGTCGGTAGAAACAGCAGCGGTACTTCTACAGTATGAGAGAGAGGGCGCAAAGATATTTGAGGGGCTAGTGATCGACGGTCTACGGTGGATCTTGGAGGTGGCCAGCTCAGCAAACCGACTGAGCGAGGTACTGACACTGATCGACAAGTTTGTTGGTGGTCTGAGTGAGGGACCTTCTTCAGGCCCCGTGGTACTAGATTGGGGACAAAAAGGTACTGTGGTGGGGACTATGATGGGGGAGGGTATACAAGATACAAGCTGTCCTTCTGGAGTTGGAGGCTCGGATGTTCAAAGGGCTTTGGGAATGGTACTTGGCGCTCTGTCTAGGAAGCAGTTGGATGAGAAGGAACCTGGAGGCGAAGTTTGATCACGAAGATTGTGCAATCACTACCTACCTAGGTAGGTGGTAGGTACACTAATACCACTCGACCACTGTATAAGTTTTCCCGGGTCTAGTCCGCCCTGAACTTTGCGCTCAATATGTGTCAGTTTCTAACGATAGGTACCCATGTGATTGGTTCCCCTTAAGCGCCACCTAAGTCCTCCAGTTTCCATTGTAGCCACGCCTTAAACGACTGCCTAACGCCGCCTCTCCTTTCCCCAATGCCGTAATCCTCCAGTAACTCCATGACCGCGTGGCCATATGCCGCCTCACCACTTGCCACCTTGACGAGAACCTGCGCCGACTCTCTATTCGGCCAACCCCGCTCGTTCCGCACCGCAACCCGGTCCGCCAGCGGCGCCAGCCTCATCCGAAGTGCCGCGGGGAGCTTACCCTTCCTATCACAACAAGCATCAAGGAGCTCCTTACCCACACGGTACCGCCCCTCGTGGTTGAACGCCATATGCTCAAACGCAAACTTATAAATACAATCGAAACGGTGCCTCAGCCCCGTATCCCCCAACGCTTTATACTCCCGCTTCGGCAGCCCCCGCGCCCCCGGCCCCAGCAGCAAACACGACACCAAATCCTCCTCACCACCCTTTATGCTCGCATAATCCAACGACTCCTCCACCTTCGCCTGCACATATCGAAACACCCCAAACTCCGCCGCCAGCCCCACGAACCCAAACTGATCCGCCGACCCCCGCCTGCCCTTCGCCCAATGCGCCACATGCGGCACCATCGTCGTCGTGACAAACCGCAGCCCCCTAAACGCCTCCTCCACCCGATCCAACGCCTCCACCAGCCGGTCATGCGGATCGCGCACCACCCTCCCCGCATGACAAAACGCCTCCAGCATCCACCCCCACACATTGGTGTACGCCTCCCACGACCCGGGCTGTGCCTCCAGCCGATTCCGCGGCGCGGCGGGGTCGGTGGAGGCCATACGCGCGATGGCGCGCAGCAGGCCCAAGTGGGGATCGAAGTCGTGCGCGTGGGCTTCCATGGCCGGCCAGAAGGTGTCGAGCCATTCTTTGGTCGTGCGGTGCAGGTAGTTGACGTGCTGGGCCGGGGTGAGCTCGAGCAGGCCCATGGTGCGGCTGGCGAGTTTGCGGCGGAGCACTTGGACGATGCGGCGTGGGCTGTCGGGCGGGTTGCGGTCGGCCAGCCAGAGGAGGTCGGGCTCCATGCCGGAGGGGAGGGCGATTTTGTGGGTGCGGAGGTTGAGTTGCGGGGTGCTGGTGTAGGCGCGGAAGAGGAGGAGGAGGCGGGAGCCCGCGCGTTGGTAGCTGGGTTTGACACGGCGCCAGAGGTTTTCGTAGAGCTTGGAGAGGTCTTCGGGGAGGCTGTCGACGAGGTGTTCGATGTGGGTGAGGGTGGTGCCGTCGGTAAGGGAGTTGAGGACGGCTTTCATGACGAGCGCGACCCAGAGGAAGACGCCGCAGGCTCGTTCTACGACTTTGGCGAGCAGCTCTTCGGCTTCGGTGGGGTAGGCGTCTTTGAGTTCCATGAAGGCGACGTTTTCGTGCGCCACGCCCTCGACGAAGGTTCGCAGATCGGTTTCGGTGAGGACTTCCATCCTGAGCTGTGGACAGGACACAAACGCGTCCCGGAAGTCGTTCCACGGGCGGCTGCTCGCGCATACCTTGAACCCGGGCTGACTGTGAAACTGTCTGATGAGATCGATGAGCCGCGAGTGGTCGCCAGCGAACTCATCTAGCCCGTCCACGAAAATGGCAAGGTTGAAGTTTCGTTCGGGGAGCGTCGCAAGGGCACCGAAGCTTTCGAAAAGTTCCTCCCACGTCCATGGGGGGAGATATTCTAACGAAGCGGAACCAAAGATCTTTTGCATGGCCCATCGCCCTGGGAATAGGCGCGGCGCAATTTCAGGGGCCTGTTGAACGATTTGGTACAAGAGGGTTCGCAGAAACCCAACCTGGGACTTTTGGAGTTCGCTCCCGGCATCCCACGAGTAGAACATAACCGTGAGCACCTTCTTATGGCCTCCCCATTCTGCGAGATGTGAGAAGGTAGAGGGCTGGCTGACAAGGTGCTTGATCAAAGTCGACTTGCCGGAGCCGGGTTTGCCCGTAATCCAATAAATGTTCTCAGAGTCTTCTCTAAGCCAGGCGGGAAAGCTGCTCCACAGAGGTTGAGGGTCGGCACCCTCGGATTGTCGAGGTTCTTGTAGCACCCACTGAAAGGTGTTGCTGTACGCTTCCGGAATTGCCTGGAGTCTCCTGTCTAAGGCGGCAAAGAAGAGGCTGCTAAGGAGGCCGTCCACATACTCGGGATCCTGGGCGTGGAGGTCAACGGTCGCAGATGTGGTTCGGTTCAGGTTCACACGGCTATTCTTTTGGTGGTAGATGAATAATGAATGGGCTTCTGTCGGAGGGTGGATTTCTTGTTGACCCTGTGATTGTAATTGCTGCATAAGGGCTTGGTGTTTTGTAGTTTGGGTGGCTGACACTTCGCCGGCGGCTGACCGCTCCCTGTCCAAGTTTTAGTCGCGGCGGATTCCTTCCAAAGTTTTCACACCATATCGGAGGGAGGAACTCATACCAGAGGTCGGAAACCATTGCAAACATTAGTTTCTCTCTGGCATCAGAGAGCCTCTTCTGGCTGTCTTTGATTGACTTTTCATTCCACACCAATTTGAAAGCGTCACTGATGGCGTCCAGGACTGACTGCGGCGTTTGGTCTCGGACGTGTGTCCCAAGCGCGGCGGAGATCTCCTGGCTAGCTGCTACACAGCGGCGGGATTCTTTAAGAAGTGCGGCTTCCGTAATTGAGAGGGGTCGATTCAAGCCCATTAAAAGTTCGGCCTTTTCTTCGATCGCCTTGCCGCGTGCTGTTAACCCCTGAGAGTCTTCGAATAGCTCGTTCACCTCGACCCGCGCTGCCGAGGGCCCCACATGGCGCGAGTCAAAGGCTACGGTGAGCAGACGAGAGCCAAAATCTAAAAACTGGACGGTTGATGCCGCTATTGACAAGATGGTCAAGGGGTCCATCTCGACGGCGTCGAGCGCTGCGCTTGGGTGTGGGTTGTGGTTGGGCACCGTGGAAATGATGAAGTTGTCAGCAGAAAGCCCAGGCCAGCTAGCTGATCGCGATTGGGAATGGCGCAGCATTGCAACTCTATCCGAATGGGAATGGCCGTCCTGCAGTCGTGATTTGGTGGCTGAAGCGGGGCTGAGACGCTCGCAGGAGTGCATGAGTAATAAACGCAGAGAGATCATCGTTTCTAGGCGGTTCTTATAGGTTTCATCGATTTCAAATCAACGTATTAATAACTATGGAACTTGGGAGAAATCCTGGAAGGGGGCTATATGAAACAACATCAACATTCACCGACACTGCATCGATGAGGATGTTAACGTGCATTAGACGCCGACGTCCTCACACAACTGAGGACCTCGCACTCCTTTGATGACGGTACCCGACGCGTAAATTCTCAGATATTACTTATCGATACTTTGAGATACATGGATCTTCTTGGGGCGGGAGCAAGTCCATCAAATAAGGTGGTGATAGCTTTCCATATTTGCTACCTACCTACCTACAACGGGCATGTTAGTCTGTTGTAGATGTCGTCTAGTACGCTTGAACTTGTTTAAAAATAAGAGCTCACAGCGAGCCGGTAAAGAAAGGCATCACCAAGGCCCTCGGGAAGGCCCAGAACAAGAGCTTGCGGATCGTGGCGGGAGCCTTTAAGTCTACCCCAATCCGTAACCTCGAGACAGAGACGTGGGTCCCACCATTGGACTTGTACCTAAACAAACGGCTTGCCGATTTCGAAAACCGACTCCAACGACCCGATCTGGACGACGGTCGAGGCGGTAAGAAGACGGCGGCGAGCGTTGTCCTCACCGCCTGTCGCAAGATACAGCAGAGACTTAGCTCGAGGAGGGGCAACAGAGGCCGACCGCGAACCTTGGGACCTCAAGGGCCTACGGCGGTGGAGAGAGCCGCGGGCACGGTCATGCGCTGGACGGGGGGAACCGTTGATACGAACAGGGTAGTAGAAGAGGCTTGGAAAGCGAGGTGGTTAAAGGAACGGGACGGCAGGGCAATCTCCAGGCCGGCGGACGACTTTGACCATCAGCGGGAGACGCTATTTCGGAACGAAACCCTAAGGAGGCACGACGGTCTCAACAAGGCGAAGAGCTCACTGCTGATTCAAATCCGGACGGGAGCAATAGGCCTACGGGACTTCTTGTTCACACGGGGAGTCCCGGAGGTTCTGACGCCTGCCTGCGAGTGTGGCGAGGGACGAGAGACTGCCGAACACCTAGTAGTGTGGTGTTTGGCCCCACCGTTGGCTCGAAGATGGGAGAGGACTGTAATTCGGACACGACGGGACTTTTACTCTGTTCTACACGGTATCAATCCCACGACTGCACGGCTCGCGAGGAGGATCCTCGACTGGCTAATGGACTCGGGGAAGCTGCCGATGTACAGCTTAGCCAGGAGGCTCGAGCTGGAAACGGCGGCCTGAAGCGCCCCCGTTCGGAGGCCAGGAGGCCTCCTCTCTTTGTATATGTATACTCACCAGAACGCATCGTTCCTTGATTGTTTGGTATGGGTTTTTCACCCGGCCCGGGAGGGCATGGTTTTCCTGTACACTAAATAGCTGAGGGTCCGGCACGCCCTAGGGCATAGCGGAGTATGAATAATAATAATAATAGTCAACATTAAGCTTAAGCTCGTCTTATGTTGATGCAGGTCATCCATCAACTTCTCAATATCTTTTTCTTTCTGCGCCCAAGAAACCCTTTCCCAGATGATTCCACTGAAATGGATACAGAGGCCACAAGTCATGATGGTGGCTGTCAGGGAGCCTGGTGGCTAACAGGGAGCCCTGCAGCCCCATCTCTCTCTCTGTATAGAGAAACAGAACCTCCCACCATCTGGAAGCTCTGATCAATGCAAGCAACCTTGCACAAACTATGCATAACCACGTTATTCAACATATCTAGAAATACTCTAATTAACAGGCTATCAATCCTGAGCCCGACCCGACCAGACCGTAACAGGAGTTTTCATCGAACCCGGGACAGCCAATTAGGGACATGTACTGGAACTGTATACGTCTCCATCCTGTTCATGATGTCCAATTCCTCGGGGTGGAAAACGAATTCGAAGCGTTCTGGGACGACCGAAGCCCGGACTCTCTCCATAAGATCCTCAGGGGGCGGACGGCGAAGCACGGGTGCGTTTGAGGCAGGTCTTGCGGCGTGCTCGAAATCTACATGAAACACATATTGATTAGCAGGGGTGAATGGAACATAGAAAAAAGGCGGGGGAGGTTCGAAAAGGGGAAGCCATGGCTGTAGGCAGGCATGAACCTACCAAAGTTCAGAATCCGCTGGACATAGCTCTCGTCCAGTTCACGAGCGCGTTCCACTGTTTCACCTGGTTCGCCCATCAGCAAGTATATTTTGCCAGCCTGCCTCACGCCCAATGGGTCTGATCTGTCTACCATGTAGCCCAGCAGACGGCCGCCGAGAAACCTGGTTTCCCAGAAACAACCTGGTGCCATTTCCCCGGGAAGCGAAAAGACGTGGCCGCAATCAAGGTAGCCAACCCATTTATGTACAAGCTCACGGGCGATGGCGAAGCCCATTTGAAAACTTCCGGTTCTAGAGTTTTTCAGCGTGTTTTTGCGACGCTTGGGCAATGTCGTAGAATTCCGGAGGATACGGGCGGCGTTTGCGATATTCTGGATGATCTGTCATGTGCAATATCCCTCTCGTCAGCCCGGATATCATCACCACGAGGATACATTTGCAGAAGGAACACCCATTCATACCATCTTACACATCTTTATCCCGCCATCCCTTTTAGGGTTATATGGGCTTGTGTCGGGGCTCCAATACCGTCTTTCAGCCTGCGCAGCACCTCCCACCCGGCGAATGTTGTTGGTCAGATAAATGTTGGGAAAGTAGTGACGGAGAGTCTCCAAAAAGGACGCGGCATATTCAGACATGCTGATGGTGTCGTCTCGGTAGCGAAGGCGATCCTTCTGTAGTTGATGGTACTTGACAACTTTAACACCCATCTCAGCCATGATCTGGCGGCCTCGGTGGGACTCGAGCATGCTGAGACCGAGATGTATGGCTAACATTACAGCTCTGAACTCGTAGTCCTTCGGTTTCAACTCGATGTATGTTGATGGGCGGCAGTTACCGTATGGAATGAAGCCGGCGGGTGCTTTCAATACTCGCAGTTTCCCAATGAAGGCACCCGAGGCTGGAGCTTCCGGTCGTGCCGGGGACATGTCTGTATTATATGGCGAAACGCGGGCTGTAAATCCGTAAGATAGCCTGGAGGTAACTGGTGATTCGATAACGTGATCGCCCCGTCTCCTAAAACGAACCACGGGAGCAACAAGACAGAATACCTATGGCTTCAAGATGTTGAAAATTGATACGAAAGGGGAAAATAAACGCTGAGATGTATTCTGGAGTGACGGTACCTACCCATGGGACTTTAGAAAGTCCCCCAGCGGAGGATGGGAACGCTTAAATGGGCGTCTTTACAATGGTGAAATCACAGGGAATGAGTTTTATTGTTTTTCCTCGGCCATACGGTACTCACGGGGACGCCAACGACCAACCTCCAAATCAGGTCCGTTTCTGGCGGCCATATCCTTCGCCAGCATATGACACATTGATGTGGGTCGATGAGCCTTGATCCGGGGCGCCTAGGTTCGCGTCAATATCTAGTGCAAGCCATGTACTCAAAGTTGACGGTCAACAGTGTTGACTACCTACCTAGGTACCTAGTTACCCAACAACGTTTCAAGGCTTACCGGTGTGAAACGATTAGCCTACACAACAAAGTCCGCGGCAAGTCTGGGTACCTATGTATGCAGGCGCAACGTGCTTTTGGTGGGGGCTGCTCAACGTTTAGAAAAGGTCTTGTATTAGGGAGAGGGGTCTCAGGTCCCTGCGACCCACGCCATCAGCCATCAGATGGTCAACCGCCCAAGACTCGATCGGTCTGTTTGCTCCCAGTTGCGGTAAGGGTTCACAACCATTGGTACATGTACTGCATGTTGGTTGCAACCTCGATTTGTGGCTTCAACAGTGGTCTCGACCCAACAGAACGCCCATTCGACCTGTTGATGGCATTGACGCATGACATTGAAACCGTGGCCGCCTTCCGAGTCGAGGGCCGCAACCAACATCGCTTCAAGTCTGTTTAAGGCCTCTTTCCCGTTTTCGGTAACCTGAAATGCATGTACCTGGCGTAGTAGTGGCCCGTTTTGGAGCCAACGGGATGCTCGTTGGCGGCGCACCCCTGGGCCTCGCTCAACTCCGTGGGCGTTGGCCCAGCCCGTGGGAAGCCCAACCGCCACGATTGATACAGGTTTTGGCCAATCAAAGGGGCATTACGAAACGTGTTCATGACCAAGGCAGCGCAGATGACAGATCATCCATAGGTTTCCGATCGCGAGCGTCGCTTAGGAATAGCCAACACTGGTATGATAGGGATTACGACCATCCTAGGTACTTTTGGCTGAAACCAGAACAAACGTACGAGGTCATCCCGAGGGCTTGGGAAAGGATGCAAGAGCCACGCTCCCGTTGATATGAGGCTTTTCCTTCCCACAGGGCCCGCCCTGTTTGGCAGTTATTGTAATATTTTGCCGGGCTGCATGGGTGTCGCAGTTCTGTGCTAGCTATTGGTTCCATGTCGTGGAACGTCAAACCCCAACGCCGAGACACAGATGGTTGGGCCGGGCTTGTTGGGTTTTGGGCGACTTTATGGAATTGAAGTGTCCGTATCTCGGTCGTTTGGTTGACCGCTCAAGGTACAATGCACTAATTCCCAGGCATCTTAATGTGTGGGCTTCTAATTTGTCTTCATTTTGTCTATGTACCTGAAGCCTCGAGCATTCTCCATCTCAACTCCAACCCCCCCTCCGCCACGATTGAGAAATTGCACAATTCGTCTCAACCAAACCCTGCCCAACTCTGAAGGACCCTAGTTCCTGTGGCCTGACCGAAACGAAACATGCAACCCACCTCGTTATCCGGTGATGTTGAGGTGTTCGACCCTCGGGGCGACCTGAAGTTGATTGTCGGGTCGGACCAAATCGCCTTCCAAGTGTGTTCGCGGGCCCTCGCGCGCTCGTCCAAATACTGGGAGACGATGCTCTACGGGGCGTTCGCTGAAGGACAGGGACAACAAGAAGCGGGGTCGGACTGGGTGATCCCGCTCCCTGAAGATCGTCCAGAAGGACTTCGGATCCTCTGCCTCGCGGTCCACGGCAGATTTGACGCCTTGCCTGGCAAAATCACCCATGGCGAGCTGCTTTACCTTACTGTGCTAGCGGACAAGTACAATATGATCAGTTCCTTAAAGCCGTTCTGGAAAGGTTGGCTGAAGGAACTGGATTACATCACCGATAGTACTCCCGCGGCGGATGAACTGCTCGACTACCTCTCGGTGTGCTACAAACTGGGATACGGCAGGGGATTCCGTAAGGCTTTCGTTTACGTCGTGAAGTGTGCAGCGGCGCATGGTGACGGCCGATTATACATCGACGGTGACCAGGATCATGACATCTACGGCGACGATCATGTTTGGTTGCGAGACAAGGTTCTGGGTCAGACCCCCTTCGCTGGTGGTGATGTATTAAACGAATCAGATGCTGACCCCAACGTAGAAGGTGTCAGGCGAGGACGCGAGATAGTCCTGACGATCATATGCACGAAGATTCAGCGGGGCATATTATCCCTCATCTTTGAGTCCGGATGCACGGCCGAAACTCCGAGCAAAGTTTGCAACTGCACAATGCTAGGTTCTCTGGTCCGAGCCATGGCGTCGCGGAAGTTGGACCGTTGGTTTAACGACAGGATGGAAGGAGTGGCAGATTCCATCACGTCCTGTGTGTCCGACTTTTCCTCCCTCCTCGCCGAGCTCCGGGAAGAAGCGGTTGCCGCCCGGGAGTCGTTTGACTGGGAGCACGGGGAATGCCGTCCTTGGGCGTCGGAGAGTGAGAAGATGGGTGACGAGGGCATGGACGCACTTTACGAGATTATTTACGAGTTTGCGGCAGACCTGGAGGGTGAGGCAAAAAAGTCGGGCCTCAATCCCGACAATCCCGCACGTTTCTCGACTCCGGTGCCATGCCAAGAGATTGCCGAATTAGTAGTCGATGAAGACCAGGGGATCCCGTTATTAGACAATGGGTTGCTGTACGAGACAGAGGTTCGGTACCTACCTACTTAGGTATCGAGGTATTTGTACGAATAAACTGAATTCGGCGATCATTCAGAGGCCAGGCCGGGTTTGACAGGGATTTTGGAGTTATTACATAATCAAGAATCGAAACAGGGGTGTGGCATGAAATTTGGGGCGGCCGGCAATCAACCCAACCGACAGTGGCGGCGTGAAACCGCGAGCCATGAAAAAGCGCTTGTTCAACAGCTACCCTCCCTCTCTTCCAAACACAATGCGCTCGCTGGGCGCCACCTTCAATCGCGCCGGCTGGCGCCGATATGCGCCCATTGCCCTGGTGGCCGTTACGGCCATCGTGGTGCTCTACACATTGTTCGATGTCCCGTCGATGGTACCGTGGCGACCCCGTCTCCCAAATCTTCAAACCTTCCCCGTCGCGCCCCTAGCCAAAGCCTGCGATAACATCCCACCACCCGACCCAAACACCGACGCCGCCGCCGCCGCCAACGCCCCAATCCCCAACCTCGTCCACTACATCTGGCTGCTCGCCGACCCCGCCGTCTTCACCCTCAACTTCAAAGTCTTCGTCAGCGTCTACTCGGCCCACCTCTTCTTCCACCCGGACCGCATCTACATCCACACCGACGTGTCCCCCTCCCTCTGGGAGCGCGCCAAATCCTCCGGCGACCTCTGGACCAAACGGGTCCTCAACATCCCCTCCGTCACCCCCAAATTCATCACCAACCCCCAGCTCACCACCACCGGCCAGCCCATCGACACCTTCGGCGCCAAAT